CGGATCTCACTATTTCACAGGTTATTTGCTGTCAGTACTTTCCTTAACAACTTCCTGCGAAATTTTCCGAAACAGCCATCTAATAAATATTTACTAACAAGCTAGAAAACTTACATACAGAACATTCCGGACATGTTTATGCTTGTGTCCGCTATTATAGTTCATTTTCGTCCTAGCCGACAACACACCGAGTACGGCCAGAGACCGGGGAAAAGTTTGATTTTTCAGCTCGTATATTGAGTACAAGGTAGTGTCTTTTCAAAGTTAAAACAAACTTGGGCTCTTGGGAATTCTCACCTCGGACAGGAACGGATTACATGCAAATTTCGAGGTAATGTAAGCAGAATATGAAAAAAGTTAAGTGAATGGTTTTAATTAATTTTCTTTCAAACCCGATACTTTCGAATATAAGTGTCCTTGTGATGTATCATTTGTATTTATGAAAAATTGTAGAGTGGCTTTGTGTAGACAATGGATTGCAAATTCTCTAATTCTAATACCGGATGACAAATGATATTTTTTGAGGAGTTAACAATGAATGTTGAAAAAAAAAACTTTGTTAACAATGCTGATTTGTCGTTAAGTGGTGTTGTTCTTGATGGTTTTAATTCATTATTTAGAAGCACAAAAAATCCAATCTGGATGGGAGGTAAAAATAATTGCAATCTAATATTTGAGAAAACTAATAATAAATAACCAGCTGAATAAATAGGAAAACATACCCAATACCTAATAGAAAGTACATTGTTAATTCATTATCTAGTAATTTTAAAAGCTTCCTATTTTTACGAGACCATGAAATTCAATTACTTGGCCCACTCGCCGCTCCGAACGCTAAAAATTATGGCATTTCTTAAACTTAATATCCTCCATTCTCCGTCATAAATTTACTTTCTATTAAAAACCATTCCCAAATTAAAAACACTATTATATAGAATGTAATATTACTTTATGGCATGATAAAGGAATGATAATACCATAAAACTGATATAAATGCGTTTAAATATTTAGAAAATAAATAGATACAAATTAATAACCCCTCAATATTAGAATTACCATACGTAACTACGAATATCTGGAGAAAACACAAGGAGTCTCTAATAATATTAATTATTCCTCTAACGAATTAGTTCATAACGGATCGAATTAGCGGAATAGAATTTTCATAAATTTCCAGGGTAATATCAGGTGATTATCCTTGGCTCTAGTATACGCTGCTCTGCTATCAGAAACGCCTCTCCGAATGAAATACGTCCTCAAATCTGATAGCTGTCAGAACGTGGTGTAATGAAATTTGGAAGTCGTACAATGTCGGGATCTTAATTGGTTTTATTACTTTGGATTCATGTAGGAACGTACATAATCGCGAGGGAAATGAATATTGGTTCGAGAGAACAATCTTTGGAAACAACACTTTCTTCGTAAGCAGATTGATTGCTAATTGTGACGCATGTTAGTGACTTTGCACTGTGAACTCGATGATATCAGGAAAGAGACATTTTATTTTCTCGGGTAAAATGTTATTAACCTCTTTTGTAATGTAAAGTAAACTAAGTAGGTACCCGCAGAACTTTATATTATTTCAGTAGTAGACCTATACATAACATAACAAATATTATATTATTTATATTATTATTTTTAGTATTATTATTTATTCCCTCGTTGGGAATGTGGGACCAAAAGAACCTGATGGAAGAAATTTTACGTTTCTTATAATGGGAAATATATCTTGCTTTGCCATACTGTAAGGTCTCTTTTTGTTTGTATTTCAATTTTAGTGAAATTAATTTCATTTGCAATCTTATAAACTCGCTAATAGTTTTCACCAGACAGAAAAAAACGGTGCATACAGCATCGCCAACTTTTGTCCTCGGTTACATTCAAGCTTTCCCATTCAGGAGGAAGGGCAATTTTGAAAGTACAACTTTTAGGGTTGTACTATTTAATTCAGCCCCAAATTAATTTCCTTAGTTCGAAATTTCCAGTAAAGTTGAAAGGCTCTTCGAGCTCATTTGTGGGTTTCATGCACAGCTCCGTTCAGACAAATCAGGAATAATATTAACGAGTTAATAGTTCCTACTTCTACTCATGCAACCTACTCGTATACTAAATCTAAAAAACTATTACTTCGGAAAATGTAGGAATAAAGTATTTGTTAGAGATAAAATTATGTGGCTAATATTTATGATTTTTAAAAAGAGATAATTATTCTTTGTGTCTACCGAAGGTAACTACGTGGTTCATTATTCTTGTAATAATTTAATATACTGGTTAATCTGAAATTTAACTCTATTATACTAACTTACCCGAACGTAACGAATGGGTACAAAATTCCACGAAAAACGACAAATGTATGGGTCCCATTGGACCACGGAGCCAGCAAGTTAGTATTACGTAAATAATTATAGGAACGAACGTTACCACTTCCATTATGCGGTTCGTAGAATATCGCGTCCACGAGGAGAGAAACGGAGAAAATGGAATGGTTGGCGTCCAGCATCAGTGGCCTAGTCAGGCCATTGTCACATTCATAGAGATTACGACGTACAGTGCATAATTATTTTCCGGCATCGGTTCGGGTTAATTAAAAATTCAGGTGTTTCACATGAAGTTTTTTTTTGGCTACTACTTTTTTTGTTTCATTTATGTGCTTCGAAATAAAGATTTTGGTGTATAAATTCATATGGTATCGGATAAATTATGTATTTATATGCATGGAAAAAATGATTATATTTTTGCCAAGCATCGTACAAAAATGTTTGAAGTAAATAACAGTGCTTGTAACTAATGAAAACATATCACTCCGTTCTCGAACTTTTTAGATTTATTTTCTTCCAAACTACTTTATTTTTACCGAAACGAAGTGTTTCACAAGACTATTTATATTTTCGCCACATAACAAAAGCAGCAATGTTTGCTCTTCTCTAGAGCTGTTATCCCATTATCTTATTAAATTTTAGCCAGTTTTGTGTTGGTGTGCTTCTGTTCCCGTTGTACGTGACCTTTCGGCTGTTAACAGGATTCTATCTCCGGGTTCAGGAAAAGGATGTTTCGTCGGTCCGGACGCGGCTTAGAGACCTCACCGACCGGATCTCTACCAATACGCGATGAAGAGGGATCACGACCACATCCAGCCCGCCGCCCTATAAAGCACATATACGAGATCGCCTTAAAAATAACGGAAAATATAAAAGAGAATTTTTTTGTGGGGAGAAAAATCCAGACGAAATTTAGTTTGTTTTCAGGATTGCGGTTAGTTGGATTGTATTTCAAAATTTGGTGGATATTCATCTGATCTTAGGCTACTCCACCATTTTTTAAAATGTGGTGTAATAGTATTGATAAAAATAATTTATACTGTATCATTTAAAATTATAATGAGCTTGAGACATTTTAGCAATTAGAAAGTATAGAAAGAAGGAAAAAACAAATATTATAGAGCATACTTTTTTATTCACCATTCTGCTGTTATTACTTTATTATTCACAATCCTCCTTATTACGTTCAGCTGAACTTCATTTCATTTCGAAAAATATTACTTTTTCGGCGTTTCTCTCTTTGCTAAAATAAATATGTAAATGCATATGCAAATTAGATTGCCTGTCTAATATTAGTATGCAAAGCCACAGTAGCTTTAAGAATAGAACGTTTAGATGTAGCGATAACTGTCATTCTTCTTGGCAAGTAGCGAAAATACCATTTACTTGCAAATGACAAGAAAACGATTTGGCAACGAGAAATTCGCGAATGTAACGCCTTGGTATTATGATGGTAAGCGTTAACAGTTTATTTTATAAGTACTTTCATTTCTCCTGAAATTAAATATTTTAGAGACCTATTGGATTAAAGCGAAAATCCGATGGTAAATCCTTCTCATAAATCCTTCTTTTACTTAGACACGTGAAAGGGAATAAAATCAAACCCAATTTTTTAAAATAATAAACTTTATTACCATGTAAAACATGATACAGTTCAAGCTTTCCTATCAAATTATTTTAACAGTAAAGGTGACTAATATTGCTTACTAATAGTTTTTTACATTGGTAAAATAAATACATATATTTACAGAAAATTTAATACAGGTGGACTACAATAGAGGCACAATATTTATTACGATATTCATATAGGATTTCAATGAAAATATTTCTAAGTAGGTAATTATTTAGAGTTATCGCTTACATACACATATGTTTTGATTTGGTTAACGAATTGATATGAATCGAAGATAGATTAAAAAATTTATTATTCGAAATTCAAATATAACAAATATATATTTGATGGAGAAAAACTTTTGTCGAGAAGCTTGAAAATGCTTTAAAATATATTCACTATAGTATAACAATTAAGTAATTAACAAATGGGAAATTTAAAATCTTTGGAAATAAATTTTTTCCATTATTATACCAACAAGTTTTTGGGTTCTTTGAACGGTTTTTAAAGCCCATCTAAAAAAGAAGTGCTGCAAATAAAATAAAAAATAATTTTTTACCTTAAGAAATTTGATAAATTAATTTTGAAGAGGACCTATGTAATAACTTTGCCTAACTATATTCTACAAGACAAATGGTTTTGTGCGAGATAACAATCTAATGTAATTAATTAATTTTAGAGGAGTTTTATATTAAAAACCAATCAAATCGGTATTAAAAAATACACATCTTAATTTATCTACTAATTTTTAGAAAATTTAACGCGTCGTACTCATGAAATCGGAGATAAATTTAAATAAACAAAACATCAATTTTTAAAAATATAGATAATTCAAATTTGCTAGACGCTTCCTTTCAATTACTACCTAACTCAAATAGGATATCTTTCTACTACTTCTTACACAGTGCACACCAATTAAACTCGCATCTTTAACGTTTAACGACGTCCATCAGGACAAAATTAGCCAACAGAAATAGTAATTAACTACATATTATTTATATCCAAGGTAGACAAGACGGTCCTCTACATTCAGGACCGTATATAAACGGCAAAGAGTACCGTTTACGGGGTCACTTTGGTCTAGGTGGAGGCTGAGGTGGCTGCGACGACTGACTAGGTTGTGATGGAATCGTCATTTGTCTAGAGGGTAGATTTCTACTAGGAACAGGAGGAGGCTTACTAGAAGGTAAAGACAATTGCGATTGTATAGTCCTAATGCCAGGAGGGGGCGCAGGTGGCGCCACACCTACCGGCAAAGCAGGCGGAGGATACTTCGGGGGACCCCCGACAGGCGTCACGGATCCCGGCTCGGGGCTCGTCGGAGGTGGAATGTTCTGTGGTGAATGGAGATCTTCTCCGGAGACGTCTTGGTTTGCCGCCTTCAGATAAGAGGTGAGGTTAAGTTGAGTTACATCGACCGATTTTTTTGCTGCTTTAGGTTTATCTGAACCCGCCGCCACGTAAGAGAAAACGCACAATACGGAATAGCAGATTTGATCCGCCTGAAAACAATTCATAAATATAAAATATTTATTCCTAAAAAGATACGATAAACTTCTCTTATGTCGATTTCTCTACATTTACAATATTAGGTACTTCACTACATTAATTATTTAAAACTACTGTAGGCAATCACTACAGAATGAATTCGAGTATCAATTAAGTTCATGCGTGAGTAATATTATGGTTATTATTTTAAAGAGTCAAAAAGAAAAATTCTCTTACTTCCACATAGTGTTGTCATGCATTAGAAGTAACGCTATGATCAACAAGTTGCTGTGCCATGCAAATAGACAATATCCTGTGGAAATTATGTAAGATGTGGCTAGCCTATAAACATCAATGAAAAAAATAGAATCGTGCAAAACTGAAAAACATCAATATAAGGATGAAAAGCTCCAAAACACACATAAGGTCTTACAATACAAATAGTATCCGAAAATTTAACACGCTTTAAAATTTGTAGTTTAAATAGAATTTGCATTAAAAATTGCTAAATAGATTTTTTTATCCAATTGTCTTAAAACGTGTTAAGTTATTTCTAAGCAATAATTTCCCAAATTTATTAAAAAAAAATTGTGAAATTTAGCAGTCTACAATATTATTAATAATTCTATTCCATACTCATAAATTACTATTACAAATCAAACACCTATCTTACCATGGGTGATTTGTATTTCCTTTGAATCACTTGCCGAGTTTTCGGATCTGAAATTAAGTAATGGGTTAGGTATTATTCATTGCATAATGTTCGAATACTTACTAAACTCCTCTAATACAAAAATGTTCGATTTTTGCGTAAAACATTTCCTTATGTGAATTATCCTAACGAAAAACTGCAAGTATAAAAATAATTTTATTACGCTTTGTTCGATACTAACGATATTAAAATTTGCGTCTTAATAAGTTATTAATTCAAACGCCTCCATCATCATAGAAGGAGAATTGAATAATTTTATTTTTCAGTTGCGGTGGTGCTACAATAATCCTAATTAACTACTAGTGCTACAAACACAAATCATCACTTCCATTATTTGTAAGATAACTTATATACGTGCATAAGTCTTGCTAAATATCGTTTATATTGTTAAATTCTCAAAAATGTCTTTTACCTGTAACTTAAGAAAAAAACAGCATATTCAAAAATATTAACAAAACCTAATTCTAAAATTATGAGACACAAATTTTAATATTCAGAAAAAGTTGAAAAAGCGAAAAGCGACCAGTACATGCGCAATAGCCATCATGCCAGAGCCCTAGGCAACTTTAGAGATGGTTTGATAATGTTAATATGAACCTACATTGGTTAAAACTAATTATTAGTGTACATGAGGTGTATAAAGTGTGTTAAAAAGTGTTAATAATATTAATCTAGTGCAAAATAGTGTGTTAGTTGCCATGCGGTATTTACCCGCAGAGGTAAGCAGCTAGGTTGGCTACACTTATGCGCAACACTAAGATTTCATTAGTACTTATACCAGATAACTCGAGTTACTTGTTTATGAGCCGGTCATATTTCGAAGAGAAGTGAGGTTGAATTAAAATTCAAGATAAATAACTACATCAATCGAAAATAATCGTTGTTGTACGCTCAACTTATTAGTACATTATTGTAGAATGTCCAATTATATTATTTCAGCAATTCGTAAACATTTTTGTTTCATTAGTAGGTACATCTCTGGTATCCGATCAAGATTTAACAATTTGCCATTAGATAATATAATTAGACATCTATTAAAACTTATTATTGATTTATATTAATACCGCGTAGGTGCCAATTTAAATTGTGAACATATTTTTAGGATGCATTAGCTGAAATCTACAGGAAAGCAACTATTCTAAACAAAGACTATTCACTAAAAACTAACGATCAAAAAACTCTAGACCACTTTTTGTATATACCTCAAAGTCCTGCAAGCAGCAACGAATCGACGTGGACATATGAAGAAAAATAATAAACAATCATTAGTATTTGAATATTGACAAAGAGGACCATCTCAAAAGTTCCTATTTAAGCAAAATTTCGTAGGAGCTTTTTCTTGCTGCTCCCTCGCACAATTCTTTTTCACAATCATGACCACTCATTATGAACATTGAATTACAAAAAAGAAGAAAATATCGAAAAAGAACATTCAGCATTCAACAAAGTATACGTAACAACTGACAATAATTAACAGTACAGCTAAAATGAAGCAGGGTTTAGAATATAGTTTTAAAAATTGGTATTTGGTAAAAATATTTATTCTTTGAGAACTCATATCTGATCAAAGCATATACTTAGATTATTATTATATATATTAGATATATTAGATAATTTTATTTAGAACTATATTCCGCTAGTCATTTTGAGAACGTTCCGTTGACCAATATTACGGTCTTTCCATCTATCAAAAATTAAAAGAAAACAATTTTTGAACAGATGAAAGAAGACAAGAAACATAAAAATCCGGTAGCAAACTGTACTATTTTATTGTATATTCAATAAAATATAGTAAAAGAGAATAACAGCGGTATAGGAATTTGCACAATCAGCAGCATGCAAAGGATACCAAAGATATTATCAATGATAAAACAGGACAGAAAACATTTTGTGGTATAATTCCAAAAATTTATGATAATTAAAAAACTCCTGCTATTTTAAAATAAAAGTTAGGAAACAGCATTTCCTTTCAAATTATTGCTCAATACGAGCTATTTATACCACAAAATTCGTTTGTATAAATAAAAATAAAAATCAAATAATCAAATGAAATGTTCACTAATCATATTTCTGAAAAAGAAATAAGAATACTTGAGAATTAGGTAACAAATTGATGCTACGATAATACCACCTACATAAGAAACTTGTTAAATACTTCATAATGATAAGCCATTGAAAATAAAGGGTGTTAGAAATTCATGTTTTAAAAGTAATCGAATAAATCACAACTCATATAAAACTCTAAATTCATCTTTCATTCATATTTAAAAGTTAAGAAAAAATTGTAATTCAATTTTTGTACTTTTAAATATCAATTTAGGAGAGTTGTAATAATACAGTTTAAAATAAAATATCTTATACGTATCACACGTTCTAACATCAAAAATAAAAATATTTAATTTATTTCTACTAGACATAATTTAAAATCAAACTGAAAAGTCCTTCTATTAGGCGAAGATTCTTTTAATATAAGGATACAAATCAATACAATAAATAGAAGTAGAAGTTTTCTGCTGGAAGATCCCGACCTATCAAACCAATACACAATAACCAAAAGCCAAATACACGAAGTTGTTAGATCCGATAGAGATACAACAATAAATTGTATCTTTAAGAGTACTCCAGTTTTTTTTTATATTCATGTGTATTAAATCTCATTAAAATGTAATCATGGTAGCTAGATTATTTCATCAATTAACCAATATGAATACACTCACAATCACTTGCTCAAATAAGTTCTATAAAAACATGTGAACAGTGAAAATTAACATATAAGCAACAAAAAATTTTAAGAATAATACAATACAGAATACGCCATTGATTTAGTAATAAAACAGAGTTCCGCTTTAGCATTTGTTACGGCTGTTTGGCACATTATCCAGAAAATGATAGAATATTCCTTCAATTTGGTATGTAAAAATCCTTGCAACAGAAACCACCGAAATGCTAACTGAAATGATCAAATAAACTTGGTAATCGAGCGAGTGGTAAGAGCAAGTAGGAAAGTTTGAGTGGTCCTTGCAAAACAAATGCACAACAGCGCCTAGAACGACACGGAACAATCATAATAAAATAGGCGGTGGCTACAAATACATTAAAAATATTTATTAAACTATACAATTTCCAAAATGGAATGACTATTAACAATATCGAAATAATTCGTTGTAAAGGTAGCCACAAAACTTGATTGAAGGTCAAAATTTTCAATTTTAATCTTCAATTCGAACTGTTCGAAAATAAAAGTATTTTAAATTGGTGTACATTATTTTACGTTACAACATTAATATCTTCTGAGTAATTTTATGAGTTTTTAATAAAGAATAAACTCAGATAAATGCACACCAATAAAACTAACTTTGCCATGTAATAAACAATTTTACTACCATGTAATAGTCTAATATTTAAACCAGACTCAAATAAATACCTTGCTATTCGCGAAAAGTAATCCAACTCCCTCCATGCAGACCTGCAACAAACCACCCTCTCCCGTACTCATATCTTGTACAGGGAATTCCCCACCTAATTCCGGAGCCGTTCCGGCAACTCCGCCGCGTTCCATGGCTTCTTTAATGCAGTAGTATAATTGCTTGCACTAAACGAATAAATCAAATAACCAAAAAATGAAATGTAAGCTACAACTTCATACCTTCTTCGTGTAGTATTTATGCAGTTGGGTTTGCTGTCCATTTCTTCTCCAAAGACAAAGCACTTTATTCTTAGGGCTGTAAGTCATATTCACTAGCCTTTCGAACCACCACCTCTCTACTATTACCCCGTTTACAGATCTTAATACCAATCCATCATCTCGAACTTCCATGAACCTGTATGTGTAAAATAAAAAGTTAAGTGCAAATAAGGCACTAAAAGAATTAGTTACCTCAAATCGCCTGTACAATCTACACCTTGGTGAACTGTAAAACTTTGTCTATGCAATAGCCTCGATCCTAGAGGTTTCAAATCGATATCATTACCGTTCTAAAACATAATAACGAAAATTATAATTTTGTTAGTTTCACTAGCCTTGCAATTTTGTACCAGATTATGTATTTGGTCCAACAACTGATTCACTTCTTGGCTGTAAACTAAACCTATATGGCTTTTTCCCAACAACCTCCTGATTTTTCTCTTAAGTTCTTCTTTGCCACAATTGAGCATTACTAAAATAGCAGTCAAATTGTATAATTGCGTGGCGAGTAATTTATCCTCTTCGTGTTCCAAGCGCTTTCTCTCCGTGTCGCTCAAACTTTTGTACCTCTCCATCATTTCGCGAGGGCCCTATGACAACAGATTTTTGGGATGTATACCTCATCGAAAACAGATAAATTAAATGGTCTACCTGGTCCATCCCGATCATGTCCCTTTCCTGGGAAACTGCGTCGAGAAATACGTCTTCCCAAAATTGCATTTGGTCCCAGAGGGGCGATCTTTCTTTGGTAACCAATCCCTCGAAGAGGTAGGTTCTTACACCATCTGGACTAGGCGATGTTACCGTGTTGATAATATTTCCGCCGTGATAACGAAAACCCGCACTGATTGAGGATTTACTCGACCAAACACTTGATGTTCGCGGCTTTGGTATCTTTGGAAACTGCAATAGTACTTGTTAGTTTATTATACAAAAACGAGAAAATCCATCAAACTGAAGTCAAAAATTTGAAAAAAATAGATATTCCATGCATGCAGTAAAGACATATTAAATGGACATTTACAATTAGTAGCGTTTTAGATATATTTGAAGGTGTTTTAGTGAATGCAAAATGAACAGCTCAGATGGACATCTAGGTACGGCACAATGTGTGTCCTATCTTACCTGCAGCGTTTCGACTTCTGTGTCAGAAACTGTCGAACGGAAAGACGCCTGATTACCGCCCCTATTAAGGTTACAGGCGGGTCCCATCGTAATGGAGCCCGCTGATGGAGAAATAGTTCCCCCAGAACCATGCACAGTACTTTCGCCCTGTCACATCAAACAAGCACATATAGGAGTTGTTCCATAAGATAAAGATTACGATACGAAGCATAAATATTATTGCAGAGAAATATTATTCCTTTATTTGTACAAAGTGTCTCGGAAATATTTTCTTAATTTAGAAAATATTGTTCATTATCTGAGATGATAAATCTTTGCAAATGTATGTTTGTTATTAAACATTCTTATTAAATATGAATAAAAAAGTATATGTTTTTTTATAAGGAATAACGTTTCTAAAATATTTATGTTTCAGAATAATTTATTAGATAATGAAAAAAGCTTATCGGATTAGGTGTATTTTAATTAAATTTCGATATTCATATAAAATATTATGAATGTTGTTCCAAATTAGACAAAAGTATTTAAATTATTTCATTTAATCTTTTCATGCAATCAGATAGGTTTAAATATGAAGATGCAGGGTGAGTTCTATAACTAAAAATTATTGGTTTGTAGAGAATATTACGTATAATTTAAAAGCTTTATTTTTTTACCCAATATTCACCCTGTATAAAATCTATTAATGTGCCATTATACTCTTGGCCAATTACTGAGATAAATGCGAATCTTTGCCCTAATTGACTCTAATGAAAGTACAAAATTTTTACCATATCTTTGAAAGGAACAACTCAAAGAAAAAACACCAAAATCCATGCTTTAGACATAAAGAGCGAATTGTATGGACTTGGTTCAAACACAGAATAGAAGTAAATCTAACTTCCCATCTCTGTTTAAACCAAGTGAATGCATCCCACTTTAAAAGATCCCACTTACATCAGAATCGAATGATGTTAATTTACTCAGCAACATATTCTTCTTCTGAGTAAGCATATCTTTAAATATCTCCGTCGTGGAATGTTCCTTCTCCGATTCCGCTTCCTGAATAAGCCGAACTTCTGGTGGTTCTGCATCAAAAAATAATCCTTAGTGGAATGAAATAATAATAATCCACCCCAAAATACCTGCTTGAGAAGATTTTCTTGAGCTCTCCCAATCCGATGACTGCAAGGAATATCTAGGACTCGACGGAGATCGTGGACTAGAGGCCTGAATGAGTTAATTGCAATTTAGTGTTAATTTGAACCGAATTTAATATAGAGATATAGTTTACTTGAGTCATGTCGGGTCCCATGTGCTCGGTCATATCCTTTGACCAATAGTGAGTGTGCGCAATTTCGAATAGTTGAAACGCTGATGCCATTCCTCCCAATCCATAATTGCTGAACGTCACTTCTAACCCATGAACTACTGCTAGTAGCATCTTAAGCATTCCTTTCCAAACAGGTTTTGATATACACTGAAAATTCGTAAATTGTTAGCACAATAATGCGATATTTAAGCGAGAAATACTAACCACATCGTCTATGTGGTCGTCTGGTGAAATCCTCCTGTCAAGTGTTTTATTTAATTTACTTAAAACGAAGTTTCTATAAGATTCATCCTCCATAAGTTTCTTTAATCTGTTCAATTTGAGCCATCCAACGCCTTCGCCGTCAAGAACGCTTGTTATTACGTCTTTCAGGAAAGCCTGGTTTTCGCTATTAGTAGCATTCTTATCGGCAGCTTGTTTCCAATGCAAGTCCTCCTGTTTCCTTGGCATGTGCTTTATTAAAGGACTTTTTTCAGCCAGTCCCTTCGGACCTCTGTTGAATGGGCCAAACATACTTTTCGTTGGCTCCTTCTGTTTGTTCTTCGTGTCCACAACAGCTTTGGGTTGGTCTTTCTTCGATCCGAAGAAATTGGAGAACATATTCGTTGTGGAATCGGCCAAGCCGTTAATGTCGGAACTAATGTTGGAAAAGAAATCTCTACTAGCACCAGTTAAAACGTTCGATGAGGCAACTATTGCTGTGCTGGTGGAAGCCGGCTCCATTTGCTTGCTGAAAGAATCGCCCTAAAAAATTACAAATGATATTTTATTACACGAATCATTTGCATTTCTAATTCCTTACTCTAAGTAATCCTTTCTTAGTGACTACTTCTTTAGCACTTTTAGTCAAATCTCCGAATGTAGATTTCCCCACATATGTTAGATCATCAAGGGTCGTTTTACTCATAGCTGTTGCAGTTTTACTAGCCTCTAAAGCACTCTTTCCAGCTACTTGCACACTCTTCGTGGCTTCTTCGGCTGCTTTTTTAGCTTGCGATGTTAACTAGAAAGACACAGAAACGGATATTAAAATATGTAACTTAAAACCTAACGACTAACCTTATCAAATGGAGCAAACAAACTGCTTTCCTCAGCTTCGGTTAGTTTTTCTTTAGCTTGTGTTTTCAACTGTAAATAATGTTTTGTATTAATGTTGGTGAAGGTAGTGTTGTGAAGTCATTTCCTGGGAAATTTCAGCGCATATACCTTATCCATTTGAGCCAGCAATCCATCTTGACTGCTCTGTCTCGTGCTTTCCCTGACGAGCTCCTTAGCTTGGAAAGTGAATTGTTCGAATAATGACCCCTGAGAACCTTGCCTGGTAACTCCACCACTGCCGGAGGAAGTAGGAACTGGACTGGAATTCGCGGATGAGCTTAAAGTAGACGTTCTTGCCAATACATTACCAACGCTCGGTTGCTTTTGTAAAACGGGTGTTATAGGAGGCACCTGTTAATGCGTAAATATTCAATGTAAAATAACTAAATTTTTATTGTTACTTACTGGTGTTATAGATCGTCTTCCTTTCCTCGATGTGCTCGAAGTCTCCGTTTCGCTTGTTGGTGATCCTTGCCTAACATTGTTAGTGCTAACTACGGTTTTAGGTGTAGTGGTACTATTCGAATCCGATTCGTTCTCATAGCTACCAGTCTCTTCTTTGTCAGTCTTAGGAACGTTTTGTTCGCTTTTCGTTTTAAGTCCGAATTCCAATTCGGAATCTCTGTTGAAATCTGGCGAACTCAAATCCGATTCGCTACTCGTCGACGATTGCAAGGAATCCACTCGAGCGATGGGGATGTTCCCATCGGGATATCGAAGTTCCGAAGGAGGATTGTAGATGGTTTCGACGTCTACGCTAGACGAAAAAGACATGTGTTGTGCGTTCGATTTCCTTTGCTCGTGCAAAGAATTGTAACCGGGAGATAGATCCGACGAAACCATCTCGGAGACGAAGTCGCTCAGAGAGGAATAGCTCGAACTTGTACTTTCCCCTTCTTCCGAGTCCGAACCACTTTCGTCTGTTGGTTGGTGTTCGATGTTCTGCATGCTCCTTAAAGCACCTGGGAATCCATTCGATAATAAAGAATAAGTAAAATTTATGCAATAGCTCACCATTTAACGAACTGCCGTCGTCCCAAACAACGAATTTCACTGGTTCCAATGTGTGAATGTACCATTTCGGCTTGTCTCCTATTAAGGCAGGGTCAAGAACTCCGGTCTGGACCCTTTGAAAGGCAACGTTAGTTGGAGTCAACGACCATTCGGCCAAGAATTCGACCGCTTGGGTCCTGGCGAAACGATTTAGAAAATGGGAAGCCCTCGGTCGAGACCTCAAAAAACTGTTTATTTGAAAAGCGACGACCGGCCTCGGGAAGAGTCGAAGAGTTCTGGTATGCTCCGAAAAGTTGGCCAAGAGATTTTGAGAGTTGAAGAATCGTACCTAAAGTATTTAATTTGTAATGTAAAGGTTGATTTTCTTGGTTTCTTTGAATACTAACCATGGCAACTCGAGTTGCTACATCGACGGAGTCGATGTCGTTGCCGTAAATGAAGGGGTTGGAACCACTTGAAGGCGATGGGGGGCGCAAAGGCGGTAAGTAAGGTACTTGCGGTGTTAGCGATACTCTCGGTTGAGTGTTAGGACTGACTGCGAGAGGTGATGTAGATTCATCTGGTGATTTCCCTTTTGATTTTCTATAGAAGAATGGATTAAAGTAAGTTACATTGGTGTGTTGAAAAACAAGAGTTAAAGGTAGAAAACAGCAGTTTCAAATTTATCTACAAACATGCTACTGTGATAAACAAGTACCTGGAAATTTTAAACAAAAGGCAACATTCCTAATCTTCATTAATGTTTCTTGAGTGTTCTTCAAAATATGCTCCTTGAAGCGATATAGCACTACTAAAATGAACTGATTTAATAAGCTGCTACAACCAAACCGATTTAGAATTATTTCTAATTTTTTGCAAGCCTATTAAGAACAGTGTTACCTACATACATAAATTTGAAATAGTTGAAGCGCAGGTAATTTAAATCGGAATTTCCGGGTACTTCTTTGTCAGAAGGTAGGACCTTACTTACCCCAATGTATTTGCTGAACTTACACTCTCTCTTCGTGATGGTTGAAGCTGTTGCGTAGCTGTCGACTGAACGGCCAAATTCGTGATAGCCTGTGAAAGAAACATTGATAATCCCTTGGGCAATATTTGGTATTAAAAAAATTAAACACAAAATCTTAATTGTAACTTTAAGTTTCGACGTATAAAAGCACTTTGCTTTGTAACTAAACCTAAATAGCTGCTTTAATATTGGTAACTACTTACAAAGCTTCTAGAACTCCTATTGAAATAAAAACGAACAGTACTTATATTGATGTTTTAAATTCTTCAATATGATTTTGATTCGAATTGATTTTGATTCGAATTGATTTTGATTTAAGAATGTTAGCTTAAGTGCTTTTTTAACATTGTAGGAAGGAGATCAATTTAAATGAGTATTAAGTAATTATTTATATTATAAAAAGGTCTTAGATTATGATAAATATGTTGAGTATTACCAATACTGGCGAAGTAAGCTAAGTGAACATAAAGGATCTCACATTATTACTGCAAACAACCTCTACTATAATTAAAAAAGGGTGCATTTTTACAGTCGTAATCCGCAATTAAATATCACTCCTCTCTTTCCGTAAATATTAAAATATATCTAAAATTAAAACGATTAAAAAAGAGAGAACTTGTTGAAAAAGAGAATATTGTCTTACAAATAAAATCGAACAATGCAAAGATCAATAAAGTAAAAAAAAGAAATAACTTGAGTAACATTTGCATAAATTTAAATACGAATAAATTTAGTGAAAGGTGCAATTTTAAACAAGCCTTTTCTACAGCAACCTCTTCTTGAAAATTTACACATGCAAACATATTTCCAAAGATAAAGTAGGTAGCGTAAGTATAGATAAAAATAGTTTTCAAAGTATAGTGTTAATATAATTACTAAACGTTTATTAACTAATAGTAAAAGTGATATCTTTATCGATGGAAAAAATATCATTCAAACAATTTTAAATGTGCAAAATAATTGGATATTTACTCCGGTGCCAACTTGATCCATAAGTTGCATTGCCTTGTTGGTAAGAAGCAAAAGTAGAAAACGTTATGAGAGGTAATAAAAATACATGAAAAGGAAGACATTAATAAGGTTCCAAATAAATTTGCAAATTACCTGTTTCAGATGGTTTTTCAAAATCGTACCCTCCGGTTCCGGCAACGGGGGTATTTCGCTTGGAGATATTAACTTATTCGAATCCAAATCGATAAGCCAAATATCGTCAGGTAATCTGTAATTTAATACCGTAAATAGAGGTACATTGTACGTCTTCAGCAGGTACTTACTTGAAATTTTTTTTGTACATTAAGAAACTAGCTGGAAGACCAATAACGAACGGTGTGGGTGCAAGTAAAAGCTAAAACAAAGAAGAAATCTTTATAGTCCGATAAGAATAATAATGATATAAGATAATTTAAAATTGAGTTCTTTTTTAAAATCATTATAAGCCTACTAAAAGAATTAAATTATTACCTGTTCTGCACAGCTCATACAAGTCGGCAACAAAGGTATAACCGGGAACATATATTCTAGAGGATATAACATTGTTACGAAAGCCATCACAGACATAGACAGAGCATTGTAATCTCTAGATTGAAAAACCACTTTGTTTTCCAACAGTATTATGGTTAGGACTTTCAAGCAGGTATCTACTCCTATAAAAGAAAAAAATTAGTATGCTCCAGAAGGTATAGTTAACAAATTGCTGACGTACCTAGTAATTCTAAAGGCAAATGTAGCGGAAAGTCAACTAAAGAGAATCGAGTGTGACTCGGTAAGGCAAACATAAGAGGATCGTATACGCTTGGTGATAATATTTCAACTTCAACTCTGCAAGAAACGAACGAGTTATACTTTTTATAATATCTCCAAAGAAAATTGAGTTTACTTAGTTTTCCCGGGTATAGGTACAGGAGAGGAAAGCAACTTGAGTATCCAAGTTTCGATTTCTTTAACGTCGTGGATAACTATAGATGAGGTAGTATCAGTAGCGTGTCCAGTCAACACACTCCAAACATTATCCCTAAAATTTAAAATTTACAAATCGCTAATTACTGTACATTTTTATTCCTCACCTGGACAATTGTTTGGAAGCACCAACTCTTCTTGGATTTGACGATTCGTTACAAGCATCAATCAACTTTTTTAGGATAAATAGGCATTCGCGAAACATTGAAAAAAACGGATGATGCGATAGAATACAGAGCGATGTTAACGACAAATTTCTTAATCGCTGGAAATTGTAAATAACATTACTAACATTGAGTATTTTGATGATAAAATATTAATACCTGACGACGACGGCTTGCTCTTGGAGAAGGAGAATGACTACCTCCACTTTCCGAATCGTTCGCTGGAATAACACCGAGTCGTGGGAGGTTAGCAGTAGTTGATTCGGAGTCTCTTCTGCTCGGACAATCTTTATCTGAATCGCTAGGAGCAACGTTACTGCTTCGATAGTCGCTAGAATCAAGGATTATATCCAGAACTTGAGGAATTTACAAAAAATGCAGTATGAATTGAATGCTTCAGAACTAGTGTATGTAGTAATAGAAGATAGTTCGATAAAAAGATATTATTGTAAGATGCATTGGAATATATTTGCTTATTAACGAGCAGTTCAATTAAATTCACAGTGATCATTACTCAGAAAACTGTAGAAACGTCTGGAAGAAACTATTAAATTCCTACAACGGTTTCCGATAAATATTCCAATTTAATCAACGCAAAACAATAATAAAAAACTACTTTAGTAGCGGGATCGAATTTATTTCCTTAGCGATAAACCAATTAATGGCAATTCTTATGAGCTATTTCGTATTCCAATCGTGGGAGTCGAGTAGGTATTATTTGTTTAACGGTATCAAGAAAATAAATCGATTTAAATTAAATGGAAAAAATATAACGTACTATACAGAAATATTGGTACTTTGCAATGCTTCATGTTTAAAATGAATAATTGGATTTACCTAGAAAAAGCGGAATCTGAGCTTTTCTCCATACTCTTCCTCCACGAATCCCTTCTCAAGCTAGTGTTAGCTCTGCCTTTTCCGATGCTCAAATTAGCCGGCGCCTTTTCAATCGGTCTATAAAAATTTACGCAAATGCCGTATCTCGTTTTGCCGGAATCTTTATCGGTAAGAGTAAATACGAAAGACGAGGCTTCTCTAAGGGCTGTCCTTCTGGGTCCTACCGAAGAACAGCCCTCTGGTTGGCAGAAGTAAACCATGTCCAAGGGCATGGGGAAGTCCTTGTGATCCTGAATCGGATAGCGACGAAGGAGTTCAGGTATCTACAAATAAACCATGACCATCACACTTCAGTTATAGGATTTAGCGAATCGACTTGTAATCGATTTGATAAATAATTACCTGAATATGAGGATTGGTGTTTTGTTTTGAAGGAATATTGCTATATCGTGTCCCAACTATAGTAAGGTAGTCTATAAGTCGGGGACAAAGGAATTGCCTCTCGGCATCTACAGACATTTTGGTCCACTTGTTTTTTCTCGCCGGGTCACCTAATCATTATACGAAATTATTGTGTTCCGAATTGCGTTTTTGTATCCCAGTAAATTGGATTTGTTCAATCTGGAAAAGTAATGTAATTATTAGTTAATTCACTCTTTTTTTTTCGTTATGAACGCCTACACATGGTTATTTTTTATTGGGTACCTATATACTTCTATTTTAGAGAAGTAGAAATCATCGATAAAAAAACGATCGACAATTTATTATTACTTCTAATTTTATTAAAAAATTTATATGGGAAATAATATATTTTACAAAGTTATTACACTATAAAATATGCTCACCATTCTTTAGTGGATTTATTACATTTATAATAGAAGCATGACCATAACGTTACGCGATGAGAAAGAAATAAGCAGCGAATTTAACTTTACTGCTTCCCTGACAATACCGAAAAGTTAATCAACTGGCTAGAACTAAAAATATACCTTATTGAAAATTCTCGTATAAAGTAAAATGCGATAAACAATTCGTTATCAATTAGAGAAGTTATGTATGTGGGTAACAATGAAAAACGTAACGCGGTTTCGTATTTGTCAGGAAACAATTCCTTTTCGTAAGTAAAATATAGAAATAATTATTTTACCTTCTATTTAATAAATAATGTCGAAAAAACAGTCGATTACGTAGATACTCTTAATTTCTATTACAATTTAATAGTTTCCTTAAACTGCAAAAATCCTAATTAATTTAGGTACTCCTTCTCTTAATTTTTTTATGATAACTTATCAATAATTAAACCGCAAGTTAAATTTAAAAGGATTTATAGTCTGGCAGATTATAAGCAAAAAAATTATAAAATCTATTAAAAGGAGTATGTAAAACCTTATGATAGAAACCTATACAGGGTGTCTACTATAAAAACCGCCAAACTTCAGGAGGTGATTATTCAAGTAATTTCGAACCAAAAATGTCCTATAACACTTTTTCGAATAGTTGATAGCTTCTCTTTTATTTAACATTTCATAGTTCAATTTTTTAGCAAAAAGACGAAAATATCACTTTTATTTGTATAGTCGCATTAATTTTGATCTCATACCGCAAAAGTGTATTAAATTTGCTATAAGAAAAGTCTTTTTCAGTTTGAAAAAAGTTTAATCCCAGGTGTTATAAAAGATTTAATTGTTATAATTATGAAATGAACATAATTATTCGTATCTTTTATTCGTAAAACCAAAATTTACTATCAACTTTTCGAAAAAGTTTTACGTGACATTTTTTGTTCAAAATTACTTGTATAAACACCTCCTGAAATTTGGCGGTTTTTATATTAGACACCTGAATATTCATATTACCTTCACAAGAATATGACCCACATGTTTTTAGCTACAATGAATAAATTTAATTACAATAGAAGTAATTACATATTTACCTAATCAGGCTTTACTTAAAAAGTGTACCTACTTAATTAGTACAATGTTAAGGTAGTGCCTAATGGTGAAATAATATCTTTAGAGGAATAGAAAAAAACTAATTTAATATAGTACAATAAACGTACAACTTACAATTAAAACACGGAAATGAATTGAGTATTAGAATGATATTAAATAAATGCTTTTTATAATTTTCTAAGGTTGCGCGTGCTGAAAACGTAGTGTGACGATAACGAAAAATGGATCAATAACGACTCATTGAGTTCACGGCCTATTTATGGTTTAAAACATATATACCAAAAATCGTGATCAAAATCAAGCGCAAAAATTGTACACACCTATTTTTATATCAATGGAAAGTGAAGGGAAGATTTTGAATTAAAAAAAATCAATCACAATTTTTCAAAATTTCGTTCCAGCCATCACTATAAAAAATCAACGAAGCATATGCGATTATAATGCGATATTTTGCACTTACCCTCTGGAATCTTTTCCACGAACTGCCTGTCCATGTTCTCCAAGACGATTTTCTCGGATTTCCACGCCCGTTTACATGATTTCCCCGGAATCTTCCGATATAATAACTCCAGTTCCAACTCAACGCGCATGAACCGAACGAACTGCGCACATTGTACGATTACTCGTCGCCGATACTCTACGTTTTTCTCCCAAAGGATCAGACAGTTTTCAGTCTAGGTCAAGAACGTATTTTGGGGAATCAATAATGAACATGGAATCAACAATTTAAAGAATTTTTGAACTCTAAACATATTTGCTTGATCGAGAGATTATTAAATTAATGATCAAGTATTATCACTGATCATGCTGGTTAAAGTCGTACACTAACGAAAAAAAAAATAAATGTCCACTCAGTCTTTACCATGACCCATGATAACGTTTGGAATTATGGATAATTGAGTCATTTACACATCAATTCCTTCAATTTTCCAGCAATTTTACGTACGAACTCTTGTGATTTTCTTTAGTACAAAATAAGAGCTATAAGAAAAATGCATACTTACTCGTACTCCTTCTAGGTATGGGAAATGGTAGTTGAATAAAAATCTTGCACTTAAAAAAATGTGTACTATTTATTAAATATTTGTAACAGGTATTTATTATCTCTGTTTATTTTATAAAAAAGGTGGTCATACGGAAAAAGAAAATGTACGTTTTCTTTTTCCATTAGAATGACCACGCAAATCAATTAAATTTAAAACTGATGTCTTTACATTTTTACAATATGTACTGTTTGTGTCAAATATAAATAATAAGAAATAAACTTCAACATCGATTTTAGATGGCAGGGTTACATTAAATGAATGTAAGTTGTGAAAAATTGAAAATTTTGTTACAGGAGAAGAGAGGATTTTCAAAATGATTATTAAAGTTTGGGTATACAAATTTTCGGAATATTCTCCGAGTTATAAGATAATTTAGAAATTAAATTTCCGATTAGTTTTAGAGGACACTATTAGAGGAAATAAGAAGTTATTGGATTATGAAAAGGATCTCTTTTTGTGACATTGAAATTAGAACTCACATTATTTAATGGCGCCCCGACTGAGTAGGTATCGAAATATATACAATTATTTGCAAATAATATACAACTATTACAAAAATACTACAACGATGCACCACTTAATAACAATTTTTACCATACTCCTAATATTTTACAAATTTTACAAAATAAGTACTCAGCGGATCAAATCCCGTATTTTCTTTCCTTTTGTATACCAAAAAAAAACTAAAATCCATAAAGCAAATGTCTGTGTTTTGTCGCTTTGTTATGGAAGAAATGTATTTACTAAAGATTAACAACAAATCACAAATTATTTTTTACCTAGATATAACGTAAATCAAAATAATGAGATATTATGAAAAATTCCAAAATGAAAACAGAAAGGGAGGAAAATTTATGCAATTTATGCTATTCAATGTAGTTTTTTTTTACTTATAAATAGTGGAATTTTTTCAATGTTATTTCGATATTACAGAAATACAATTTGCAAAGCTATATTAAATCATATAATTTAACGCTTTTCAGTTACGAATCATCAAAATTAATTTTGCAATAATAAAAATTATTTTGATTTACGTTTAGTCATAGCCAAATAAATTATTTGTTATGAACACATATTTTATTTTAATTTTTGATTTCGATTTCCTAATCCTGGAAATTTAGATCAATTATTGTTTTTTTTTTTTAATATTTATTGATATTGTGAATTAATACCTCCAAAATGCTGCAATATTAGCAGTATTGCAAGTAAAAAATGTATAATTTTGAAAAAAAGTTCAATTTCATGGTTAATAATTCCAAAATAATATGAGGTAAAGATTGTGTTCATATTGAAATAGCATAGAGTAATTTTATAAAAAAAGTAATAGCCTATATTGCAAACTAAGATGCATCATTTTCCTGTAAAACATTTTTGTATGCGTTATAAGAATGATATAAAATGCATTCCTATTTGAAATATCGACAAATTTCTGATTACATCGCAGCAATTTGGAAAAATATTTTCAATTTTGTAAAAATTATTGTTTGGACCTACAAACTAGTAAGTATTTATTATCATTGGCCATCAACAGCGGTTTCTGATGGCAATAGTAGGTTTGTTGAACGTTAGTAAACGACTAAACATAATTTTACAGAAATTTATCCTCAATGCAAATGCAATTATACTAAGTATATGTACATATTTACAAAAACTGGGCAAAAATTTGCTATAACAAAATACATACAACTATAACCATTTCTATGAAAAATAATTCACAACTACTCGAAAGATCGCTTAAAAGAAAAAATAATTATACATCAATCAGTTATTGCCTTTGTTTTTATGTAATTTGAGTGGTTACGTTACAGAAAACGTAAGTAACTCAATAATTTATTTTTCCTTCAAAGAAATCTTCGTTTCGAATATTAACTATACTAAATTAAGAAAATATACACAAAAATGAATTTCATCAAATTCAATAAAACTACTATTGGTGCGATTCTAAAAATTTGATTTTCTTTACATTGTTGCAATTTTCAAAATGTAGCAATTTTTTAATTTATTCATCTACACTTGAAACACAGCAAAATTTAACTTAATCTAAACAGTTGCCCAAAATAATTAATTAAAAACACCAATTTTTTTTATTTTTTCTTTTAGTTAAAAGTGAGGCGTATTAAAATGTAATAATCATTGTCCAAAGAATTCCTATTCATGCACCCGCAAAATAGCATTTGGAATTTTAATCAAAAGTTATTGAACAGTTATTATTTAAATAGAAGCCAATTATTTTAAAACCGATATAAATGAAACATAATATTAAAGGAAACAATATGTTTGTTGCACAAATATTCAAAATTAAATTCTCTTTGGAACAAACAATTGAATACTGTAAATTTACATTAGAAATGTTTTTAAAATGTAAAAATGGATTAACTGAATAAAGATCAAAATTAAATTCATGGATAAAGCATCGATTTGAAACGAAAATTTCATGAAATTTTTACTTTGGTAACGGTTTAAAAAAACCATTGGCTATAATTAATACGCAACATTATTACTGTCTAAAATAAACAAGACTATATTGAACTATAAATTATATCACACTTATTCTGTTATTGTAAAAGAATATCGCTAAATATATCGTGAAAACTATATTTACGGAAAATATTGTTCGTTGATAAAAGTTTACAAATAATTAAATAAAAAAATACAATCAACCATTATATACACAATTTCGATTTGAAAATATATGAATTTAACAAAGCACAAAACCGTTTTACACCAAGTCCTATGATTTGAATGCTATTAAATTAATTTGTACTGATGAGAGATGATTACACAAAGATAATTATCATTCCACGACTCGTAACCCAAAGAAATACATTAATGATCGTAAAAAATGAACAAAGATATGCTAATCGATTTCGATGTGACTCGTAGATAACAAACAGCAAGATTTAAAAAATTTGGCACAGTTCTCAAATATGATATTAATAAATGAAAGCAGCACCTGCCCAAGCAATATATCGAATTTTCTTTACATTACAAAAAAAAAATTCTAAATAGATTTTTTTTATGTAACATCTCACTAATTTTTAAAACTTCAATAATTTACATAAATCCATTGTTAATGAGTTAATTGAGCTACAATATTGACTGGGGGTGATTGACACTTTGTATGTGAATAGCATCACAAATAAAACCAAGAACTGAGTTTAATTTGATGTCGGCACTTTCTTGAACTTGCCAGTTGTTAACTAAAGTCGCAGAAATGGAACGATATTAAAATTCATTTAATTCTTTAGAAGACAGTCAATATTACACATTTCGTAAATAGAATTATGAAGTGGAAAACACTGAACGGTACTCTTTTTGGCACCAATACATGCATTTATACACATAGGAACAACAATAAATTGTGTAATGTAACGAGCAGTAACTTGAGATCACAAATCTCTTTTTTTTTCAAAAAAAAAAAAGAAAAATTGTAGATACATTAGAATGGGCTTCTTTTTGCATACAATTTATTTTATCATAAATCAACGTAAGCTGTTATTTACCTCATTCGAAATATTGTTAACTAACATTTTAAAACTAAATTTTAATTAAGCAATGTCATTTTAATTAATATATTAATAATACTGTAATAAAAGTTGTGCAAAAGGAAACCATCCTTTCTACAATCTAGCCAGGGAAGCTGTTTTCGTATAGTGGCAGTTTTTATGTATATAAAAAGTATTGACAAAAGTTTTTCGAATATAAAAAAAATAAGACTAGCTTAATATGTAATGTACATTACTGAACTTTCTAAAAAAGAACGACTATTGCGGATCTGAAGTACTAGTTCTTCTTCTTATGTTGCCCAATAAATTGGATTGGTTAAGACAGAGCTGTTGGTACTGCTGAATGTGAGCTTGCTTTTGCAATTGGTTATTGATAGCCGAGCTTGAAGCCAACGTAACTTGCGATGAGGCATCTGAGATAAAATTCATTGTAAAATCTCTCAAAAATCGTTATCACAGAAAATTGATTCACTTTCTAAGTTTAATCAAACATTAAAGCATGCATTAATCATTTTCAAAAATATGACTGACTTTAAATGACTGATATTTAAATGACTGATATATTTAAATGACTGAATTTCAATTATCAAAATTTAGCTGCAAATCAGTAAACTGACTTGTTCCAGGTGTTGCCATCTTGATTGTAATCGGTGTTCTTTGGAGATTCCGAGCCGTTAACGTTTGAGATTGAGAGACGGTTTGTTGCACTCTAGGTCTCTGGATTGAAGTAAAAAACTGAAACGGTTGACCTCCTTGCGTTAAGGACATCGTTTGCTGACCACCCGAGGTCCTGAGACCTTGTTGTGTCACTCCTTTCACACCTGATGCCACCAATTGAGCTAAATTAAAAGAACATGATTTAAAAAAGGTCTTTATCACTTATCAGAAGTTGTAAGAGGCAAATTAAATATGAACCGGAATTTTCTTCGTAAAGAAAATCATGTTACCCACTCTCCCTAGGTGAAGTGAGTAACATGACGTCTTGATATACAGGGTGTCAATTAATTGAATGCCGATACTTCAGGATGTGAATATTTGGTTTATTTTAAGAAGAAAAGTTTATATCAATGTATGTTCTAAACCTTTTAGTTTTCGAGCTACATGGTGATAAAATTTTAGAAAAAAAAAATAACTTTTCTATCATAATTACTCCAGATATTTTTATGAAAAGGTTTACATGGGTAAACTGCGAATTTTGGGTTGGTTCGAGTAGGTTTCTCGTGGCATAACGGGAACCCAAGAAACCGAACAAACCTTCCCTACCCTACCATATCTACCCAGGTTTTTTCGCAGTTTAAACAAGTAAACCTAAGTTCAATCGGTTATCTAACTGTACCAGTAACATAAGCATCGTTAAAGCCAACTCTAATGTATTGTAGATGTTTAAACAACAGTTAAATTTCTTATTTATCTGTTATTATCATCTATCTCTAAATAAATATCGTAATGGAACATACCTAAGTCTGAAGCACTAGTATTAGCCAGAACCATAGTCTGCGGTGCAACTCCAACGCCGCCAACAGAACTATTTCCAGCAGCCTGCGTAACGGTATTTGAAGTTTGAGTCGCGGTAGTAACGGGCAACGAAACTATTAAACTCGTCGGATGGCCCTGTATGCTTCCCGTCGTCGAAACGTTCAATGGCAACGATACGGACTGCGCGAATCCCGGAAACTGCACCTGGAAACCTGTTATGCCCTGCAGTTGCGCGAGATTTAAACTTTGAATGTTAATCGTGCCGCTGCTTTGCGGCGGCGGACTCGACATAGGGCTAAGTACCGTGTTTCCTTTGGGCGATTGAACCATAAACTGATGGTTGCCCTTGGAACTTTGAATGAAATGAGTTTGTTGCGAATTATTGGGAGAATCCTCCAGCTTTTCTAGTAACAATGAGTTAGTATTAGGCCCGATGATGTCGGGTCTATCGGCCGCGGGGGTTCCCACCAGCAACGCCGATAACGATTTGTTTTCACTAGAACTACTCCCTACTATTCTTTGATTCACCTCTTGTTTAACCGGCACCGAAGTAAAGTTAGAATAACTGTTACCATTGACGGATGTTAAGGTTATAGTCTGTGATTGCTGCTGGCCTAGTTGTTGTAAATCTTGCAAACTCAAACGATTGTTATTTATCGCTATTAAATTGTTATGACTTATCACGCGAGCATTCGTCACGTTCGGCAGAGTCATTTTACGCGCCAAGATTTTTTGGTTCATAGTTTGTAACTGTTGCGGTAACGTTTGAGAATTGCTGCGAGCGTTTCCTATCGCGTCACTATTCACGTTAGACATCGGCGAACTGTTTAGCAAATTCAACATCGTAGGGGTGCTTCCCGATAGCTTCGTTTGTTGTTGTTGTCTTTGTAATTGTATTCTTTGTTGTTGTTGTTGTTGTTGTTGTTGTTGCTGCTGTTGTTGTTCTTTTTTTGCGCTCTCTGAAATACAATTTACGAAACTTGTACTCGTACATATGATAATCATTAAGATAATACATACCAAAATTTTGGACGTAGTCCTTGATTTCAGCGTATACAGCGTTAAATCCCGTCCTCTGATCCTGCACCGCAGATTTCGGTGGTCCTTGTAATTGGCTTTGCTAAAAAAGTTACAATAGTTTAATATAAAAGTATAGATAGCATATGCAAACATATTTACCAATATTGGAACATTCGAAGTACTCTGCATTTGTTTTTGTATAGCGATATTACTGGCGTTGGTTCCATTAATAGCAGATAAATTTTGATTTTGAAGTGTTTGGGTCAATCTTTGTATAGTGTTCTGAGGTAAATTATGACTGCTACCCTGTGCATTCAGTTGCGATCGTCCTGAACTCCCCTGTCCCTGGGCTCCTCTTTCTTTGGAATTCCTAGGTATCCTAGAAGTTTAGATGGAGATTTCAATATTTAATGAATGAAACAATTCATTGGTTAAAAATCGAAAAAAATTGTATAGAGGACATGACCATTAATTGAATATTCTTGCAGCAATAGAACATAATTTGGATAAACTAACGATCGCGGATGCTCTTTATTTTTCTTTAATTTATTCTTCAATATATTTTTTCAAATATCTTTCCTATGAATAAAATGTTAATAAATTAATATTAAAACAAAAACAAATAAATTAATCAAGCAAGTTATTTTTTATAAAGTAACACTAATCTACTTACCAGTTGACTCTGACTCTTTTTCTTCCGCTTTCAGTAAAAATCTCAGCAAATTGGTCAATATATCTATTAACATTATCCCTAGAACCCAATGAAAATCTGAAAGTAACACCATTTTGCTCATTCTTCTTGTAGTCTCTATCGACATATAATTCCCCTAAGTATTCCAAATCGGAAGGTCGTTGTAGAATTGACAATTTGATATGATATACCCTAGGTGTACCTTTATCTTTGGATGGCATATCCGTTTCTAAAATATATTCTTCAATTAGTTGTGGGCTACAGTCTATGTTCTCCTCTCCCTTTTCCTTCCCCATCTCTTCACCCTTGTCTTCGGCGTTCTTTTCGCCTTTTTCATCGCCGTTTCCATCTCGTTTTTCATCACCGCTATCTTTCTTTCTTACGGTATCTTCTCTCTTTTCGTTTACTTTGTCCTTCTTCCTTCCCTCATCTAGCTTGTCGTAATTCTTCAGAAAGTCTATTTCCGGTGGTGCAAGCGGTGGTGGCTCTAAACTAGTAATAGGTGGAAGTCTTAAATCGTCTGTATTCGTCTTTAGAGGTTTTGAGCTCAGCATTGTAACGCCGTCTGCAGTAACTGTGGTCTTTGGTTTGTTCCTAATCATAGAGAGAGATTCGTAAAATTCTAAGCCGTGCCTGTGAGTGAGCGAGTCCAATTTCCGTTTTCTATTGAGTGTAACTTGTGAAAATTTCTTAGCCATCCGTCTAAACTTGTGAGTATTCCACATTCGTCTCCTATTGTATATTTCCGTTACTTCGTCGCCTATTGAAACGTCGGGATCCAAACATAACATCGGCGTATTGGCCATTAGCAATTGGCTTTCCAGCTGGTCTTTTTCATCATTGGTCCAATCCGGTTTCTTCTCGATTATATTATTTATGTCTGCCATAATACTCTGAAATTTACATGTTAATATCCAACGGTGTAGTAAAAAGAAAGCATAGTTTGTTATCAGCAAACCAAAATATCACTTACCCTGGATGTAGGCCTAAGTAAAACATGATATACATCACATCTTAATTGCGGATAAGTGTGCCTGTAGTCTCTAACTTCGGCTATGATGCAACCATTATAAAAAAGGTAACTAAACTGTGGATCTAACGAATCTAGCAGGTCTAAAATAAACGGTGGAAGTTCTTCATTATCGATATACCAAAGAAGGTCATCCTCCTCGTAAGGCCACAGTTTGGTTTCAACCATATTGGCAGTATCTTCGGTAAAATTGGGATCGCTACGAGACAACTTCCTGAATGCCAATGAGTAGCCTTTGTTGTCGGGGTAAAGATTTAAAATCATTGTGTTCAGTCTTTCTTTAGCTACAAGTTTTTCTAGTAGAATTGGCGTATATTTAGCTTCCTAAAAATATTTAACAGCATTATTTCATACGTGCAAACAGTGTAAAATGTCGGTCAGTAGCTAAAAATTACTACCACATAATAAATTTAACACAAATTACCAATTTTTCCCCTGATTTGCTACATATGTCCTCGTCTTCCTCATCTTCCTCGTCCTCTTCATCTTCGTCCTCGTCTCCTGCAATGCCGGCGCCTCCACCGCATTCTTCTTCGTACAATTCTAAAAGTTTTCGGGAAATATCAATGGGCGGTTTACCTGAAGGATTATCGACAATTTCTGGTTTGGTTGATGTCGATGCAGATGTCGAGGGTTCCTGGGGGCATAACAGAGGCAAGGAGGAACGACTCGATTTGAGTCTTTTCACCGAATACTGAAACCAAACAATCAAATAAATTAATGCTAAATATTTTCAAGGTTTTATTACTAGTAAGTTTTAATAATGAAATAAAAACGATTGTTAAGGCATATTTATCATGCTTTCAACAAATTACTTAGATTTCGATTCTCTTTTTTTAAAATTGATGAGATACCTGGATAGTAAAAGCCAAACGATATTGAAAAAGAAGACAAGGCTATTCAAGAATTACAAATAAAATTAGATAATTTTTAGATTTTTATTATCTTATTTCACTTTAGTGCCCTAATAATACAATAAAATATTACTATTTATTCGAAGTTTACTAAAAATTCCGATGGCAAGTTGGCAAGTGACAATTGACAACTGACAAATTGTAATTTCTATTTTATTATTGACATGTGTATTTTCTTATAATAAATATTGTTCTGTCTACTTGATTATAAATAAATTGAAAATAAATTTAAAATCAATTAACTACAGATAAACGTCACAATTTGTGAAGTTTTTAAATAATTTAGGAGCTAACTGACATTAGATTTGTAATTTAGTTACTGGTAATTGATTAAAGATAAGATTTCTACGTGTAAATAAAAAAAGATTGTAGAAGTAAATACACAGATTTTAAGAATTTGAAACTTAATATTGTACATTTGAGCATATACACTTGATTTATAAATATTTATGAAAATTAAGCAAGCTAGTTTTTCTTTAATAAATACATAAAAATTGCTTACTTGTTCCTCCTCACATGCAGCCTCCAGGCCTTGCATCCTTGAATCCAGCAAAAAGTTACCAACATCCAGATAAAGTCATCATGATTTTGTATATCTTTTAGCCATGCACTTCATTTAATGTTGACAATTCCTAAAACAACACCGTTGATTAAAATTGTAATTAAGAAATTAGCGAATTCAAAAACATTGAAAAATAAAAATATGTTTACTACCTCTAGATAATCTGTCAAAAAGTGCTACACTCATTGAGCAACTAACTCGAATTCGACGATTTCGAAATTGTTGTTAATAAAAAATCAAATTTAAGACGAATCTGACAAGTTGTTAGAAAATGACATTTGAAAAAGTTTCATTTCATCCCTTTTACGAGCTACTTTGTAGGTCAAATAAACGTGACATTATACTGAAATCTTACCTGGTGTTTACATTAAACAGCGCAAAAAAATGTTTACTTCATGTCGAATATTTTATTTATTATTAGGTGCCACATTCGAACGTTTCGTTTGCAATAAGGCCGCAAGGGTAACCTAACCCCTATTCTAATAAAAATTTCAGTCGTACACACCAAACAGCTAATAAATACCTTATGTTACGCCAAATATATCTTACACTAATACGATTAATTCTTAAAAACAAATTATTTTCACTGGATATATTAGTATTTTGGTAAAATTATACAAAAACCCAGTTTACAAACATACTGGGCACCCATGGCGGACCTCTATCGGTAAATTTCTACTTTAGCCAATCTTCTTCTTTTATATTTTCGCGGACTATTTTGAATTTCGACTCGGTTCGTTTTAAAATATTATTTTTAAAATAAACTCACTATTAAATTATGAACTGCTAATAATCTGTTTAAAATTTGTGGTAAGACTTCCGACGAATAAACACGTCACGAGTGCAATATTTCTGATTTTCTAAAATATACATTAATTTAATGTTTACTTGACTGCAAGGCTTATTAATCTCTCAATTTTTTTTGTAATAATTAGTACTATAAACAAATATGTCGATTTAATATATTTCATTGTAGTTTTTGCTTAAAGATTGCATATAATATTGTTCAAATAAGGAATATTCGATACACAATAATTTTAAAAATTTTAGACAATTGATATACATCAGTTTGCTAAAATTTATAGGGGTTTTAACTAATAACTTACTTATTTTACTTATTTAATACAAATTCTATAAGATTACGAAACTTTTTTATTTTTATATTTTCAACCGTTATGTGTCTACAACAAACTAATTCTCAATGGGAAAAAACTGGGCCACCTAAATTTATCTTCACTTCAAACTTTAGCACTTTAGCTTTCAATAATAACTCATTGATTTCGATTATTCGTTAGAGAAATCTTAAAATCAAATTAGAGAAATCTTTTTAAATGTCAATGTGGCTTTAATTTCGTGGAAAGTGTGAAATTGAAATTCATTTCAAGTATTTTTGTAACACAGTTTGTGCTTTGGATGCTGAAAGATAAAATTTTTCACGTTAGTTATGTAGATAGATTTGTCAGCTTTTAGGAGAAACAAATTATATAGGCCTTCAAAGTGGAATTACGAATTAAAAAAAAACCTTAATGTCAGTAATACATAAACTTAAAACAACTAAATTTGGTATGCGTTGAGTGTGCTAAGAGCATTAATCGATAGTTACAAGAGATCAATTGATGCCCTGTATTTTAAAGGTTTCGTCAGGGATGATGCCCCTTAAAATATTACAGAATTTTTTTACCAGATGGATGATTTAAAAAATGATTAGTTCATATCATAGGTAATTTCATTTTAAACCTTTTTGACGAACTTAAATGAAACAGTTCATTTTATCGACAATTGAGAGGACTACCTTTTTTTAGTTTAAGGATCAAGCTCTCCAGATTTATGTTTTTTAAGTCTTTATCATTCAGGGTGTTGAAAATTTAGGTATTACATAAGATGTAAACCTATTTCCAGAGGCGTTAGGTCCTTATTTTTTCATGTTCTATCTGGATCTTACCTTAACTTACCTGTATGTATAATTAATTTTGCCGAGAGAATAAGATAACACAAAAATATCTCAATTTCAAATATTTATAATTTCATATTGATACATAATACACAGGTTAAATTGCTAAATATCACATTATTTTACAAGATTAAAAAGTGTAATATACCATATATTATAATAATACATAAGTACATTTTGATCAACATAATTCGCCTTATGTTGCGTTACACATATTGGTTTTATGAATCAGGGACTTATGTTGCTCTCAATAATACTTATGATTTTACTTTAATGCAATAATAAACCACTCTATACATGTGAGATAAATAAAATAATAGATAGATAAAATAAACTCTTTTTTACAAGTTAAGCACCCTAACTACTTTTTGTCCTGACAAGAATAGTGAACCACATCTCCATTTGGATACCTCACTAGAGCACTAAAATAAACAATAATTAATAAATATTATAATTAAATATTAAAAAATTATATGGGGATGTAGGTTTGTTAGCAATGTGATTAATTCCATAAGTTGAAGAAAGAAAGATTATTAAAATTAAAGTTGTTAGAGCAAGAAAGTATAAATTCATTATCACTCTTTTTTTTGTTTATACGAGACGAATGGAAGTTGTCTTTGTTGCACCTACAGACCATATTGCTTACAAATTAACAGTAACCTGTATATTACCTTTGATTTCCAAATCTCTTCTTGCACACCGGGCAAACATTCAAATCCGTAACCAACACGTGTTGACTCTGTAATGTCAATTTTTGCTCCTGGAATTGCAAATGTTCAGCGTAAAGGAGCCCGTTCATAAGTTGCATGTTCCTGCGTTCTTGTACAACTTGTTGTAGAGATACTAACAAAAATTTGTGGATTCTAGATACAGGAACGCTATCGGGTAGTATCGCCAAAGCTTCTAAGGGATTCATGTGATTAGCATGCTCTTCGAGAAGCCGTAAAGCCAATTCCAGATCGGGTTGAGCCGTCTTAGGGGAAAAATTAAGACCGGGTAGCGATAAAGGGCAACTGTCCGGGTTCAGAACAAGTTTTATAAGAGAAACATACACCTAAAAAATAATTGTGTAAGATCAGTAAGTTTTAGTTCCAGTATTTTCAACTTCTGATAGAGGATTTCACTTACACTTTGACATCCAGGTAAATTTTTCTCGTAAACTTTTTTACAATAATTTTCAGCTTTCTGTATGTCGCCTAATGCTCTGACATAAATAGTCAGGGCCTGTTCGTCTTTTCCTAATCTTCCCAAAACCACGGCCCTCTCCTCTAAGAGAATATCAGTTGGGAAGCTGCTTAAAATATTTTCTGAAGTGTACTGTTTACTGCTCTCTAAAAATTGCAGCAATTTTTTTCTAGTGTGTTCAGAAGAGGCGGGACCTTCGTTGACGATTTTTTCTCGGTATTGGTGAATAAGAGCGTTGTGAAATAGAGGATTAGTGTCTTCCCATGTATGGACAACGTGCTCTAAGTATGGTATTACCACAGATTTGTGCGATTTTAGGAGGAAATCCAGAATTCTTGGTCTCGGCAACGACTCTACTTCTACGATATCTTCCGTGAATATCTACAAAAAAATATATCAATTTTTTTGAATTGTGTGAATTATAAATACCGACTTTCAATCCTTCTTCGGGTGACTCAGAGAGCACCCAATCAGAAAACTCCAAAATCAGTCCCATATTTTCAGCACCAAGATGTTGCAGGTAATTTATAGTCCTATCAATGCTGCCTTCAGACTGCAATAATTCCAAAGCCCTTCTGTGCTGCCCTTTTGTCTGGTACAATATTATCAATTCGTTATGCTTGCCCATTTTTTTTAATACTTTCTCGGTTTCTATTAAGTGGCAGTGGTTCAGACGCAACAGAGGAGCTACCAGAGCATCATTGGTTTGCAGGTAGCATTTCAGCAAAGTGGTATCGATTATTTGAAGCAGTTGATTAATTGACTTGCTCGACTGTTTCTCATTAAGATTGCCTGTAGCATTAATGTTAGGCTGAAAAATAAGAGGTTTAATTTCGGTAAAATCATCTTCGATAAATGAAATATAAGAAAATAGATAAATTAGTAATATCTCATTACTTGTGACGTATCAGATGATTTAATACGCCTTATTTCCGTTAAATAATCAATCAAAGCTAATCGGCTAGTTTCAAGTTCCTTTTCTGTCAAATCTCTGACTGGCTCAGGAACGTCGATCCCTTGTTGTTGTTGGGGCAATAAATCGGGAAACAATCTGATAACATCGTAAGCATCAGTGCCTAACTTCAAAAACTCTTTCATACTTTCGTGAAATTGCTTTCTGTGGAATAAATCGTACGCTAAGAGAGTTTGAATATGATGGATTTTTTCACGTTTTTCATCTTCAGATTCCTTTGATATTTGCTTAAAAAATAAACAAAATTCCCGTTTTACAGTTTAGAAGAATACTTCAAAACTTACAGTTAAATTTAATGCCAGTTGAAATTGCTTGGCATTCACAAGCACTTCCCTTTGTTTAGCTATATCTACCGCTTGGATGCACCAAAATTGACTAATGGAAGCGGCATAAAGCAGGCCCTGTTTCTGAGAAGATACAATGAACCTTACTTTTGGTAGATCAGTTAATGTTTGGACCAAAATACTCGGTTCCAAAGTCAACACCTGAAAATCAAAAGTCATGTTATTTATGACATATAACACATCAATGGATGTCTTACCTCTACAGAATCTGTTAGAATTCCTAAAGCATAAGGCTCGTCCCACGCTAGCATTACAGGCACATCGGACCATCTTAGTGCTTTATTTCTTTCCGTTTCACCATTTACGTTAACTAATACAGTCTGTGATTCTCTACACAAAGCAAAAGTAGTATCAGAGACTTTAACCATGCATGGTTCGTTAGACCTTGTACTACTGGTTGGGAAAAGATCGGTTTGTTTTCCACCTAACTAAAATTTAAAATAAATATTTTTGGTGTTCAATGTATGGTCACGTGCAAAATTGTTTGAAGTAAGGTCAATTCTATGAGTTGAACAAAGAAACATTACGAAAATAGCAGTGGTTAGAACAAGAAAGTTGCAATCTTACAATATCATTATTTATTTCTACTTTATGAGACTAATGGACGTTGTCCTTGTTGCACCCATTTTGCACTTGTGTATATGTAAATAAATTAGATACCTCTAATAATGCATATTCTCCTTTAAATCCTATGCAAATGGCTTCTTGACACCACACCATAGATTTAGGAATGTCGTTTAAATTAATATCATTCATTAAGGGCAAGAACTCGTTATTCTTCAAATAGTACAATTGAATTTTTCTTTTAACAGCAACAGCCATACGAACTAAATTTGTTACTTCTCCTGTTAAGGATATTTGTTTCTAGAGAATAAAATAACAGGATATAATATGCAACATATTACTATATTGGATTGTATCATTTACCTTAATGTTAATCGTAAAAAATGTAGCACCCTTGGATTTTTGAACTTGATGCAACGTAGTAAAATGAATAGCATTAAGATCATGTACCTGAACTAAATTATCTGAAATAAAATATATATCATAAATAGGGGGGTATTCCTATTTAAATTCAAGATACCAGTAAATACTCCTACCTGTTAAACTAATAAGTAGATTATTATCTGATATAACTTCCAATTGTTGCACAGCTTTTTTGCTGAACGTTTTATTGTATCTCATTAATTGAACTTCGCATTTATCATCGTTTTTGAGTAAACTATACATGCATAAATGCCCCTGTCTAGTTCCAATGAGCAGATTATCATCTGAAATTTAATATATTTTTAAAAATACTTTTTTATTCGTGATTTTCATACCGTAAGCTGCTAACGATTCTATTTGGTACGTAACCTTCAGTAATGAAGAAACTGTGTAAGCTTCGTGCATTTTTTAACAAAGTATCACTTATTTATCAAAATACAAAATTGTTTATCACTTTGACATATAAGTTTAACCTAAAAAATAACCATAACGTAATTCCTTAAAAGTGAAAGGCCATGGTGTTTATTTTTTTTAGTCAATTATTTACGTTTACTTATACTGTCAACTGTCATGTTGTCGAATTAAGTTGGCTGAAGTGGATTTGTTTACCAACTGTTTTCTTGAAAATAGTTTTTTGACAAGACAAGTCAAAATAAAATAAATGAAAATAATGAAAATGGCAGCTAGCCAAACGAAAATAAATAGTAATTAAAATCCAAAAGGATTGCTTCGATTTCATCCAAACCAGCACTGGTTTAGTTAATAAATAAGAACTGTATGATCGTTCGTTGAAGATCTCAAGGAAAGGGAAAGTAGTTAAGTAGCAAGTAGCATTTTGACAATTACAACTGAACTGATAATGCTAAATATTAGTCATCAATTTGTGATCAAACAGAAACGGGGGCAATACGTTTAGTTTATTGATAAAAAATGGCTAAGAACTCGCAAGAAGTCGTATTCGAAGGTTGGCTAACAAAATCACCACCGACAAGGAGGATATGGCGAGCTGTAAGTCCTTATTATGTGGTATTACGATATTTTATCTGTTGTTTATCATTAAATTAATGATTCATTTGATCGTAGAAAGAGACTATTTACATTTTGTATTTTTTAGAGATGGAGAAGGAGGTGGTTTTTATTGACTCACTCAGGAGAACTTCCTGGTCAATACATTTTGACTTATTACACGGATAGAAACTGCAGAAGATTAAAAGGTGTGATAAATTTGGATCATTGTGAACAAGTCGATTTGGGATTGAAACTGGACGAAAGGAAACTGAAGTTTGATCATGTTTTCGATATAAAAACACCAACTCGTACCTACTACTTAGCTGCTGATACTGAGAAAGAGATGAGATCTTGGGTGACATGTATTTGCAAAGTTTGTGGATTGAAATCTACCAGCGAGGACGATGGTGAGTGAAATAGAGCATTGTAAACAATTATTTTTAAATCAACTTCAAAATTTAAAAGTGACCTTGTAAGTTGTAACAATTTCTTTTTGTCGAGATATTTTTAAATTGACTTTCCTTTCTTTGTTTAATTTACTAAACAAGGATATAACAATAGTTAGTCACCTTGATAATAGCTCGCAATTATTTCCTATAATTAATTTAACCTTTAGTTATGCAGATTTTTATTAATTTACTCAATTTACTAAATTTATGGGCTTTAAGTACATTAATTTTACCTTGCTTTTATTGTACACTCCCGGCCATTGAAATATTTTTAATTTTCAGGACAAGTAACAGTTTCATGTTCCGATGTTGAGATAATAGAGAAACCTAATGAAAATCAGAGGGTGACACTAATAAATAACTTCAGCGAAACCCCTCCGATATCTCCCGTCAGTACTAGTCCTTATATTCCAATTTCAGAATGTATTACAGGAAAATCGCCCATTTATGACCCTAAGGTAAGTGCATTAGCGCCTATTAAAATATTTATTAATCAAAGCTGTAAAACTATTAGTCACTGACGTTGTTATCTGAATATTTAATAAATGTTGCACTTTATGAGATAACATTGTAAACATTGTTCGCAATGACTAATATTGTTTATTTATTTATACTTTTTTATAACTAGTAGATGATATATGGTTTAGATGCAATACTTAGAACCTTCGCTATCAGTTCGCGATATTATAAAAATCGTCGAAAATGATAACTATTGTTTGACAATTTAAGTGTTTTAAAACAGAAAAATCTCTGGGAATAATTCAAAAATTCTGTTGAATATTTGATAGTATCTAGAACCAAAAAGAATTAAAATGCACTTAGAGTGGGGCATTTCAGGGTGTTTTTCAAAATGGGAAAACATAGGTTCAGTAATTCTAGTAAGATTCACATTTGGCTTAATCCATTGATTTGAACCTTTTTTATACCTAGTGTAGAGACTCTAAGCAATACTTTATGATCACTTTTAGGAAAGAATTGAATTTAAAAAAAAATTGATAAGGATTTTTTTTACATTGTTGTACGTTTGATTTTATGTCAAGTGGAATCAAACTCCGAACATGTACTAGTTAAATTACTCTCCTCCCATTTATTGTGAAACAATTTACCAAAATTGTAAACATTTAGGAATAGTTATATGTATATTATCCCACGAATTTATGAATTTGTGGGCGTGCTTTTGGCGACCTTAAGAAACATTTATTTTCCCTTATTAAAACAATCACATGCATAACGATCTTCCATTTGTACCAGTTTTATTGCCAATTACAGAAAATTTTTATTGCAGGACTGTAATTCCTTGAGGCAATACAATTTAAAAAATGCTTCCCTGAAATCGGAACAAGCGGTCCAAAACTTGGACGATGCTGTCGAACTCCCAGCAAGAAATTACTTGAACTACATAAACATACAGGAGGATCCAAGATTTTACGACTGTCCGAGGAAATTGACGCCTCATACGTCGAAAAACAACGCAGATAACGATAAAAACAATTCACCATTGCAAAGTCCAACGGATTCTGATAGTGTGTTCAATGACGAAGATTGGGTTCACAATACTTCATCTGATTTAAGTAAGTAATTAAGAACGTAATTTTTCAATGTATACAAAACTCTTATGTTACTCAGATACTTCGAAATCTACTCGACGATCTGAGGACAGTTCAGACGAAGGAGGATATCTTATAGCGACTAAAAAGTTCACTAAAGAAGAAAAAACTACCATGACAGCCACAACTCCACCGCCGAGGCCTCCAAAAACCGCTAAAGCTCCTCCCAATTCTACCTTAAGTCTTTCATCAACGAAAGTAAAGTATGTAATTCGAATAATTCTTCACTAAGCCCGCAAGTGAAGTTCGTCCGTTTTAAAATGACGATGGACATTTCAAATTGCGTGGAAATGACTTAAAATGACGTCATTGTTATTTTAAGTTTTTTTGTTTTATTTTTCAGTAAAACGGATTCGGAGGTCGACATTTCAAAACCTGCCGAACCACAAAAGATAATTACTGATGACATGTACGATTTCCCGAGGTCTCATCACATAGAAAGCGAAGCGACTCTCAAAAGGAAGCATTGTTATAATAACGCCGCTCCAGTTCCTTGTGCCGATGGGACGATATTTAGATACGATATTTCTCCCAAGCCTGGCACAAGCACAATGGTAAAAAATTAAAGGTTTTTTTTCCAAACGATTATATTCACAAATTCTCTGTTTGCAGGTTTTTAGGTACGATTTAGAAGAATCTCAAGAAGAACCCCCGTCGCCCGCTCATTCTCATTCTTCCGCGCCCGCTTATTCCAACCTACCAAGCCCTTCGTTGAGCTCCACCACTCAATTGATGCCACCGCCTTTAGTCAACAGGGAATTGAAACCAAAGAGGAAACTCTCCGATTCCCACTCGATTTCTTCTAACCCCGAACCACCTTCGCCGCGCAACGCTCCCTCTGTCGACAGAAAATTAAAGCCCACCACTCCTTTACAGGTTAGTGAATTCTTAAACCATCTAAAATGTTGGGTTATACTTAATATTCTATTTTTTTTTTTTCAATAGGAGGCTCATCAACGAAAGCATTTTAACACTGAAGAAGATCAGAGGAAAATTCGTGCTGCGCCGAGTCCGCCGCCGCCCAATCTCGGCAGGTCTCACGACAGCCTCTTGACTCAAAACGACGAACAAGTTTACCATCTCACTGATAGAATGCAATATTTGGACCTCGATCTGGATAGTTCGACGTCCAGCTTTTCCACTAACAGTACAAAGAAGGCGCCCGTCAAACAGAAGGAGGACACTGTGTACAAAAAGGTCGACTTCATGAAAACTCAGGCGTTCAATACCACTCGAATTACTCTGGAGAAGGAGCGGAAAGAGCCGCTTTCGTTCGTTAAGAAGTAATTAATATTCCTTTTATTTATACTGATGTGCAATTTTTTATTTGAACTTTAACTATTTTTTTGCCATTGACCGCGTGTACGGTTACGTATTACGGGCGTACGATGCTGAATATTATTTTTTAATGGATATTGAATTATTTACAAATTTATCGAATTGTTGTTATTGTTTAGGAAAAGAGCATTTTTGTTATTATTCAATAACTTTTGTGAAGTAGCGTAAAGTCTAATTGCGTTCTTAGCTCATAAACAAATTTCTGATCATAAAATAATTACTCCGCCAATAAAGTTTCAAATCAGGGCTCTCCTGAAAGTATTATGTTGCTGTCGCACTATTTGAATTTGTGCAAGGTTTATTAAATATTTTGTGATTAATAATTTTAATGTATCTTGTGGTCGACGTATCATTTTTATTTGATTGAAAAATATTGAGGAAGAAAAATTCGTGTATTGATGAAACATGTGATAAATCCTGGTGAAACCATTATTTAAATATTAGCTAGGTTGTGTGATTTTATCGAACAAATTGGGTGATAACTTCTTAGGTTTGTTCTATCAAGAATACAGACCTGTAAGCAAGCATATAATAGTTCAAAACGGTCTAGTAATATTGTTGGAACAAAACTCTTACATTGAAGTAATTATCATACAAATTTATATACATCAATACATATTCACAGTTCACAACGTTTTTTATGATACGTATTACCTATTACCGTACAATGTTATACAAGCATGATTTTTAATACAATTTTACAGCTTTTCTACGACTTAAGTAATTTTTCACTTCAAATTTGCACTATAAAAATATAAGAATTGAATTGATATTTTTCATAATTCGTTTTACAGAAGATTACTTATGTAATTGTTTGACTATAAATTGTCCTTATAAAAATGTGTTCTTTGTAAATTCAATCTAAAATAAATAATTGTCATTATATCTTCGTTAAGAAACCATATCAAATAGGATTTACTCTAAACTAATATTTTTTTATTCATTTTATTATATTGTTAGGGTTTATAGTCCTTTTATAAAAATTTATTTTATACACATGTTGTATACAAATATATATCGTGCTATTTTCACCTTTGTTTCTTTTAAAACTACCTGAAAAAATAAATTACTGAGTGCAATTTGCAAGTATTCTACCGAAAACTGTTATGTTTGTCCAGTGTTCTTTAATTCTCTCAATAAATTAAATGGTATTTACGAATAATGAAACCGCTACATGCAAAATGCTATAAACAAACATAACTGCAGTACATAATTTGCATCAAACTCATAGAAATGTTGGTTTAGTGGTATATGAATTTTTCCAGTCGAAGATCTTACTGTAAAATGTACGGTCTAAGGAAATTTTTACTTCTAATAATTGTACTCGTGTTTCTTATTGAAAAGTATGTATTAGCTTCTGAAGCCAATGCGGAATATTCCAATAAAAATTTAGATGTTATTGATAGTCGCGAAGGAAAATGTAAGTTTTATAAATTTATTAAGAAATCAGTAGTTTACATAAGAGTGAAAATTAAAATAATTTTTTAGGGTTTGGAGTGGGTTTAGTAAGATTTGCTAACATTCCTTGTGTAAGTTCCAGCGGTTTGATAGGAACCTGTTACCGGAGAAGACAATGTAATGATATTTTAGGAGGACCATCTGGATCCTGTGCCAACGGCATTGGAGTTTGTTGTGTCAGTTAGTATGATTTTTTAAATCAATTGATCCTAATTAGCCTTATTGTACTTTAACTCGTGTGTTTACTGCACCCAAATAACTACAACTTTACACATAAGTAACTTATTAAGAGAAGCCATTTTTATAACCGATATCAAACAAAATGAACATTGCTGTTTTAGTTGTACGCACTTGTGGAGGATTTTCTTCATATAACAGCACTTACTTCACAAACGCAGATTATCCTTCACCCATAACAGCACCTACCACCTGCGTTTTTACTATAGTAAGAGCCACTCCTACTACTTGCCAGGTAAAGATAACTTGTGAAAGAGTTTGAAACAATTCTCTATGCAGGGTGTCTTAGAAAGGTTGGGACATGGCATAATTGCAGACTTTCGAGACAAAAATAAGATGATTTAACCTATAACTTACCTAAACAGGATGTTCCATTTAAAAAAGTATACGTTTGGTCTACCATCGAAAAACGGGACAATCTGTATAAATGTAACTTATTTTAAAATATGCAGCTTAAAAAGATCTACAAATTTTGTACTGAAGTTTTTTTGATATCTTCTACAATAACACTATAGGTCACTAAACAAAGATATTTTGTACAAATTTTCATGAATAAGCCTTCAGCCATTCTGGTCCAATATCAAAAAATCTTTGTTATTTTCAACTTTAACCCCATATAACTTCTTTGCTATGCACTTTTGGATATAGGCAAGTTAGGTTAAATCATATAATTTTCGTTCCAAAAGTCTGCAGTTAAGCCCTGTCCCAACCCTTTAGAGACACCCTGTACAGCTTGATTTCATTTTTAGGTGCGAATTGATTTTTTGAATTTCGTACTGGCCCAGCCTAATGCAACAGGAGTTTGTAATGCAGATGCATTGATAGTAACAGGTGGTGGCGGAACAGTTCCTGTCATATGTGGTGATAATACTGGACAGCACATTTATGTCGATTTTTACAATAGCAACAATATTATACTGACTATTACAACAAGTGCTGGAGATCTTAGTAGAATATGGAGTTTTCTAGTAACGCAAATTGCATGCGATTGTCCTACTAGAGGTAAAGTTTTTCACTTACACCAATTCCTGTATTACCCATTTGTTTTTTCCATTTAGCTCCTGCTGGTTGCTTGCAATTTTACAATACTACAACAGGAACCGTAAACAGCTTTAATTACGGCGTAGGAAGTAATGTTATAGATTCTACAACATTATTACCCGGTACTAGACAGTTGGTAAATCAAAACTATGGAATATGCGTTAACATGCTTCCAGGTATACACGAGAAGTAGTGAATTTTTTGAAGTTTATTATTTTATGTCGTGTTTAAAGGTTACTGTTCGATACAGTGGTCATCAAATGGGTTTATGGTAAGCGGTATACCAAATTTGGGATTTGATGCTTTAACAAACGGCGATTGCTTTACTGATTTCGTAGTTATTGCTAATCCTTCCTACCCAAACGGAACTCCAGTTAATGCTGATCGTTTTTGTGGAACATCGTTTAATACAGTTACTAGTAAGTGTCTCTCATAACAAATAAGGTGAATTTCTTACATTGATTTTGATTGAAACTATAGTATGGATAGAGAAGTTAGGTAGTATTTTGATACAAAACCCCATAAAGGAATCATTTTCATACAGAATATTGGGGAATATTTTTAGGCATTTATTACTTATCATTATTATTTTACAGCTTCTTTAAAACCTTTTGTTCTGTACGTGGTTACTGATGGAAATGAGGTAAACGATGTCGCTAATACTGGATTTTCCTTAAGTTTTATGCAAATCGCTTGTCCAAATAATCTCTTCGGGTAGACCATGTGTCTCCTAATATTATTTTGGTCAATGTTCCATCACCAAACAGGATACAAGCTGGGATACTGGATGATTCAACTGTACTATTTTTCTCAATCTTCAAAATAAATACAATCGAAAATAATTCAAAATGAATCATCCAGTAGAACATAGAAGGGAAGTTAGAATTAATTCGTGTTTCATACAATTGAAAATTATTATATATCGTTTTAATTAAATATTATACAAATATTCAATTTTACATATTTTACTAAAAAATTAAGCTTACATAATTAGTAAAGGAATATGTATATTAGGTGGTTTTTGTTTTGAACAAAAATTTAATTTATCAGTGATTTAGAAAATACATATCACTTCTATTCTAAATCTAAAACGTCTTAAAGCCGTAATTATGTATATTTTACTTTAGTGTACTAATATGTATAACAAAGACGAAAGTCGTTGAAGAATTTATTGTTTATGCTAAAATCCCATTGTATTAGTTTAAATAATTAGGTACGTTATAAAAATATTGTCTGGACTCGCTTTTTCAAGCTACTTCAAAATCTTAATTTTTTTCTATCACAGATTGTCAGTTATATAACTGTAGCATATAATTGATATTTAAATGACTCAAATGCATATCCCCATGTCATGAATTATATTTCTGTTATATAAAACTGTCAATTTGTTCTTAAATAAAGTTCCTCATTTCTAATCAGATTTTCGAAAGAAAACTACTTAAACAAGCAGTTAAGTACCGCAGATCTAAAAATAGTTTTAATATTGACTATTGAAGCTTCCAATTACGCATGAAACCAAAATATAAGTACCTTTGTATTGAGATAATAAAATTAAGCGAAAAGTTAATTGAAAAGCCTGTTACAAAATTAGCTCTTATGCAGGTTTTGGTAGAGCAGCGGCCACGATATCGAAGTAATAAATGCAAAATACAGAACTGTTGTGCGACACGATCCGCAGAAATTGCCCCGCAATTTCGGCCAGTTCCTTCTGAAGCGCCGTCAAACCGGAAGGTACCTTTTGAGGCGCCGCCGTCGAAGATTCGATTATATCCAAAAAGAAGTCCTTTACTCTTTGTTCTGGAAATTAATAGTAGTACATCTATAATATCCTAGCGATTGAAAGTGAATAGTACTTACTACATATTTCTTTAACTTTATGATCCGGCTTTCCTATATCTAAAATTTGCTTCCTCAGGTTTTCCTCGGCGGCTTCAAATAAAACTGGACGTTCGTACTTTTGTTGGGCATTTTTTAGATCTGTTATAAGTTGTTCGGCCAAATTCGGTAGAGCCTCTTGTAGGTCACTAAAAAATGAGTGATATATTTATTCAGTTTCTGTTAAAAACGAGGCAAATTTACCTTTCGTTTTTGATATTCTGTAGTAAAATACAGACGTGCTCTTTTAAAGACTGCTTGAATTCGGCTATCGATTGTAAATCAATCCCTGCGTTACTAAGTGTGACTAGAAGAACGGTAGCAATGCACGACAATCGATAGGTTCGAATTTGTAAATCGTCTAATCGGTCTATATCCAACATGAAGGTCTAAAAAAAATAAATACATTAGATACAAGATTAGATATACATTAGATAAATGCTTCTATAGATATACATAATGGGCACCAGCAGGTCTGTTTGCAATATGGTCAATTCTATGAGTAAACAAAGAAAGATTATTCAAAGAACAGTTAAACTAAGGAAGTTCCAATCTCACAATATCGCTCTTACTTTTTCTTTTATATAGGACCAATAAAAGTGGTCTTTGTTGCACCCATAGCCTATATTGCAAACAATTTTGCATATACCTGTACATAAAAAACGATATACTTACTTCAGGATATTCATCATTTGCAGGCCAATCTATTAGCTCAACGCAAGCTTGTGTGAAAGCCCTTTTCACCACAGACTTTATAAACTTTTCGTATTCAATATTATCTGGTACGCTTTGATCGCTATTTATATATTTCAGCAACCATTTTCTAGTACACGATAAACCGTCTGAAAAAATTTCAATAATTATTAATAACATTTATTTACTAGTATTATTGAAGCACATTGTACTGACCACTTTGTACCGCTAAATAATCAGCGAATTTCTTTCGTTCTAATTCAACACTGGCTGCAATAATGTCCGGTTTGGCCACTTGTATGGTAAAATTAGCCATGTCCAGCTTCATTAAATCCAACGTCTAAACATAAATATATACGTTATCTATTTTTATAATGTTATAAGTTATAATGAGCGGTTTGCTTGAAACACACTGTATATTGATAACAAAATTAATTACCTCAAGAATACCTTTGAAGGTGTCAATAACATCGACGGTTTCTGTTAATTCACGAATTTTATCATCTCGAACAGGCGCACATAATTTTGCCATCACAGATATAACATATTCTGCGTAATTCTAAAACAGTAGGGAAACAAATCAAAACAATATTAGAAATTTATGTTCTCAAATGTAATACTTTCATAAAGAAAGGTGACTGTTTTCAGAGAATTTACCTTAAAATCCAATGTTCCCTTTTGTGCTTGCTGCTTTATTAAATCTGTGTCTAAAACTTCAGATATTTGTTGTTTAATTCTAGTATGCTGAGGTAATAACACGGAGAATAAGCCTTGCTTAATTTCTTCAAGGAGGTTGAACGCCTATAAAATTAAAACATATACATAATTAACCAGTAAACTGTATTTAAGTACTGCACATTTTCGAAATAATTGATTCTATCAACAATTGTGCAGAGTACAAATGCGTCATTTATTATTCTAGCGATGCAAATTATTTCAATTTGCGAAGTTCGGATGAATAAATTGAAACAACAACGTGAGAATATTTTCTTATAAATTATGTGTAATATTTAGTAACATAAGCGACATAGCGATATAAATAGCACCTATAATATTCTATGGAGTTCTATATAGGTAAAATCTATAAAATAAAACATAAAAAAACGTATTTACTTGCGAATAAACTGGTGGATCTTCGCCCAGCTCGGACCGCAGTAGGTCCCAAAAGGCCTTATGCATGGAGTCTCTTATCTTTTTTTGCAAACTGTTCGGTTCCGGTTCTGCTCTCTTCAGCTGGAAATCCTTATCGACTACAATCTGATGTACCAAGGCCATGTCTTTCATTCCGTTCGCAGCTTGCATGATTTCTTCTAAACTCACATATTTCGGAGGAGAAGCGGCCGTTAAGCCGCTAGCTACCATAAATTGGTGGGATGTGGTTCTTTGGCTGAAAAAGTAACAAAATTAATAATATTATACAAATTCTATCATTCCTATATTTAGAGTACTAAATAACTGCAAAACAATGTTAGTAAAGAATGAAGTATATTCAATAAAAAAACACAAAATACTTTACTTATTCATTTAAATACTACACAGAAACACAATTGCACTATTATGTAAGAGAAAAATGTTACTTTGGAGATATCTCAACAACGATCATTAATGTATTAAATAAAAATTACGATACTACGAACAATCAGGTCACTAAATAACAATTTGGATGAAAAGAGGGGTAACATGATGACCTAAATAACAATTTCTATAAATACATTCTCTCACCGTTTTCCTGTAGTGTATCCCGAAGCACCATCGTCGCTGGTAAAGGAGCACTCACTTGTTGTTCTAATTCTAGAAGTGGAATTATCGTCTCCTTCGATCGAAATGTTTTTCTCATCACTCATATTAATTTTTTAATGGAACAAAACTGAAGCACCACTCGATTCCAAATTGCCTTAAAGCCAAATAAAGTATTAATCTTAAAACAACCAGTTGAACAATGAACAATTTGGAAAAAAGGAAGAAAACAAGGTTATATCAAACGAGCTCAAAATGAATCATAATCCAGTTTTATTTCCTAGTTTCTTTGTTGCGAAAAGTAATTGGAGTTCAGTGTGATTTGCCACTTTCATTAACGTTATAAAACTTTATTTCATACGTTTACTCACTTTTAAAGGTGCTGAAATCACGGAGAATTTTGAATTTTGATATATTCGATTTTCATTAAATTTCTGAAGTCTTTCCTTTTTACTTCAATCACAGCTGTTATTGTTTGTTTACCAACAATACCAATACCAACAATTATTAGTAAAACAAAAAGCCGCTGTCATTGAAATTTGCATTGGCATCTAGGTATTTATTTTTTTCACTATTGGTAGTACTTATTACAGGTTATGTCAATACAGTGGTGCACGCATTTCTTATTGTAATTTTAAATTATTTGTTAACGTAAGTAGGCAATACAAATTGCATGAGTTTTTTAATACTGAACGAAAAAAGTATTTTTAACCTCTAAGATCAGACATCATTGATAATAATTATTTTGATTGAATTATAATGCTGGTCAAGATACTAAGATCAAGATACTAATTTTACTTTGTATTACTAATTAATTAATTTCCTAATTTTAGCATATTAGAATGTTTAATAAATTTTATTTAAATTGTTACCTAATCTAGGTCTTTTCGCAAATATACATACAGAGATTCTTTAATAGTTATTCCATGGTTATCTCATTATTAGTATTCTGAAATTAGTTAGATTTTCCCTTTATATTTTCAAATTCGGAATTCGGTCCACTTTAGCTTCCGCTCCGGACATTCGTGAATCGTCATGCGCGGGCATGCTCTCTCCGGACGGTAATTTCAGCAGGATCTCTACACAAGCGGAGTTGCCGGCTCGTCTAGCAGCAAATACCCGGAATCGCTCCATAAAGTATCACAGATTTTCATTCATAAACACGACTTGTGTGTATTCAATAAACACCTTCGAACATCAATCAACAAGTTTTAAAGAAACAAATTAAACGAAACTCATTTATTACAGCAGACGGTTATTTGTTTTTTGGGAATATAAACAAACATAAATTTCAGAGTTTTATGATAGGTAGATAAACCTTATTGTAAAATTCGGATTTACGCTCGGGAATTTGGAGTAAATTATACATTTTTTTCGTATATTTATTTTTTATTGACGATTTTGGTATTGTTATTCTTCCTGAAAATATTTTGAATTTATGGGATTTTAAATCGGTAATCGGTATATTAATTATTGATTTTATTCAGCTTTACTTTGTATTTGAAACATTGCATTGATTTATCTCCACTGCTCCACTTTTCCTTTCCTAAAATAGGTTCATGCTGTAATCGTAATCAAGATACTAAAATCACCACTTAAGACACGAACCAACTTCAGAGTTGAAGGATTTTCTTCAGTTTCTATATCCTGGAATCTTTTGTTCTTGCCTCTAAACGTAATTAGATAAATTGTCCTCCTTGATGTTCTGAGTTTGCAAGATACTTTTGAGTTATTTCTTTTTACGTTTAGTTCTAAGCGACCTTCTTTAGCAAATTGTCATTGTATTTCGTCTGGTTATTTTACTTATTATAGGTGTTTAGAAAGAAGATTATCGACAAATGGGTGAAATGGACTATGCAAATAAACATATATTATCACTACAGTAATAAAAAATATTTAATAACTAATAATGGATAAGTTATGATGCTGATATCTTAAATTTAATTGCAAAATTGTAGAAAATATGGCAATTTAAAACAACAGTGTACTGTTTCATTTATGAATTCTACTCTCCGAAATGCAGAAGGAATACAATGAGAGAATCGTAGTCATATTGACTCCTAAAATAATGACATCCTTTTATAAAATCCCCTGTATATCGATAATATTTCTATTTATTATTAGATAGATATTTTTCATCGTTCGTAAATACTTATATTTTTCTGGCCATAAACATCGTATTTACATCATTCGGTCCTAAATTATAAAGTTGAAAAACTAATAAAATGACCATCGGACACAGCAGGAATAAAATCAAATTCCTGCTGTGGCGCGTCGCGTCTTCGCATTCGAAAATATTTCGAACGATCGGGCAACGGCGCCATTCAACAACAAAGTCTGTATTTCTCCATGAAAATCCACGGCAGTAGGAACAAGATGGTGATAACCAGTCGATCGCATAAACTCAGAAATAGCCAGAAACATTTTTCCAACATAACTCGCAGCATTTAAGACGAAAAATCGAACGGTTCGCAGGAGCCCATCACGAAAACTGACTGACGGCGAGTGATCAGACGCGTTATCGCCGAGAATGAGGTTTTACTTAGATAAAAATAAGATTGTGTGTCAATGATGTGCGGATAAAGTGCAATTAAATTCGATTTGAATAATCGCGAAACCATGTCGGCACCAGCTACAGGTAGACCTGGATCAGCATCCGGGTCTACTAACGCAGTTTCGTCCAAGCCCATCGAGGTTCCCCAGGCTTTGCAAAACGGGGAGAAATTTATTAAATGGGATGAGGTAGGTCTTCCCTTTTTTCGCCAATGTTTCAGCTTCCCTTAATCGCCTATTCGCATTTCTGTCACCAAAAGCATTTAAATAGTTGGAATATTCATTATCATTAATAAGGTTCTAGTTTTTAGTCAGAAATATTGAAAATATTGAAAAAGGTAACGTTTATTAAAATAGACTTGAAGTAGAAATACATAAAAAATTCCGATGTTTCTGTATCTGTATTTTTCAAAAATAGGAATGGATATATTTCATTTGAATGAATTAATGGATAATTATTTTCACCTATTTATTTACATATAATTATTGAGATTGAATTAGCGGTATAATTTGATTTGATTTGGAATTAAATTTTCCATTTATTTCAAATTGTTCCAATTGTTACCTGAACACGTTTTGTTTATATTGAATTTTCTTCTATACACAAAAATTTAAATTAATTTAATGTTATTTACGGAAATATTACCAATCGGGTTATTTTAATTAGGTACGAGTATTTTATTTGAATATTAATGGATCTATTAATATTCTAGTATTAACGATGGAATTTAATAATAATTATTAATGAAATATTTTATACCTACATCAGAAATATTCAATTTATTCATCTTCCTCCGATTATCTCTTCACCGCTTATTCCCTTATTCCATTATTACACAGAAGTTCAAAATTTCTCAAATAGTATTCCAAAAAGTTGGCAACTATACTCGCTGTATTACTTAAGTATGCCAGTAATAAAATCCGGCAAATGAAACCTGAAAATAGCTCTTTACCGGCGCGTCCATCAACTTCCATTCATAGTTGTAATTGAAAACTCCAGAAATAACTCCAAATTGAGTTAATTTAATGCCTGACATGCTGTTAGGGTTGTTTGATTTGCTCTAGAACGATTTTTTTTGTGCGGGGTAAAATGCTTGCGGCGCCAATTTTCCTGTCAGTATTTTTACACTCATCGTCTATTTTGAGTAGATGCCTATTTTCCTATATTAGTTGTTGGGCATCGTAAAAGAACACTTAATACAAATTAAACGCAATACAATTAGCGCTTGTAATACTACACTTAATTGCTAGCCTATATAATTATTAATTAATTGACCAATTCAATCATTATTTGAAATTGCCTATTTTGCTGAAAATGATGTAATTTAAATATCGTTAAATGGATATGTATAGGTATGTGCATGTTGGTTTTATAATTTATGCAGATAAATTTTATGTAATACGGTTGTTGAACAAAAATACTAGGTTATTCCCGTGATATGATTATTACAATGGTTAATTATCTTCGTTTGCACTTACACATTACATACTAATTACACATTATTTGTTATCGTCGATATTAGTTATCTGAATTTATTATGAATTTCCGTTCGTAGTATTCACATGTCCATTATAATGTGTTTTTTTTATAAATTAGTGGGAAAATTTGTGAGTTTCCGTCAATTAACCGTTGGCTAAAAATAAATTTTTCTAATAAAAAAGAATATATTACAAAATAATGTCATTAAACTTGTACCTAATATGTTGTTGTAGGACTGCTAAAAATGTTTTTTTTGAAATGTCATAGTCTGTTACATTTGCGATTTTCACATATGCAAGCTGTGTTTTCTATTTTTGAACTCCTCAGTTTTTTATTTTCATTCTTTTAATCGATAAAAGCTTTCACACAATAAGTAATCTGCAGGCATATTTGTTATTTTCTGGCCACGTAGACCGGAAAATTTCCTGCCCACCCCTTAACTCCTTTACAATTTCAATAAGATCGATTGTAAATGTGACGTATTAAGGCACTGTCGACTGGATTTCTAAGCTTTACAATTAAAGTGCATTACATCGTCTGGAAGAATAGGTTATTACGAGTTCTAACGTTATTGCTTTATCCGCTCAAATTGATTTATGATTCTACTACAGCTTCCAATCTTCTGTTATAAGCGAATAAATAATAGGAATAGGACAAAGCGGAATAGAAACGTTTAATTAAATCAGAAATTCCAAATCCTTCACGGGCCATGCGTGTAAACGTCGGAACCCCCAAACATTAATTAACTTAACCAACATTTTCTGCAAACTCTAAATGCCCAGCGGGTTGAATTTTTTGCTGCCTCAACTCTAAGGAAATAAATTCAATTCGATGTGTGTGTTAATAAAGTTGGAACACTTTGACAGTAGTTCACGATCGAACCTGAAAGGCATTTTAGGTTTGTGTCTCAATTCTCTCGTGTCTTGCTCGATGTAAACTTTTTAAGAACTATTAAAGAAACTTCGGAAAGTGCAAACTTTGTTACCACCGGTCATTTTTAGTTTTTGAAACGTTGTGGACGAATGATGTACAGGGCGATCGAGAAGAATGCGTACACTGTTTCTAATATTTTTTTGCTGAATAAACAATTCGGTTACTTAGTTAAAAGGGCTGCCTTATAATTAAGCTACTGAATAAATTTGGATCGAAGCTGATTAATTATTCGATAAGATCGGCTTTGGGTTGGGTCGACAAAAAATATTTTCAATATGTAGCCATCGTAAATATCAGATCGATTGGATTTTCTTAATTTTTCCGATTTTTCTTTATTACCCATTGTTTATTTTTCGTCCTTGTGTTCGGACATATAAATTACACAAACTCCGATACCTAATATGAAACTTCGACTTTTATGTGTAACAATAAAATAGTTTTATTTATGATCGGAATTTGAATCTGATTGTAAATGGATGAATTTATTACAACATATGTAAATGTATGGTCAATGCAAAGTATGAGGTGCTAAGAAATGATATTCGCTTTTTTATTTCCAGTGAAATCTTCTTGTTTTGCATTAATATTTTTTTAAGAACTTACCACGTTATTTAAATATTTAAATGTAAAGAACTTTTGCTATGTATACATATAAGTTTCTATTATCATTATCTTCTTGGTGCCTTTTATCAACTTAAACAGAAAGCAATTTTTCTCAATTAATAGTGTGCACAGGATATACGATATATTTACGATAAAACAAATAGGTACTTTAGTAGTGTGTTCAATTTTAATAAGCGTTATTTTACGTACTTACACATGTTTCACAATGAGCTTCTGTGATGTAACGGTCTCTGGTTAAATTATAACGACATTACGAAAAATATAAATATACAATAAAAGATGATTAAGTTCAAGGTTTAGAAAACACTAAATAATATTCATTTCATATTTCTCTGCAGTCCAAAATTTTATCAAAGATGTTTTTAGCACGAAACTGTGTATTTGTTGTAATTTATTTTGATACACATTGAAAGTTTCTAAATTGATTCATCAATGCCAAATTAAGTCGTTTGAATGAATAATGTATACAATGTACAAGAAAATGAATTAAAATTAGTTCCACAGAAGAAAACCAAATACAAATAAGAGGTCAAATGGTTGATTATAATTCAAAAAATGTATGTACACATCTTCAAAGTAAACAGAACATTTAATTGGAAATTATTCCTGTCGAACGAATATTTGAAGGCAAAATTATATTCTGAATAATGTAGTATAAGAAGTCGTTACTTAACAACTTAAATATTAATTTGGAATAAAAATACGATGTGTTAATTGCCTTTTGTTTATTTTCTTTTAATAAAGTGGTAGCTAAATAAAGAACTAATATGCACATAACAAACTTATACCATCATTTAATAAGAAGATATTGCACAAGTTTTTAAAATTACCGGATTACGTTATTAACTTACGAAACAATTACTAAAAATGAACGATTCACTAGTTTTCCATGCATCAAGTTGTAAGCATGTGCTTCCTCATTGTTTAATCATTCAATCATATTCCACAAGTAATTTCAGTAGTTTCTACTGTAAATCAAATTTGTTTATTATTTTGGTCTGATTTATTTGAAACTTTTAAAACCGCACACATATTATTATCTTTTGTCGTCTTTTACAAAAACATATTTTAATGTTAACCACGTGTAACTGCTAGGTAAATATTAGTTTTCCGGAAAATATTTTTATTTAATTTATTCCCAATGAAAAATGTTATTGATCGAGTTTATGGAAGGAAAATGACATGTTAGAAAAACACGAATTTTATACGTGACATTAAAGAGCGCATAAAATAGGTAGTGTATTATTAGGACAAATATAAAATATGCCGGAATTTTAAAAGTCGCTCTAAAAGGGTTTTATTGACATTGTTTAATTAAATTGAATTTATTAGTGCTGCGTCAATACAATACCTACCTAGAATGTGATAATGTAAGATTTATTAACTTACTGATTTATAAAATTAATTACGTATCGCACAAATACAGAAACTTCCACAAGTAAACACGAGATTAATATATAAAATATAAATTGCAGTTAGTTGATTTAATTTTTTATTCAATTTCCACCGATGGATTAATAAAATTGTAAATATTAAATCGAAAACTGGTTATTTATTTTTCCACAATTATTGGATTGTTATTTCCGTTTATTTTTCCGCCGTTCGTTACGAATAAAATAATATACTATGCATATTCAATTATATTCCCAATTTATCCTTAAATCAACAAATGAAAAACCAAGATTTTTAGACACTTGAGGAAAATATTCTCGTTGGAGAATAGATACAAAAATTCTTGCACATTTTTCATTGTTTTTCTATTTATTTATGGTTTGCATTTGCTTTTATTCATGACTTGAGTATTGACAGTAGAAAGGATTGTGTTTATTCGCTTCAAAAGGGAATGTAAATTGAATTATTTCCATAAAAGACAACAAAAACAAAAGTCTGAACAGTTAGTCGAAAGTTTCTCAATTTGCCTAATGCCTTTTATTCGTTTCGGTATTGGCGTTTAAAAGGAAAGTAACGAGAAACTGTAAAACTACCGGATTTATTTTCCATATAACATGCCCAATTTACTAATAGATTTTTATTTGGCCCGATTAGGCGACAAAGAGTTTAATGCTCCTAAACGCTCCGTAATTTCTATTAAACACCCCGGCTCTCGTACCTTCTGTAAACTTCCAAAAAGCAATGAGTAATCCTTTTAAGCCTATTATCCTGGACAACTTTGATTTTAACACTAGCCGCGTATAGCCGAAGTGGATGGTTAATTTTCTATGCACCAGTTCTATTTAAAGTTATGCCACAATAGAGGAGATTTCGACATAATAGTTTGCCGCCATGTTACATATCCTTTACGGTTACGGCCCTTTTACGAGTTAACAACAACGGTTTCAGCGAAATAGTCAGCGTGGTAAATACGTGAAATGGGAAAAGGAAATGAGAAAAACACCTATTATTGGCCTCGATTCGTAATAAATTACTTTACACAGGAAAATAGGAGTTTTTCCTAAGTTACGCAAAAACGACGTAAAATAAATAATTTATTAGTATTTGAAACATTTACCTATATGTATACAAACTCTACTATAAATAGTATTAGAGTAGATATTATACGCAAATTAGTGTTGTCGTTATTTTACTGAAAATAATGTTCTGACTTGAAAATAAATGGATATAAATGGTCTTCACTTTATTAGGGTTAATTTATTATGAAATAACCAACAAGTAGGCTTTAGGAAACCATACGAGAAGTTAGGGGAACCGGGAGAGCTAAACCCTCATAAAAACCAATTTATCCCACAAAATTTAAAAAAATGGCCACAAATTTTGTGTGATCTAACCATGCTAATTTATTTTCATTTATGAATCTTTTCAAAAACTCTAATATTTGTAATAAATTCGAACGCTAACATTCAATAGGATCATTAATTTTCCTCTAACATTTAATCTAAAATTATGCAAATCAATCGTAAATCATGGAGATAACAATCCCAATTGGTTTTGCATAACTCAAATTTCAATGCCGACATCGATATTCCCTTTTCGACGATTCGCTTTTTAATATCGGGATAATTTTTCATTCGGTTATAACGTGTACGAGTTTCCAGCAAAACATCAAGAAAATGCTTTATAATGCTCGTTTCAGCCGATACCAAAATAAAGGTATTTATTTTCATTGGAAATTTTGCGAACTAAATCCATTTATGTTTGCGAGTTGTAATTTTGTAAAACGTCACTCTGTAAATACGTATTTTAAAATTCTGTTTTCCCAACGTGTTCGCAAAGTAATCTGCTCAAATGTACCCCTAATACTACTAGCATTTTAGCGAGAAAGGCACGCATTCGGTGAAATGCTGTGGTCGGACTTTATCGATTTTGAATGAAAATGCTTGTTGCTATTATTTGTCGACTATGTGCCCGTGTCTTTACTTAAACTAGGAACAGTTTAAATAAAATTCTATATTTTTATTTAAAATCCGAAAAGAAAACGCATTGTAATTTTCTGGAAATGCTTTCCGCGTTGTTTAGACAGGAATTCAATCAACAATAATGATGGAACAATCTTAAATTTCATAACGCTGCAAATGTTGGTTGGCGTGAAAAATATGAATTTAGTACGTAATTATAACCACAATAATACATTATGTCTTCATTCAAATATGTAGGTATGTATATGAATATGCTAATTTTATGTTTGGATATAGGTCATATTCTGTATCCAATAATAGATTAATTTTACCAAAAATAGGTTAATATAAACTTATACCTTTCGGACATTCTCGATTCCAAAATTAGAAATATTTTTTCTGTTTTTTATAAAATTCGAAAACGTTTGTGAACAGTCGTGCATAAAAATGGCACATTTGAAATTTTAATAGCCCAGATTTAAAAAACATAAAAAGTCCACATCCGTTGTTAATGGTACAACCCCACACTTCTTTTGTCGTGTAAAGTAGTTATTTTTAATGCCTATAATGGATTAATGTGTTTAATTTCATGCTTTATGATTTTTACTAGATCTTCATAAAACATTTTATGTCAAAGCTACCTACTTTTTTTCGTTTAATATACCACGAGATCAAAGATTCAATTTGCAACGAATTTTGACGTGATGTCAAACAAGCAAGTTGACTTGGACATAATAAAAAAACATTTTAACAAAAATAGCTCTTGCATGTTAACGTCAAACTATAGCCAATAATAAATTTAAAGGATATTTTAGAAACCACATATTCCTAAGTAATTCCTAATTCATGATTATTTCTTCCTATAATTTTATTCATTATTTTTATTTTATGTAATTCCTAATGTATAATTTCAGTGAATTTTTACATAAATCCGCTTCGTAGTATTAAAATCATCCATTAATTGGCAAATTTGTGGGCGTCAATAGGAAATTCGAATTTGTGGGTAGAGTAATTGAAGGGCAACTATAAAATACTCAATATATTCACGGGTGATATGACACGTAAGCATTTTAAAAATCAATGCGAAAAACTAGGAAATGTTGATAATTCTCATGAAATCGGTCATTTTGATACATTCATATTATATTACATAAAGCCGATTTATAAGTTAAGTAGATTTCTAGTAACAAGTAAATCTCTCGTTAATGTAGCTAGATAATTAATTTTTATTTAATTTTTCTGCAACTGTCTATTGCTTCATTTATAATTATTTTTAAGGCATTTTAAGGCAAAAATAAAAAAAATTATTAATAATTAATCATTCGTCTCCTATCACAACTCACCGTATTTAAAGTAGCTTTTATGCACCTGAACGCCTATATTAGTTATAAATTTATTAAAATACATTTTTCCCACTGAAACCAAACAATACATAATTTTTTGGCTTATTTTCGGAGCAAGACTTGGCTTCCATCAATCAAAGTAAGTTTATTATGCAATTCGCTTGAAGGGAAATTTATTTGGAAAATATTTTAATTGTTTACTCAATTTGTAAATGTAGCCAACTTCAAAATTTTCTTTATCGGTTAATTCCGCTCGCTTTCACTGCAAAGTTTTTAAACAAAGTTTTAGGGGGATTAATATAGGAATTGTAACGAGTAATTTGATATTTCAGGCTACATTAAGCAGAGGAGAAAGCTATTATTATAAATGCTAAAGTTCATGAACAAATTGCACTGATACTGGATCATTAGCGTTACTCGACTTTTTTATAGTTACACGGGCACCGACGAAAATATCACTTTTGTTGTTTTCGCCAGCACGCGAGACGGTATTCAATATCATTATTTTTAGAAAAAAAATATTGGGAGAATTTTTACTACTAAATCTGATATCTGGTTTATATCAAAAATGATTTGTAGGAAAGCATTTACAAGGCATTAGAAATAAATAGTAATGGAAAAAGCGTTTCGAAAGAAGGCGACCTGAAAGCCTTTCCATTTCGTATTGTGATAAATGATCCGACGATTTTGTATTTTTTAGTTTGATTACTATTTCATCTGGCTTGTGCCTTAAGATTATTTTATAGGAATTCTAAATGTGAAAGAAGGACGAATATTTATTTATTTTTCATTTTTTTATATTTTCAGGATTCTGGTGTTGGTACTCCGGTAACATTGAGAGTGGATCCGCATGGATTTTATCTTTATTGGGTCGATCAAAATCACGAAATGGATCTATTGGACATTGCCATTATTCGCGACACCAGGACAGGTCGATATGCTAAAATACCAAAAGTAAGTTTATGTTAAAGTAATATTATTATCGGTCAAAAAAATTAAATTAAAATTAAAACAAGCCTGTGGAAAAATTATGAATATAGGTAGGTACATATGCTAATTTCAATTTTACATACATTTTCGATATGGAATTAAAATAATTGTCCCTATATCTTTCTACTTTATATTTATTTATATCTGTTATAAATATTATTCTAATTAAACACATTAATAATACTGAATATAATGTCTGTTGTATGTAAAATATTCTCTATATTATTATGTTAAAAATAGTTTGAACTCTCCCGTGGGAACGTCATTCACCACAAAATTGAATTTCTATATAGCAAAGCAATAAATTCTTTAATCTAAATTTAAAGCCCAAACGATTTATTTAATAAACCAGAGCATTGATGCATTAAAATGATTAATAACAGATAAAATCAGTAGATTGTAAACATAAAAAGCACGTTATTTAAAAGCGCGTGTTAATTCAGTTTTATATTTGCATGTTATGAAGTTTTTGGCAATAACATGCAGAGAGTTATGTACTGAACTTCTGGTATTGTTCATAAATAAAGTGAAAATAACGTAATACGTGGTAGTTTTATAACCCAGAAGTTTTGTAACGCCCTGTGTTTGTAATACGAGTAATAAATAAAATATATTTTTCTGTTCTACATATTTTTGTTGTATGCAGTATCTTACACATTAGTTGATTGCTATTGATGTTTCGATATAAATTAGGGGGATTTTCATTTAACTCGGCTGTTCCTCAAAATCACAAATCACGCTAAAATGTGTTCGCGATCACGCAAAAAAGTAGATTTATCGCACTACACACAATCTGCGAAGAAGATAGGTGATATTACAGTAGTTTATTTAACAAAAGTCAATGTTATTTGGCGAGTTGTTCGTGCGGCAAAAGCTTGAAGGGCAGAGGCTAAAATCCATAAGCGCAGTAGAATTTTAAATAATACTCTACCTACAAAGGTATACGCTGCATTTAGAATGCATAAAGAAGATTTAGGTAATTCTGTATTCTGTTTAAAGATTACTTCTACTTACAGCGTTATATGCACCTGTTGCTTATTTTTATTAATATACAATTCTAGTCCATAATTCCATTAGTACAATTTTTATTTTATACTCCTGTTTGGTATTCGATTCATTCATATTTAATTAGAAAATTAGTGGGCGTTAATAGGTACTTCCGTTTTTATTGCTAAATAAATTGTACGAATGAATAAGCAATTAGTTTAGGGATTTGCCGTTACAACCTCCGTTTGCATCCCCGCCTTTGAATTTGAGGGTTGAACATTTGAAGGGCAACTGTAAAATACTGTGTTCGTGGATGATATTGCACGTAAGCATTCTAAAAATAGACGTGGAAAACTAGGAAAGATAGACAATATGCATGAAATCTGTCATTCTGATAAATCGGCTATTTTGCTATTTATTATTACCAGATTTATAAGTTAGAACAAAGATAATTTCGCGCTTAATTATAGATTTTATTGGGCTTGTGTATGGTTATGTAGCTGGGCAATTAAATTGAATATTTTTACACCCTGTATATCGAAAACGAGGCCGTTTGACCAACAAACGTGGTGGAGTTTTTTGAAACTCCTGGACATCCCGTATACAAATCATCAATTTTAATTTTTAATATAAATGATTTGATTAAACAAACCTCTGTAAATTATTAAACAAGTAGGCGTTAGCAGTAAACGAATTCGATAAAATGAATTTTCACAAATTCATAAATTGAACACGACAAATAAATCACTCGATTAAAAAAATTAAATGCATCGCAGATTTAGAATTTTAACAGCACATTAAAACAAAGCTTCACTATAATTATCTGTCAGTTGTTTGAAATCGACCTAAATTTAAAGTTGGATATACATCCTTTCAGAAAGGTGTTCGTAATTTCAGTTAAGATAAATTCGTTTCCGCAATCGTTAATCGATTCCCTCCTATCGAAAGGAAATTGTTCGGCAAATTTTCCGCGGAATTCAGATACCTTGCACGATTATCGTCGAATTCAACTGAATTTATGCGATATACATGTTCGGTGCAAGTCTAAGGAAAATCGTTTCCGAACTGTAATGAACCCTATTCCTGTTTTACTTTCAGTTTCCTAAAATACTCCTTGCATAATTTGATTTTCACGTTTTATCATTAGTCGATATGAATCTAATATTATTATGTACCAATGAGAAGCTCGCAAATTTACTTTATCGCCGTGAAATTATTGAAATAATAATATAATATAGAAATAATATAGATATAGAATAATATAGAAATAATAAGTGAAATAATTAGTAACTGTAATTAAAATATGAATTAAGTAGATATAGCAATAAGCGTGAATCCAATATGATATACGTAAAACATCTATCTGTAGGTACACAATTTCTCAAAAAATTCTCACTCTTATCAACAGTTGCTCTGGTATCAAAATCAATAAAACACGCCAGCACAAATTTAAATTTTTCAAAGGTACATAAGAATTCAACAGGTTCAGTAAACAAATAGAAACAAAAATAGGATTGCGAGTCTTCAATTCGATACGTTTAAACGGCGCTCGCGATGAAAATCACATTCCTTAGTAGATTTCCTATCGAGCTTCCCTCCCATAGGAAGTTTCCTGTAAATAATTCTTTATTGGCTAACGATTGATTTATAGTAGATTATCCAAATAAACTGAAACTTGATCGCTCAAATATTATATCGACTAAACGGAAGCGAGTTGATATACAGAAATATATCCAATCGATAGACTCTTCTGATGTTGTCCCAAATATTAAAAAAATAACTGGTTGTTTCATTTTCGATTCATCATTGTTTTTATTTTCGGAAAACTGTTAATATAATTCGTATTGCTAAAACGAGAATGAATATTCTGTTATCATTTACTCTTGCTGCTTCTTTGTTTAAAGTCTCGTATAGTCGCGATCTTGCATGAATGGAATCGCTTTGTTTATTGGCGGCGTGTGCCTTTCTGCCCATGTACAGAGAATATTCATTTCCCAGTCTTCCTGCTCCGATAGCAAAAACAATGCCGGTTCGTTCGTTGGAGATGAAAAAAACGTTAAATGTGTGAATTGTTAGATAACAGGATTTCGCGTTTATGCTCGCTAAATGACTACTTTTTTATTCTTCCTTTAATGAAACTGAAACTTAAAATGAAATTGGATGTTTAAAAGACATTTTTATGAAATATCGATTTCAGGCAGATATCAGAAACGATATTACTTTTTGAAGTAGGTGCCCCACTGTGCTCTTCCCTTTTTCCATTTAAATTCTGTAAATATTTAAAACACTGGTAAAACGTGAAAGTGAAAGGGGGGTTAATACACTACTTACCTTTGAAATTCACCAAGGAGCAAGAATATTTCGTAGACTTTTGTTTCATCCGTTTCATTTCAATCAATTATGAAAAATTTGCGAGATATTTCGGGTAAAGGTGAACAAGGAAGATAATAATGAATCAACCCTCAAACTCACCAACCCTTCTCTCCCCTTGACAACCTTTAGTGTGTTGAAGGGGATAAAGAATAACTACAAAATCTCGAGACACTGGAATTTTTGTTTCTTAATTGCCAGTTTGACTGAATTGCCAGCAGCGTGAGCTTCATATTAAAAATTTACTTTGTATTTTTCCCTTTTATTTACTAGAAAACTCGAAATCTTTTCTGAGGACTTAAACCCAATGAGTTCTTATTATAATACTATATGTATATACCATATTGGAGCCTACGTTATTTTACTAATCTAGTGCATTCTTGAAACTGGGTTGTCAAGCTTCTGTATTAGCAACTTGTCTCTCTGCCTTTTTGTTGCCTTTTTGGTGGTCCTTCGGAATTTATTACAGTTCATTCTAGGTTTATTGTTATGAACTTCTACCTTATAGCTGTGGTGTTATATGTATAATATAACTGTTGGCATGGTAGTTATAGAGCGACGGTAAACGACCTTATATGCGTTAGTTGATCAATATGAGACGAGAATCGTTCGCTTACAATGGGTTATGTAGTTTTTTATACTATCTTGCATTTTAAAAGAGGATTTAGGGCAGGGAAGGAGCAATAAAGCCGGTTTAAATCGCAGTGAAAGGATGGAGGAACTGAAATACCGATTTACGCTATTGTGCGCCGTGTTTTGTCTGGATGAAACTTTACACCCACGTAATTTTTTCTTCTTATCCCTAAGATTTCCAGACTTCGTAAACACGAATCTCTTTGTAGGCGTTAAATATCTGATTTGAATGCAATTTTTTATTGAAAGCGTAGGAATATTGTACGGATACAAAACGAAATTATTGTTCATGGAAATCAAATTATCTTTTTTTCTTGATTTCAATAGTAGGTGTTTCTAAATTTATCAATTGTCTATTAAAATCTCATCTGTTCATAAAATTACATGCTTAACATATTTATTTCAGATTTTTAGGGAGCCAATATTAGCCTCTAAACTGAATGATAATTACTTCAAAACTAAAAAAAAATTTACTTCTATTTCAGAATACACTACATGCCCTACCTAGTAAATTACAACACTCAATCGCTGTATTGAGATTTATTTGTACGGTTTATTTTATTACTCATCTATCCAATTTGAAAATAAACTTATTAATTCTAGTAAACCATTTTACCTTTTTCGGATACTAACAAAACGGGTCGTACGCTTAATAGGAACGTGGAAATTATTTTCTTATAATTACAAAAAAAGCTATTCAGTATATGGGAATGTAGGGGCGTGTTACCTAATCATTATTCAATATTCCTTAAACTGGCTACCTTTATCGGTTCACTCAATCAATTATGAAAATGGGGTTTTCTAAAGGGTGGTTCTAGTTTCCGTTTCGAAACACTTGAGGCGTGGTAACATCAGTTTGATAATGATTAATACACGCGTTGTTTGTTTGTCCTACATGAATTTTTCTTTCCTTTTAATAACACTGAAAATAATACGGTTGATTTACAAAAGCATGAACTTTGTACCACCATTACGTACATTTTTCGTTTTTTTATTTAATATAATTAGATTTGTAGCATAAACAATAAAAGTTTAATGGTCATTATATCACTCTCGAAGACATAAAACGATTAGGAAAATAATATCCTTTATAGTCAATAAAATTTATATTGGCGCGTTATAAGGTTTCAAAGATTACTTTTAGAGCCAGTTTAAAATAAGATTGTTAGGTGGAATGGCCACCAGAGGAATAACAAAACATACGATGTAAAATTCCTTTGATAGAAATAATTTTATTTATTTCAGGATCCGAAATTAAGGCAGATAGTGACGATGGGTTCGCAAGATACGCTCGAAGAAAAGACGGTTACTGTCTGTTGTGCCAACGATTTCGTTAATTTAACTTTCATAAATTTTTGTTGTACGAAAAGGGACATCGCTAGGCTATGGACGGACTCTCTCATAAGTTTAGCTTATAATTTGAACCAAATTAACGGCACCGCTATAATGTACTTATTCAAAGCTTATACGAAATTACATTTAATCAAGGATAAAACGGGAAGTATACCTACAAAAAAGTACGTAAATCTATGAGCTAATTTAAAGGAGTCTTCTTTGATTATTATACATGGTGGCACATATATTTTTAAAAAAGGGTGTTCCTTTTAAAAAGTATAAGTTTGAACTACCACGAAAAAATGGGACAATCTGTATAAATGTAATTAAATTTAAAATATACAACTTAAAAAGATCTACAATTTTTGTACAAAAGTTTTTTTTTATATCTTCTACATACAGATATATTGAGCTTTTCCATACTAATGTGCCACCCTGTATTTTAAATTTTATACAGGGTGATTGAACGTTAGGACTCAGAAAACGTATCACTCTAGGCAAATTGGTGGCAAAATGGTTATTATTACAATAAAATAAACTGTTTCTTATTACATTGTACTTTTGAATCACTCTGTATATTATTTGTCTTTCTCTATCAAAACATTAAATTATGAATTGTACAAGCCCCTATTTATTGTTTTTTATTTTCAGCGTAATAAAAATGTTCACCCAAAACAAAGATGATAAAAAGCGGGTGGAATCGGTATTGCAGCTCATGGGGTATCAGACCGGTAAAAATGACACTATTAAACCGGACAAATTTGAATTCGAACATTTTATCAATTTTTACATCAAATTAACCAGACGACCAGAAGTGGAGAAAGTCTTCAATGATATGTAAGTAGACGAACGAGTTGTTCTTTCAGTTCAGCAACAAGTATTGCTTTTTGTTATCGCCGATGCCATCACTTCGTTTCTATAATACTTGCAAGTATATTATTTTGGGTAATATAGCTTAATATAGCATTAAATAATGAAGGAAAATCGTGAAAAAACAAGCAATGCCCGACATAGGTTGTTAAACTTATAAAGCATCGACGTAAAAATATTGTTATGATTCTTGCTAAAAAATACCAGAAACGGAATTTTTCAATTAAGTTTCATCGTGTATCAGAAAATTTCCCTAGTTCCTTAATAAAAACTAAATTGATACTAGGAATGTTTGTCATCGTTCGGAAATAATTGAATCGCCAATTGTGAGCTAACAAGCCATAAATTTATTAATTGATTTAATTTTTATTTTTAGGGTGGGTTCCAAGAAATTAATGTCATCCAATCAATTCGTTAATTTTTTGAACCAGAAGCAAAGGGATCCGCGATTGAACGAAATTTTGCATCCCTATGCAGATGCGGATAAAGCTAAAGACGTGATAAGCTCATACGAACCAAATAAATACAACGCTCAAAGAGGCGTGTTTTCATTTGAAGGATTTCTCAGGTACTTATTACTATATTATGACTGTTAATTAGTTTATTAATCACTTCTCATTAGGTATCTCTTGTCTGAGGATAACAACATAATGGCCCCTTCGAAATACGATCTCAGTCACGACATGGATCAACCTCTCGCTCATTATTTTATAAATTCATCGCACAATACTTATCTGACGGGTCACCAACTCACAGGGAGGTCTAGCGCAGAAATGTACCGACAATGTTTATTGGCCGGCTGTAGGTAAGAAACTCGCTTTTAATACAGCGCATTGGCAGCAATTTGAATTTTATTGGAAAACAAATACAAACACAGATGAAGATAAAGCGGAACGTTGCCAAAACGTTAACGCGTCAATGGCGAAAATAGTCGAGATTACCGATCTAAATGTTAAATGTTGATGGGTTCAATGTCAATACGAGCTTTTGTTTCATTGATATTCTAATCGACAATCAAAATACATAGTACAAAGGCTCTGTTAATATACCTAAATTCTCTATGTTTTATCTTGCCCAAATTTGAAATTTTTCCTTACTATAGGTGTGTGGAATTGGATTTTTGGAACGGTCGAACAGACGAGCCCGTCATTGTGCATGGATATACTTTCGTACCTGAAATTTCCGCTAAAGAGGTGTTAGAAGCAATCGCTGAAAGCGCCTTCAAAACATCCGATTTCCCCGTGGTGCTATCCTTCGAAAACCATTGCAATCCTAGGCAACAAGCTAAAATAGCCAATTACTGTAGGGAGATATTCGGTGAGATGTTACTAGAAACCCCATTAGAATCTTATAAATTGGAACCAGGTAAGGAAGCAATGACTAGAACGGTAAAACTGAGCGCAGGGTGATCCAATAATACGACTACAGTTCTTCCAACAAGTCAGAAGTATCCAAACTCTGTTGTATCACTCTGTGTAGATATTTTATTGTATCTCACCTAAATTACCAAATCATTATATTTTTTTGATACTCTCATGAAGGAACATGTTCCAGGAAATCCATTACCTCCCCCTTCCGTTTTAAAACGAAAGATAATAATTAAAAACAAGAAGAAACATCACCATCATCATCACAAACGCACAGTAACGCCATTACCTGAAACACAAGCAGCAGAAATCGTTGAAATTGCTGAACTCTCAGAAAGTACTGAGGACGCAGAAAATGCTGGGGATGCACAAAACGCTGTAAACTCTAACGATCCCGATATCAAAGAAAATAACGAAAATAACGTTGAAAACGCTAATAACACAGACAGTTGTGAAAACACCACTAATGCAAATCACGATAGCGAGCCTAAACATGCACCGCCGTTCTCACAAACCAGACAGGTAATCTTTCCGAAGCTAAATATTCAGTACGGTGGTTTTAAAGTAAATTATTTTATCGGTGCAGGGTTCCAAAGAATCTACTGGTACCGAAGACGAGGATTCTTCGAGCGAAGAAGACAATGCTGAAGTACCAGTAGAGAGCGTAGAAGGTGGTAAAGCTGCAGCTACTGAAACTGAAGCTGGCGCTGAAATATCAGCCTTGGTCAATTACGTACAGCCGGTACATTTTTCTAGTTTCGAAAACGCTAAAAGTAAGCAAAAAATGTGTACTATTTGACATCATATTTACTTTAATAATCATTGTTAATTTTTAATTATCCAGAGAAAAATCGCAGCTACGAAATGTCCTCGTTCGACGAAAAGCAGGCGACTTCTCTGCTGAAAGAGTACCCCATTCAATTCGTTAACTACAATAAACACCAATTAAGCAGGGTCTATCCCGCCGGTACGCGCTTCGACTCTTCCAATTTCATGCCTCAAGTCTTCTGGAACGCCGGTTGCCAGTTAGTAGCGTTAAATTACCAAACGCTGGATTTGGCTATGCAATTGAATCTAGGAATTTTCGAATACAATTTCAGGTACGTTTGAAAACACTGCTATAACAGGGTGCTCGAAGAAGAACCTAACTGAATTGTACAGGGGGTATTTTATTGAGATCATGGTCTGAAAAAATGCGTTACTTTAATGATTATCAATCTGACAGAGATCTTTAAGTAAACATACATCTATAAACAGTATTAATATAATTTTAATTTTGGAAATCGGTTCAATTCGTCGTAAAGGGGACCCTATATATTCGTTGAATTGTCACAAGCTTATACTTTCCATTTTTGAAAAAATCGGGGTTTTAACTGTCCTTCGAAGGGGGTTGAAGATAGGGCTTACATTTTGACGTTGAGAAGTGTCAAATTATAATTAAAATTCTATAAATATACACAGTAAGCGAAATAATGAATTTATTCCATTTGGCATTTCCACCTTGTATGTATGTGTTTGTTCCGTCCAGATGCGGCTATTTGTTGAAACCGGATTTCATGAGGCGCGCCGATAGAAGGTTTTATCCTTTCGCCGAGAGTACTGTGGATGGTATCATAGCTGGTACTGTAAAAATAACTGTGATATCTGGACAATTTTTGACTGATAAGAGAGTAGGGACTTACGTCGAAGTGGAAATGTACGGTTTACCAGCGGATACAGTGCGGAAAAGGTTCAGAACTAAAGTCATAGCTAATAACGGGATCAACCCTGTGTACGATGAGGAGCCATTCGTATTCAAAAAGGTAATGCATTTTATAATCGCTTCTCCAACATTCATAATCTAAGCGAATGTTTAGGTTGTTTTGCCGGAGTTAGCATCAATTCGAATAGTAGCCTACGAAGAATCCGGAAAATTCATCGGACATCGAATCCTCCCCGTGGTAGGTCTGTGCCCGGGCTACCGCCACGTCAATTTGCGCACCGAAATAGGACAGCCCTTGCCCTTGGCCACGCTGTTTTTGGAAGTAGTCGTCAAAGACTACGTTCCCGACGGGTTGTCGGACTTCGCCGAAGCCTTAGCGAATCCCATAAAGTACCAGAGCGATTTGGAAAAGCGAACGCAACAACTGGCCGTGTTCACCGACGACCTGGAGCCGTCGTCGGAGGGCTCCTCCGACGAGCAGAAGAAGAGCAACACATTGACCAGATCGAGCAAGGAGGTGACCACCAACGGCAGTCCCGTTCAAAGGCTGTCCATAACCGCGGGGAACGTTTCCGTGGATTCGGTGACGGACAGCGAGGTGCCGATCATTCCGGTGGCCATATCGACGGCGACAGCCGCTCCCGTCGAGAACAATTCAGTGGCGAAGACGCCGGAAGTCAAGGAGGTGAGATTGGAGGAATTGATAGCCGAGCCCATTGAGAAGATATTGGAGAATAAATTGGTGAAGGAGAAGAAACAGGAGTTGGACAAGAAGCTGGAGACTTTGAGGCGAAAGCACGAGAAGAAAAAAATGTCCCTAAATACTCAGCGGTCTAGTGACTTTTCCGAGAAGAAGTCCAAATTAGCCAATATGAAGTTAGTTAAGAGATTGTCCAGCAAAAACATGTGAGTATTTTATTACGTAATTGTTATCAATAACACTAAGGGTCAACACATTTAATAATTTTATTGTTGCGGTTAAGAATAAATTATTGTCATTGAAACGATTTTCTAAATGGAATAGTCAAAATCAAACAGGTACAGAAAAAAAATATTGGTTCAATGATTTTAATTTTTCACTGCCAAATAAATTTCTTTTAAATGTTAGAGATCGACACTTTTACTAGAAATAATCGATGTTTTGAATGTCTGAATAAAACCCTAATGATTTATCTATTTGCACAGGCATAATATGTTTATAATTGAATGTTTTCCTTCAATTTCCTGAACTTACCTTGTATTTTTTTGTAGTAAAATTAGTGCATAGTATACATTGGTATTTTTAATAAATTTTGTGTAACGACCATCTTAATTATCTTCAAATTCTTATCTTTGACGAAACCGAACACAATAATTTTTGAATACTCTAACTAAATGCTTATATTGCTGTTATTGATAATATTTTAAAGAACGGATACCGAGAATGTCAATACTGACCGTCACCCCAGTGTATGGCGACTATGCCCAAATTGGTGAGTTATATGTAATTGTTTGAACACCATTGGCAAAAATTTATTGCATATTCGTAAGTTCTGCACACTGTTTTCAGGACATTTTAAATTTAAATCATCACAATTGGAAATGAGAGTGCGCTCTACTGAATTCTCATAAAAAATATTCGAACAAGCATGGTTAATTTTTCATTTTGTAGAATTCGCATTCGCATATAGAATTCAAAAAATTTTCTACTGTTTATTTGAATAAATTTATAAAGTGTTAAATAAAACCGAAACGTAGACAATACTATTTATATTATAGTCATTTGCCTGGAACATATGTATATTAATGTATATTTAGTCAAATACACCATTATTGCAATGAGAATTCGTAGAGTAACTTCCATATTTAAAGGATTAGACTATGAAATTCCTCATTCGTGTTCTTAGCAAACATTGCAAATTCTTGTTACATTTTTGTTATTACAGCATGTTGTTTGCGTTCTTGTGTATTGACTTCTTTGGTATGACATTTACAATAACACGTATTTTTCCCTTTTTGAGCTCTCTATTGTTAATGCAAAATTATCGATTGATATCCTTCTTTTCAGTGTCAGTGCCGTTTTCTACACGGAGTCTTCGAGCACAGAGCCTCTCACAAGCGTCACCGATGGCGCAGAAACCAGCGGGATCGAAACAGAGAGGCCCTCTCTGCCTAGAAGCCACTCGGAGCGGCTGTTAGCAATGAACAAGGAATTCGTTACACAGGAAAAAGAACTTCGTGAGAAATACCACGAGGTCATATACAGTCTAGCGGAGAAACTGATGCGGACGTCACAGTTGAATCAGATTAAAACGTTAAAGGTATAAAATATTCCCACAATTTTGCTAATATTTGTTGAAACGACCATTGTTTAGGAACAACAAGAAAAGGAGACCAACGAACTCATGAAGAAGCTCCAAACTGACCACAGGGAGGAGGTGAAAGCTTTGAAGGAAAAACACCGGAATCGCGAGCAATTTACCAGGGTCAAACGAGAAGCGGTTACAGCAGTGGTGGAAAGAGGAGTTTCTGAAAGGGAGAAACTGTCCCAACTCTACGAGAATAGAAAGGAAGACTTGCAAAGACAACATGAGCACGTCAAGGATTTGCTCTTAGAACAAAGGGATAAGGTAAATACGTATAAAGAGATAAATAGCGAGATTTTATATTACTGTTATACAAGCGCGAAATATAAATCGGAATTTTGCCTTAAAAATTTATTAGTAAATTAAATACAATTTTGAATACATCTTATTTTTAATTTCCTTTTCTGTCATAAAAATATCTGGAGCAATAAGAAAATTATGATAAAAAAGTTATTTTTTTTTTCTAAAATTTTAACATCTTGTAGCTCCAAAACTAAGAGGTTTAGGACATAAATTGATATAAACTTTTCTTCTTAAAATCATCCAATTATTCACATCTTGAAGTATTAGCAGTCAATTAATTAACTCCCTATATATCAAGACGACATGTTACACGCCTCACCCACGGAGCGTTAAAAAGAAAATTCCTATTCATATTTGATTCCAAAATTTGAATAATAATTTATTTATTTTTTAGGAAAAAGCTGCGTTATGCAAAGAATTCGAAATGCGCCTATCGAATACAGAAGGGGAATCCAGCACAGTCCCGTAAATTCGATTCCGAACTAATTAAAATTGGTTCATTTTGTTGGTGCTCTGCATGTCGTTTCGATTACGGAGACACGTCTTTGGAATTTGATCGATTTTTCGCTGACGAGATAGTGTAATATTCTGATCGAATGATTAAAAAAATTTGTATATGTAATGTCAAACGAAAACGTCGCAGTTTTTGGTAAATCTTGACAATCAACTATCTGTTTCGTCTGATTTGGTATTAACAAACTTAACATTGTTAAGTGCATAGTTTACACAGAGCGAAGATGAACTTGACAGTTTGCCAGTCTTAGGCAAAAACTATAAGTTTTGGAACAATAAATAAATTCATTCCTTTCTTTGCGATTATTTGATATTTTAACAATTAGTTAATCTAGTAATTGTAAAATCAAACACCAAGTCCATATAATTGCAAACTCGCTGTAAACCATCTTCAGCCTTAAGTTAGATGGTTCAGGAAGCTTATGTGTGATTAAAAGAGCTTGGTGTAAAACAGTAGAGTAAACTTTTTACAATCTGATAATTGTATGATGCAAAAATCCAGAATTTATTTGTTTAAAATTTAAAAATAAAAATATTTAATTTTTAATCGCGGCCTAAACTTATTGTTAGTTTAATTGAAAATGATATTAGGTTTTTTTCTGAACTTATAGTTTCACTATCAACTTTGAATTGAACATGACGCTTATTTTCGACAACTATCGAACATTGTTCTGGTTTCGATTAATATAAAAAAATGACAATTGACAATCGAGTCAACTTCACTCCAAACTCTAGTCTACATTTTGATGTTTGTTGTTAATTGTGATAGTAGAGTTTAGATAATTTAGAAAAGGAACAAGTGATAAAACGCTTAAATTCAAACTATATACTAAAATAGTTGAAATACTTGTGCCAGTCGTTGATATGAGTATATTTTTACAAATGCTTCGCTTTTCAACCAAATACCTTTTTATTGACAGTATTGGGAAAGAGGATGTTTTGAAACACTTTGTTAGTTCCTGTTTTTTATATAAAATATATTTTTTTGTCTTGTTTGTCCACACGTGTGACCGCTCTGGTTTAGTCTTCCACTTTTTAGATTTTTTGCTTCATTTCAAGCATAAGCAGAGAAGCATATAAGCAGAGATTCTTTTAAAAAATTGGAAATACTTTGGGAAGTATATTACAGTAGACGTTCATAGTATTATTTTATACAGGGTGGCCCAAACTCACGCCCCACCGAGAAATGCCTTTTGGAACCGACAATGGAGATGCCAAAACTGCAGCCGAAAACATGAAAAAGTTTTTCCGTTTGTAAAATAAGAGGTTTAAATTCGACCAATCAAAAATGGATCATTCGATTCGAACCACTTTTGAAGCAATAAAAAATTCTAAGGCCTTTCCCGGTATGGCCTGAGTTCTGGGCCACCCTGTATTTATCAGAAATATTCCTGTTGAATTCAATCGTCTCCAGTAACATACTGCTTCTTATATTCTCCAGAAATTTTCCCATTTTTTAAGGGGCAACCTGTAGTTTACAAGTTAAGTGTAAGTTGTGATTTTAAAGAGAATAACTAAGTACATATTAATATAATTAGAACATTTTCTTTTCCAATTGTTTACATTTTTATAACATATTGTGTACATACGTAAAAATAAACAAAATTTCTTGATCTTCTATAGTTAAGTGTATAGTTATAGTAAGTATAGAATATTAAAAGTTTAGCCCGAAGGTAATTAAATAAATGTTTGTATAGCCAAAAAATGTGTAATTTACAGTAGAGAATAGACTTTCAGTATCGTTAGAAACACCCGATGAAGTTCGAGAAATTTTGCTATTTTTAATTTTTTTAACCGTTCAGTTTTCCTGCTACATACGGACTCTGTATTTTCCTCCTAAATATTTATATTTATTTTTACGTTACAAGAGCGTTTGTTAATTAATAAATTTATTTATTATACTTAGTATAATGTTTTGTTATTGTGTCTTTTAATTTAGCCACCAAATATTTTATGCTGAATTGAATTAAATATGTTGATGGAATTTTTTTTTTAAAATGAAGCCATTAAGTGCAGTGAAAACTTTCTAGAAAGTTACAAACTTCTAACGAATTTACAACTTTATTCTTATTAAAAAGGTATACGGTGTCCGTATGAAAAATAATAATTATCTTCAACCCAAATCAACCTGTAATTGCATCATAAATATCACAATATGAATGTATGTAAATATCATTTTGTTACAATAGTTAAATAAAACAAGAACAACGTTGCTTAAAAGTTGCTATTATATATTGCGTTATAATTGATTGTTACCTAGTAAGTACATACATACAGAATTGATTAATAGTAGGAAGAAAACGCGTAAAACTTGTATGTAGATAGATTAAATGGAGTAGCCGTATTAGAACAAAATGGTTGAGTAAGGAAATGTTTTTTTTGTCATTTAAAACTTTTATGGAATCTCGATGTAGGAAATTTTAGAAATATTTGGGGAGGACTCAGGAATAGATGGATTTATTCATGCTGTAATGTTCTGATATTATTAACTACATAGCGGCAATGGATTTGAAGACACTCGATGATTATTTAACAATTTTAAATGATAAAAAGAATGTAATAAAATGCTGTATTTGTCTCATAGTAGTGAAGAATACTATATTTAAATTAATTAAAATAATAGTGGCTACGCTTCCTACTCACAACTCTACTTGTTTCATAAAAATGTGATTTGAAACAAAATGTTTACTTATTTTTTAATAAAAATGAAATTTCAAAATGTTCCATAGAATACGTTCAAATAGAAACGTAGTCACTTACACAGAATAGCGTTATTAACTCACATTAGATATTTCAGTTGGAATAATTTGATAATTACTGAAAATTACGGCCTATTCTATTTTTAAGATAGTTTTTCTTATTGTTGACTAGACTTAAGAAAATACTGCCTACTACAAGTCTACCTTCTAGTTCTTCTTTATTTCATTTCCTTTGACCTCCTGCGTATTCAAAAATAGACTGATCGGATAAATTACAAAACAAGAGCTGTACAAAAACACATACAAGCTAATGATAAATTTTTGAGATGAAAGTATTTTGGGGTAACCTAAAGTGCAACAGGAATTGAGATGTATATTGATTGATTGGCCAATTGGTATTAAATTGACCAATAGTCAATTAGATGTGCTATTAAGTTGCCTCGAATTATCTTTTGACATGGTCAAAGCTATTTATCTACCTGTTATTACGCTTTATTTACCTGAACTTAAATTTGGATTAGTGTCATTTTATTCCCTTGAAAACATCTATACGTACTACAAATAATGAAAAGCATACTTATTCTAAATGATTATTCCAGTATAGTTAAAAGGATTAGAATAAATACTTAAATAAATTTCCAATAAACTTTAATTATTTTTGGGAAATTTTGTAATATCTGCAAGAGATCGTTAATAATCTCATGATTAAACATTTTTTTTCATGAGTATATAACATGATTGATAGTTTACTGTCACCACAATTTATAGATAATACATTAAAAATAGCTTATTAAATTGGTAGGTTAATTTCAGCAAAGGAATAATTTAAATGCCACATTGAAAAAGGAATTTTCGGAGACAATAACATATTTATTGGCAGTATTCATATAATTTTTCAATTTTTATTGCAAAAGTAAAATATGTGAAATTAATATTACTCAGTAAAATTTAATTAATAAAAGTAAAATGAAGTTATTTAATCTAAGAAACTACAGTATATGGTTGAATACTGCTAATTGTTAGTAGGAATTTTGAAAATTTCTGATATTGCAGATTTATAATTTTGTAAATTGATCCTTTCCGAATTAAAAGAAAAGTTATATTGTCTATTTTTAACAGTTTTATTGATACTTTTGTTATACCTTTTCTAAAACTATATAAGGCTGTTAAAATTAAAATTAATACAATTATAATGGTTGAATTTAATTAATTTAGTTGTTTATGTAAATGACTTCTTTCATAATTTATTAATGTCTGAATTCAGTTAAATTAAATTTTGTTCAACCGTTCTTTCTATTAATTTATGTTCGTTATTCTAGTCATTTATATTAAAAATACAAATGTGTATAGGTAACTTTGATTTATTGTATTATTTGTTTTTGTTGAGAATTTATAATTATTTTAAGACTTGAAGAATTAAATTTTATAACATAAGTATCTGAATCGGTACTTTCACAGTAGCCTACATTGATTTTAACTACAAAAAGAAGATCTCAACCATACTCGAAAAGTACTCTTCAGTTCCTTTAAGTATTTTTTATTATTGTATATTTTGTATTTTTTAGTTATGTTCACTAACATATTTATGTCTATTTAAACAGGTGGTCTTAAAAACATAAATAACAGCGCGCAAAAATAAAAGAAAATTTAATGAATTTACCGGTCTTAGACAAAAAAAATGTCTTTTGTAAGTAAGATTCCTAGGCCCGTAAAATAGCACAAATCTTCAATACTGATAGGCCAACTTAAGAAAAAAATGTTGCATTGGTTTTGCCGGAGATTCTTCGGTCAACTTGATAGTAATTCTCATTTATCGACATAAATTACTCGTTAGACTATGGCCATTATTAGGAAGTATAACAATTTAAAGTATAAAAATAGAGACTTGACAATGGTTCAAACGTTATTTAATCTCGGAAGGTTTTCTTTAATAAATTAAAGTGAGTGGTTGGACTTTTTTAAATCGACTTTCTTGGAACTATGTAATACAAACATTGGTAAACCTGAAGCAATGATTTAGCAACACGTGCCTACAATTTTCATATATCTGTAGATCTCCAGAGTTTCTGTTGCATTTTACGAAGAAGGTGCCACTTTTAAAAAATTGAACCACTCGATAAGTTTGACTCGTTAATAATATTTTTTTCAAGCAACAAAAATCTTCATTTAAGTAACTAATTAACCATATGTAAAATTATTAGATACAAGTATTTATATGGTATATAACTGACGTAGTTTAACCAATATTAAATGAAAACTTGAATGGACATTGTTTGTTGCTAAATGTACTGATTAATTCATTTTCGCAAGTTTAACAATTGTGGTTTGTGATTAGCAACTTTTCCAATACTCATTCGAGGGTGTTAATTATTTGTGAAACGTACTGGGAAGAGCCAATACCTCTCTCTCAGTTGCTTTGGCAAACCACAAAATATTACTTTATTTATTTTTGAAATTCAAACTATTTGATGAGAGTGAATTACTTGTTATTTTTTAGAACTAGAAAGATGAAATGGAAATTCTTAGCTACTAATTTATTACAGTAAATATTTTTTTCATGACGTTTAAAAGAAATAGTCAGTACATTTACAAATTTATTTATTACATTCCAAATTCGTAGCATAATTTATTAGTCTCGAATTTAATATTTTTCCAACTTGTGCCTTTTAACCAATAATTTTACTTGTACACTATTCTTACTCGTCAAGTCGTATATTAAATGTGTTTACTATAATGTTTATGTCTAAATAGATTTATGTGCTAAATAAGAGTGTTTTATTCCAGTAGTGATTTGATTATTTCCCTAAAATTCTCTTACTTTCATAGTTAATTAATAAAAAAGATTTTTAACAAATAAATAAATTTTTTGAAATGAAGTTAGAACATTTAACGATACATCTGATTTTAATACCTTAAATTAGTACTTCACTTTAAAAAACTTCGGAAACTCATTTTTGGGACCATTTTTGCGAGATCCCTTCGGATGATTTCACAAATTTATAATATCCAATAAATTTGCACTAATTTATCAATATTTATTGATTGCAAACTTCACTTTGTAGAACTTTATTGGCTACCAATGGTTTGTCATTTCTGTAGGAACAAACAAATTCATTTGTGACATTTTGGAAATTTGAAATTTAAATTACCATGTCTAATCTAAAGTTAAATAATAATGTAAATTTTTAAAGTGGCTTTCGGACTGTGCCTTTTGTAAAAGGTGCAAACAAATGTAGACGTAAGTTCCTTTAATTAATTATGTTTTAATTATTTTCGAAACCATTAAAATGGAATCCTTGCATCTTCAACTAAATGATAATCAATACAAGCCTATTTCCTTTCCAGAAATTCCAAGTTATTCTTTTATATGTCGTGTTGGTAATTTCGCAATAAATTCAAAATTATAAATGTTTCTGAGACGCAGAAGAGACATCATTAATCATTTTTCTCGCAAAAACTTTTGTGACAAAGCAGGAAGATGCGGTTGCTCAGATGAACAATCCACAGAAGCAAAACCAAAAAAATCGGGACGCATAAAACGGCTTTTAGTGGCTAATAGAGCAGAAGTCGCCATCAGGATATGTCGGGCTTGCAATGAACTGGGAATTGAACCAATTGCTATATACTCGAAGGAGGATACGAATAATCTACATCGATTGAAAGCTCAAAAAAGCTTTTTAGTAAGTAATAATTATCTTCATATCAGGTTTCTTCTTTAAAGATGTTAGGTACTCGTTTTAGATAGGGAAAGGATTAACTCCTGTTCAAGCGTACTTGAACATACCAGAAATAATTCAAGTATGCCTGGAAAACGAATGTGACGCCGTTCACCCGGGCTACGGATTTCTATCAGAAAAATCCGATTTCGCTAAAGCCGTAATAGATCATGGAATGAAATTTATTGGACCAACGCCCGAGGTTGTCTACAAAATGGGAGACAAAGTGGCAGCCAGAAAATCGGCAATTGAAGCAGGTAACGTAAGTGTTTTTATAATTTTAAATAGTAGCTTGCTGCTATCCATAGTTTAGGATCAACAGCCACTCGAACATCCAAGTTTTGAATAATTATGCTTGTAAAGGTGTTCCTGTGATTCCCGGCACGGACGGACCGATTAATTCAAAGGAAGCGGCCAAACAATTTTGCGAAAAACACGGTTTACCGGTGATGATGAAAGCCGCTCATGGTGGGGGCGGCAGAGGTTTGAGAGTAGTCACAAAAATGGAGGAGGTAGAATCCAGCTTTCAAACGGCTTCCTCGGAAGCGGCAAGTTCTTTTGGAAGCGGCGACATGTTCATTGAAAAATTTATAGAAAATCCCAGACACATCGAAATTCAAATTTTAGGTTAGTGCTCATTAGATTCTCGCTGACGAAACAGTAGCTGCAACTTTAATGAAATATCTCCGTTAAATCACATGCACAATAAACCTACTAATTTTAATATTAGGCGATCAACAAGGTAACGTTGTCCATCTGTTCGAGCGCGACTGCTCGGTGCAACGAAGGCATCAGAAGGTCGTAGAAATTGCTCCGGCGCCGTTTTTGAAGTCTTCTCTCAGAGAAGAAATGTCTGACATGGCGGTGAAATTGGCGAAGCACGTCAAATATATCAGCGCCGGTACAGTCGAGTTTTTATGCGACCCCAAAGGACATTTCTACTTCATCGAAGTCAATGCCAGGCTGCAGGTGGAGCACACCGTCACCGAGGAAATTACGGGCATCGATATTGTGACCAGTCAAATTAAGATTGCCGAAGGAAAGTCGTTGCCGGAATTGGGCCTGACGCAGGAGAAAATCAAAGTGAATGTGAGATTTATATGCACGGCAATGATAGTAATATTGATTTACCAGCAATGTCTATTTGCAGGGATTTGCTCTTCAATGCAGGGTAACCACCGAAGATCCGGCCAATAATTTCCATCCGGACACGGGAAGATTGGAGGTATACCGGCAGGCGGGAGGAATGGGAGTCCGTTTAGACGCCGGATCGGGATATGCGGGTGCCATCATCAGTCCTCATTATGACTCTCTCTTGGTTAAAGTCATAACGCACTCGGGCGATCTGAGAAGAGCCTCAAGGAAGATGGCCAGGGCGTTGAAGGAATTCGTTATCACCGGCGTTAAAACGAACATTCCGTTTCTGATGAATGTGGTGCAGACCGAAGCGTTCTTGAGCAAAGCTGTGACAACGAGGTTCATTAAAGAAAATCCGCAAGTGCTTAAATTTCCACCGTTTGGGCAAAGTTCTCGAAAGTTGTTGCGTTATTGTTCCATGATTCTTGTAAATGGTCCTAAATCACCGTTAGGAACTAAATTGGCGCCCTCAGATATTGAACCACGTGTTCCCGACGTTCCCGAAGGTGGGTTTTAATAATATTGCACACTAACTGTTAAGCTCTTTACCTTACTGTATTTTAAGTAAGTACAAAGCGATTTCGACTGTTTTTTTTGTTTCATCATTAATGAATTTTTACATAATTTAGTTGGGAAAAATTGTAGGTTGTCCACCTGATGGACTCAGGCAGATATATTTAGACCAAGGACCGGAAGGTTTTGCGAAGGTTGTGCGCCAGAATAAGGCTTTGCTACTTACGGATACGACTTTTCGTGACGCCCATCAATCTCTTTTGGCCACCAGAGTCCGTACGAGGGACATTTTGAAAATATGTCCGTTCGTCGCGCATAATTTCAGCCATTTGTACTCCCTGGAAAATTGGGGTGGAGCAACGTTCGACGTGGCTTTAAGATTTCTCCGCGAATGTCCTTGGGAAAGATTGGAGAAAATGAGACAATTGATCCCGAATATTCCATTTCAAATGTTACTGAGAGGGGCTAACGCCGTCGGTTACACGAATTACCCCGATAATGTTGTGTACAAGTTCTGTGAACTAGCTGTAAGTTCTGTTAATACCTACCGATTGGTTTAATTTAATATTACCTATTTTATGTAGGTTAAAACTGGTATGGATGTATTTAGAGTTTTTGATTGTTTAAATTATTTACCGAACTTGGTGGTTGGAATGGATGCTGTTGGTAAGGCGGGAGGTATTATCGAAGCCGCGATATCTTATTCGGGAGACGTTAGTGATCCTACTAAAACTAAATACGATCTTAAATATTACACAAAAATAGCGAAGCAGTTGGTGAAAGCTGGCACTCATATACTTTGTATTAAAGACATGGCAGGTCTCATTAAACCACAAGCTGGAAAGTAAGTAGCTTTAATTTGATACTTACATTTACCTTTAATGATACATTGTCTAGATTATTGGTTACCGCATTGAGAGATTTGTTCCCTGATATGCCTCTTCATATTCACACTCACGATACAAGCGGAGCAGGTGTAGCAGCAATGATAGCTTGCGCTAAGGCTGGCGCTGATGTAGTGGATGTTGCCGTAGATTCAATGTCCGGTCTTACTAGCCAACCTAGTATGGGAGCCCTAGTTGCTAGTTTAGAAGTAGGTTCAAATTTTTATCTCCATTGGTCTCTCGGTTGCCAGATAGTAAAATAACTGTTTTCTTATTTTATACAATAATAATTTTTAAGGGCACGAAGTATGACACACGGTTTAAATTAGATACGATCGCTAAATATTCGACGTACTGGGAACAAACTAGAACATTATACAATCCTTTCGAATGTACTTCTACATTAAAGAGCGGTAATTCCGATGTTTACGTTCACGAAATACCTGGTGGACAATACACGAATTTACAATTTCAAGCTTACTCATTAGGTAAAATTATATTAATATCGAGCAAAAAAACCAAAAAACTTTGCTTATTTATTTTTGCAGGTCTTGGTCATCTTTTTGACGATATAAAAAAGGCCTACAGTGAAGCAAATATTTTATTGGGTAACATAATCAAAGTTACACCTTCGTCTAAAATTGTAGGCGATTTGGCTCAGTTTATGGTTCAAAACAAGTTAACTGCCAAAGATGTAGAGATGAAAGCCGAAGAATTATCTCTACCAAATTCAGTGGTCCAATATTTCCAAGGTCTCGTCGGGCAACCGTATGGGGGCTTCCCTGAGCCATTAAGATCTAAAGTGGTCAAAGGCAAAGAAGTGGTCAAAGGGAGACCAGGAGAAACTCTACCACCTTTAGACTTCAAAAAACTTGAAACTGATTTAAGAAAAGAGCATCCAATGATTACTAAAAAAGACGTTATGTCTGCAGCGCTATATCCCAAAGTAACAAGAGGTTATTTAAGCTTTAGAGAGAAGTACGGACCGGTGGATAAGTTACATACAAAGATATATTTCGTTGGACCAACCATAGGAGAAATTTTTGAGGTGAAAATTTCAGAGGGCCGGATCTCAACAATGGAAGCTAAAGCCCTTGCTAAGGACGCTACAAAGAAAGGGACTCGGGAGGTATTTTTTGAGCTTAACGGTGTACCTGTATCCATGCACGTAAGTGATAAGGCGCTACTGGCAGGTGTTCAGTTCCATCCTAAAGCTGATAAAAGCAACCCGAAACAAATCGGAGCCCCCATGCCGGGGACCATAATCGATATAAAAGTCAAAGTAGGAGACAAGGTAGAGGTTGGTACGCCTGTAGTAATTCTTTCAGCCATGAAAATGGAGACTGTGGTTAAGAGCCATGTGGCAGGTAAAGTGAAGAAAATCGAAGTAACTAAAGACACTAAAATCGAAGCCAATGATTTACTAATTACTCTCGAATAAATGGATATTTATTATTATAAATAATGAATAAAAAATGCGTATTTATGTAGCTTTTCTTTTGATAACTTTGGCAAAGAACCAAATAAGGTAGGCCTCGATAACAAAATGATAAAATCTTTCGATCTTACTCAACCAGTCATCATCAAATAATGATACATTAGGGTTAAAAATCATAATCGCCATTTTCAATTATAAATGATTTCTAATTTTATGTCTGGAAACCAATGAAGCTTTTCCAATCTGTGGAGCAAATTGAACCCAAACATTATTAGCATATACGTAAGCCTGCACATCACGATACGCCATTCCAATAGGTAAGTAGGTACTTCATGAAATAACTTGATGATCTTGACATGGTCCGAGCGCATGAGTCGCGCATTTTAAAAATACCAGATTTCGAAACGAAACCGAAACGCGTTTTGCGCACACCAGTCAGACGGGAGAAGTTGTGCGGTAGAGAACGCGTTTTTAATTTGGAAAAAGTCGTCGAAAAATCGTATCTTATCGATCTCAACTTTAATACATTTCAAGGTAACATTTGTTATTTATGTAACCGGCAGGTTAATAACCGATTATTTCGCCTTATGAATTTTGAAGTCCAGTTAAACAATGTTAATCGAAGTGGAATTTAATACAGTTAACGTTCTAAAAAAGCTCCGAAAAATTGTCGGGAATTAATTTATTTGTCTTGGTTCAATATTAATCTTAAAATGTTGGTAAATATTCACAAGTCACAAGATTCCAATTTTATTTCTTTCCTGTTTTGATATAAAATGTACGTCAAAAAGAAGAATCAGTAATTTGTGGTCATTTTCACCGCACTGCTATTAAAAAAATTCTTCACTAATTACTTGGGTATAATTAAGTTATGGTATTCGATACAAATGTATGAAATTTTAATTATAAAAAAACACTTTCCTTTTCCACTTCTGATAGATATGTGTAAAAATATAATTTGGAGTGAGATTTAATCACTGTAATCTTATGATTTAGAGTTTTTAAGAATATTTTATTGCTCATACAGAATTGTACAACAATTATTTAGATCAAGAAACTTTGATAAAATAAACTGAGTAAAACATTCATGAAACTAAATAAATAAATTCATTACCACTATGTACGTAATATTTATAATACAATTTATTTAGGACATTTATTGAATATTAATCTTTTTTTAACGAGGTCATTATTCGAAAAACAACACAAAATCTCAAAATGTAGACACAAACTATTTATTAAACTTCTATGTTACCTGGATATTTAAAAAAATTATTTAAGTCAAAGACTGGTTTAAAATGTTATGGAGAATTTTTTGATTACATAGTCACTGTTTCAATATTCGCAATAGGCCGTCGGCGTCGCGACGTTCTCGCATTGACGCGACGCGTTTCATAAGGAATGATCTTAGGTAGGCCTTATAAACAGGCAAATGGATACGGGTCAAGGGCATTCGATATTTTATCGTAGCAGTGTCCTGAATAAGTTACTTTACCTGCTTATCTTCACGTGGATTACATGCTAATAACTCGTATCTATCAGTCTTAACAAATTATGGAGTAATTTTATATTTAATTTAAGATATCGAAGGAAATACTAACGAATGTGAAGTTAAATAAAAATAAATATTACACTTATTTAGGAAGATTAAAAAAGTTTATTAAATTGACATTCAAAAAAATAAACTAAAAGTGCTTATCCTTTAACGCGAATGCTATAACGTAACGTATAATCCCATAATATAGAACAATGGCCACAACTGCAAATTAACATAAATATGACGGTTATTGCAGACAATTTTATATTTATTTACGTACATATGAATTAATTGTGTTGTTTACTTGTTAGGTCGTTGAATTAGGTATTACTACTTCATGAATAAATTTATAATTTTGATCTTGTTCACCTATTGGAAATTAAAAAACCCAGTAAACTTACAGAAAATGTTGCATTCGAACAAATCCATCCGGTTCAAATTATAGTGTTTAATGTTCAAAATAAACAATTATAGTGAAATTAATTGTGATTATTAAATAAGATTTTATTTTACTTAGGTAAATATGTTAGTATTTTTCTACAAAACTAAAAAATTAGCAATCATTAAAAATATTTGTTATTCTGATTAAATTATGATGTTTATTTAGAGATTATGCTAATAATTATAGCGCCGATGTTTATCAGGATATAAATATCGTTAAATTTAAAACTTAAGCCAAGTTAAAACTAGATAACCAAGTGTTTCGATTACTATAAATTTTCAATATTTCGAAGAAATATTGCATACGGAACTTGGATTAAATGACAGTGCTTTAATATTGTATATGTAGATACCTACATACATACATACATACATACATGTGCATTTGAATTATTTCTAATGCCATTCTTATACATCGAACTGTTTGGTAGTTAAATAAACTTACTTACATAGGTTTCGTAACTTAAAAATGCTGTAAAAATACCGGTTTTAGGACCGGTTTGAAACCTTTTGGTTAACGATTTTAGTAAATTTTGATAATACCGTTTGCGTTAGAGTGTAGTTTTAGTTTCACATACTACGTCAGCGTTCAGAGTATTGGCCCCATGTTTTATTTTTTTATTAGGTAATAGTTAACCTTAACATTGATCAAGTCAGTCAACACAAGGTTGTTTTAAAATCAACTTAAAATTACTTTAATAATCAGAATGGGAATTGTTATTATCCGAATTTTATTATACTTATTACTTCAATAGTGGGTAAAAGCGCGTGAATACGTTAATAATAACATTAACCAACAAATAGCTAAATATACCTACTGTTGTTTAAAGCAAATAGGAAGAAAAGATAACTGGGTTGTATTTGATAATATCATTTATAAATCGATGATGTTGTAAGCAATTTTTCTATATTATTAATATTTTGATGCCTTTTTCTATATATTTTTCGAAATTTGGACTTTGATTTTATGCATTTGTTCGTTCTTTAATTAATTGACCTTGTTTGTATATTTTGGTATTTCTTTTCTTATTTCTTTCATTCATTTTTACTAACGAATCAAAAAAGGCAAAGGACATTGAAAAGCCTTGTAAGGACCCTGAGTAATAAAATGATTTCTTCAACATTTAATTAATATATTTCTTCCTTCTACGTATATTTTAATTAAATGTCTTTTAGGTATTATAAAGCCACTTGTTGAAAATGTAATAATCTAATAAACTTTTGCACTTTAAACTCTTATATCATAAATTTTATAAAATTTCTCACCAAACTTTTCCTATAGATGCCTATAATTTGCTGATAAATTTTATTTTTAGTCAATATAGGAATTTTCATAATGCAAAAAGTTTGGTATTTAGTTACTTAGCTTTAGCAAATTTTTATAATTCGCCTAATATTACTTCAATTATCAAATATGTAGGTATTATAATATTGGATAAATATTGTAGCAAATAAATATGTTTATTAATATTAATACTTTATTAATATTGATGTAAATGATAAGAAAATTGAATAATAAACGTTAATTAAATTTCTATAAAAATTAGGCTGTTATGTGACAAATAAAAAAATATATTTTAGTGTTAGTATAATTTGGATTTTTGCCAACGAATACACTACTGTGTATTCTACACACATTCGAGTGTACTATACGAGTACACTACATTTGCACGGTAGTAAATAAGTAATGAATGTGGTTAGATATTGACTAATATTTAAGTAAGTTACCTATTTTTTTTAAGGAAACTTCCTTATCATTCATTAGAATTTTTCCTTATTACTTAATAGTAGTTTGCCTAAATGTGAATAACTAGAGTGTGGAAATAATGCTTGTTTTTGTGTTTTTAATTTTTACGATGTATGTATACTTAATTAGTTACATAACTAATTACTTGATTATCCTTTTCGTTTATAAATATGGAATACGTGTTTTCAAAACTTAACGAGATAATGTGATATTTTATAGTTTTTAAAAATGTTCTTAACATTTGCTAAAACAATAGAATGGTAACATTAAAGGAAATTACATTAAAAGTCATATAAAAAAACATTAGATATTTTTAAATGATTTCAAATAATCCCGATAATAGGGTAGGTTATTTACCTACTTATTTTTTCAAAAGGAATCTGAAAGAATTTCATAATTTTAACTGCAGACCAATGTTGATATGTTCTAATTTATTTCCTTCGCTGACTTTATAAATAATTTATTATTAGCAAGGTTACTGTTCAATTTCGTTTGGAACAAATTCTAGACGATCATTATCTACTAACCTCAACTGGAATAATAACCTTTAAAGATTAAAGTATAACGTTTATTGAACATAAATATTACTAATAATGGTTATTTACGAATTAAAATTGTTTGTACTTTGGACTTATTTTGAATTCATCGTTATTGGTTGTTTCATGGGTAAAAACCTAAATCGCTCCGTGTTGGTACTAGTTGCGAGAATAATAGGTAATTTTAATCGGAATTACGTAAAGTGTTTCTACCGATTTCTATCGCGATAAATTGTTTTTACTTACATTACAGTGAAATTTAAAAATTTCTATTGGTTTCTTACAGATTCTTCTACCGCATAAATTGAATATATATTGAAGAATGCTACTGAGGCTCGCCAACAACCGACTTTGTTATACATCTGGAAGACTAGGTTTCACGTCAAAATGGAATTACTCAACGAAGGTAGAATACAAACCGATACGAAGCGTGTTGGTAGCTAACAGAGGTGAAATCGCCGTCAGGGTATTTCGAGCGTGCAATGAATTGGGAATCAAGTCTGTAGCCATTTATTCCAAAGAAGATAGAGCTCATATTCACAGATTGAAAGCAGACGAAAGTTATTTGGTAAGTTTCCTACCTTCTATTACTTAAATAAAATACTTTTATGTCCCTATTTTATTTTTTTAAGGTTGGAGAAGGTTTACCGCCTGTTCAAGCCTATCTAAACATACCAGAGATTATTAAAATATGCAAAGATAATGGCATCGATGCCGTTCACCCAGGTTATGGATTCCTTTCAGAGAGGTCAGATTTTGCTCAAGCCGTCATTGATGCTGGACTCAGATTTATTGGGCCAGCGCCTAAAGTGGTGTACCAAATGGGTGATAAAGTAGCAGCCAGAGAAGCTGCCATTGCGGCGGGTAAGAATAAGAAAGTCCAATAAAAATTTCGGTAACTATCCATTATATTTCCAGGTGTTCCCATTGTACCTGGCACTGACGGACCGGTGACGACCAAGGAAGAAGCCAAAGAGTTTTGCATCAAACATGGATTGCCCGTGATCTTCAAAGCCGCGTATGGAGGAGGCGGTAGAGGCATGAGAGTGGTGCGAAAAATGGAAGAGGTAGAAGAGAGTTTCCAGAGAGCTTCTTCCGAAGCGGCTAGTGCCTTCGGAAACGGTGCTATGTTTATCGAAAAGTTCATCGAACGACCGAGGCACATTGAAGTTCAACTTCTAGGTAAATCCTTGTACATTTATGTCTGTGCAATACTACTAGCAAAGCTGCATGCTTGAAGAATTTTCCTACCAACAGGAGTCCTCTGGTTCTAAGCTTATTGTTTCATGTTGCAGGCGACAAAGCCGGAAATGTGGTCCATCTTTACGAACGTGATTGTTCGGTCCAGCGTCGGCACCAAAAAGTGGTGGAGATGGCGCCGGCGCCTCATCTAGATCCCAAAATCAGAGATCAGATGACATCACTGGCGGTGAAACTGGCGCAACACGTCGGTTACGAAAACGCCGGTACTGTAGAATTTTTGTGCGACAGCAGTGGCCGTTTCTATTTCATCGAAGTGAATGCGCGCTTGCAGGTGGAGCACACCGTCACCGAAGAAATTACCGGCATCGATTTGGTTCAATCGCAAATTAGAATCGCGGAAGGAATGACCTTGCCCGAATTGGGGATAAGCCAGGAGAAGGTCAAGCCTAGCGTATGTATAATGTTGTTTGGCATTTTGAATTTGATTAATCTTTTCGTATTTTGCGTAGGGTTTCGCGATACAATGTCGTGTTACCACAGAAGATCCAGCCAAAAACTTCCAGCCCGATACTGGAAGAATAGAGGTATTCCGTTCCGGAGAAGGTATGGGTATTCGTTTGGATGGAGCTTCAGCGTTCGCTGGAGCCATCATATCCCCATATTACGATTCACTGCTGGTCAAAGTGATAGCGCACTCGAAGGACTTGCAAAGTTCGTGCGCTAAGATGACCAGAGCTCTGAAGGAGTTCCGTGTCAGAGGCGTTAAAACCAACATTCCTTTCTTATTGAACGTATTAGAAAACCAGAAGTTCCTAAACGGTTCCGTCGATACGTACTTTATCGATGAGAATCCGCAGTTGTTCCATTTCACTCCTACTAGAAACAGGGCTCAAAAATTGTTGAATTACTTGGCGCAAGTGTTGGTTAATGGTCCTCAAACACCTCTGGCAACTAAATTGAAACCTGCAGAAGTCAAACCTCACGTTCCTAGTGTATCACAAGGTAAGAACTTTGTATTAATTATTATTTATTAAATTTGCTATCTGCTATTTTTATTAAAGTTATTTTGTACATTTTTAAGCTAAATCATTAGGTTTTGGTATTTTATTTTGGTTCTTTGGTCTACTCATTGTACAAGGTATATTCTACTTATACCTTGGTTTGCCTAAAATCAAACAATTTAAAAAACGTAGGACACTTTTTAATACCTATTGGCGTAATAAATGAAAAAAAGACAGAATCACTTAGGATAAAAGATTTAAAAAATATCCTTCATAATTTTTGAAAGGTGTTGGTTTTTGTAGTAACTAATTTTTGTTGAATAATAAAGTAGAGCACAAGTATAATTTGTTGTGCTTTGTTTTATATTGTTTTTTTAAGATGTGGTGTCCATTAAACGTTTAATTTCAATGTTTTAACGATTTGTGGACGCCCATCATTATAATTATCTTGCATGCCTGTTTTTCATAGTTTGATTGCTAATATGCACGCTTTTGTTTTTTCTTCTTTTTTAACAGAGTACCTCTCAACGAGCGAAGAGACCAATCCAAGTTAGTAATTATTTTATTTATTTTTACTATTATTAATTTTTGCCACAATATTATTTGATTAGGAGTTATTTAAAATATTTTTTTTTCAAAATTCTTATGTCTACAAATTTAAAAGAGTTAAGTATTTACAAATAAAGAAATTCAACGTCTGATAATGCTATCAACTATTTTACTCGTATTCTTAACATATTTGCTTCATTGCTTAATTGGTATAAGGAATTTTTTGTTAGTACCTACTTACAACTATGATTAATCGAACCGGTGGTGTTTACTAAAAATTCATAAATTTTAAACCGCTAATTCAAAGACTTATATTTATAATACAATTAAATATTTACTATCATTTCCTAATACGATATTACAATAGGTGTTCAACCACCGAGGGGTTTCCGCCAAATTTACAAGGAACAAGGACCCGAGGCATTCGCTAAAGCCGTTCGAAACCACAAGGGCTTGCTACTTATGGACACTACTTACCGAGATGCCCATCAATCGCTTCTAGCCACCAGGGTGCGTTCCCACGACCTTCTTAAAATTTCACCGTTCGTCACACATAATTTCAATCAATTATACTCGTTGGAAAATTGGGGTGGTGCCACTTTCGATGTAGCTCTGAGATTCCTTCACGAATGCCCGTGGGAGAGATTAGAAGAAATGAGAGCCATGATACCGAACATACCGTTCCAAATGTTGCTAAGAGGGGCTAATGCTGTTGGTTATACCAATTATCCTGACAATGTGGTCTATAAGTTCTGTGAACTTGCTGTACGTAAATGTCCTCATTGTATGAAATATTTATTTTAATGTGCGTATTATCGCTTAGGTCCAAACTGGAATGGATGTATTCAGAGTGTTCGACTCGTTGAATTATCTGCCGAATTTGATCGTTGGTATGGATGCCGCCGGTAAAGCTGGTGGTATCGTAGAAGCGGCAATATCTTACTCTGGCGACGTTAGTGACCCGAACAAAAAGAAATACGATCTCAGATATTACCTAAATATTGCAGATGAATTAGTTAAGGCAGGCACTCACGTGTTGGCCATCAAGGATATGGCTGGATTGCTCAAACCGAAAGCAGCTAAGTAAGTAATTTGAATCTAAACCATCCGGAATTATCCCCTGTAACCTTTTTCAATTTTCAGGATCTTGATTACGGCCTTAAGAGACAAGTACCCCGATTTGCCTATTCACATTCATACCCACGATACTAGTGGAGCTGGAGTTGCATCGATGATAGCTTGCGCCGAAGCCGGTGCTGATGTTGTAGATGTTGCTGTGGACTCCATGTCTGGTATCACTAGTCAACCTAGTATGGGTGCTATTGTAGCTAGTTTGCAAGTGAGTAGTTTCGTAGAAAACTCTAAATTCAATTTTCTTACGTATACATAATCCATTTTAGGGCACTAAATACGATACTGGCCTAAATTTGAACACGATTTCCGAATATTCTGCTTACTGGGAGCAAACTAGGACCTTGTACGCTCCCTTCGAATGTACTTCGACCATGAAGAGTGGAAATGCCGATGTATACGTGAACGAAATCCCGGGAGGACAATACACAAACCTGCAATTCCAGGCCTATTCGTTAGGTACATACAATATTGTGATGTTTATTCAGATTTTTAACCGATGTTCCGTTTTCAGGACTTGGCGACTTCTTCGAAGATGTCAAGAAAGCTTACGCCGAAGCAAATATCCTTCTGGGTGATATAATCAAAGTCACCCCATCATCTAAAGTGGTTGGAGATCTTGCGCAGTTTATGGTGCAGAACAAGCTTACCCCGCAAGATGTTCTAGACAAAGCCGAGGAATTGTCATTCCCGAAATCTGTTGTGGAATATCTCCAAGGTCACATCGGTCAACCCTACGGAGGTTTCCCGGAACCCCTAAGGTCCAAGGTCCTTAGGGATATGCCTCGCATCGAAGGACGACCTGGCGCTAGTTTAGCTCCTCTAGATTTCAAAAAATTAGCAGAAGAATTAAAGGAATCATTCCCTAATGCGTCCGAACGAGACGTTATGTCCGCTGCTCTCTATCCTCAAGTAACCAATGAATATCTATCGTTCAATGACCAATTCGGCCCTGTTGATAAATTAGACACCAGGATATTCCTTGTTGGGCCTAAAGTAGGAGAAGAATTCGAAGTTACCATTGAGAAGGGTAAGACTCTGGGAATTAAAACACTAGCCGTTGCCGAAGATTTGACTGAAAACGGAGAGAGGGAAGTGTTTTTCGAACTGAACGGAACTCTGCGATCTGTTCTAATTAGAGACAAAGACGCAGGTAAAGAAATGCACATACACCCGAAAGCGGATAAAGCTAACAAGCAACAAATCGGGGCTCCCATGCCTGGAACTGTCATTGATATTAGAGTTAAAGTGGGAGATAAAATCGAAAAAGGAACGCCGCTTGTTATCCTGTCGGCTATGAAGATGGAAACTGTAGTACAGAGTCCTGTAGCTGGTACTGTCAAGACAATTGATGCTTCTATGGGCATGAAACTCGAAGCTGAAGACTTAATTATCACAGTCGATTAAACTACGTCTTAAATATATTTATTGATTTAATGCTCTTATATTTTCTTTCAACATTACATATTTTGGGCTGTGTTATTGAAAACACTTTTGTAAGTTGTTGCGCGAGTAGTTATGTTTTAAAATGTTTGTTAAAACTATTTGTATATAATAAGGAAATTTTAATATTTTACAGTTGTTTGTTTCCTCTACAAAGTCTACTTTTTCGATGTTTGTTATTTAGATAATTTTTAAGCAATATATTTTTATATAAATTTATACAGTTTTTTTATTTTATATTGGAAATGGCGGAGGATCGCGCACTCATCCACCCTTTTTCTAAATAATAACGGGTCTGGTTACAAAATGTCTTCTATTTTTTATATGATAAATTATCAACAAAAAAATTTTTATTTGGTATTAAAGAGTTTCGTTTTTAAAATATTGCGTTTTAATGAAGATCTTAAAATGAGATGTGGCCCAATTTCATAAACAATTATAAGGTGGGGAGTAATTTTCTCCTTCACTTCATAAATTTCTAGGTAACCGATTACGTGTGTCATTAACGAAGCAAATTTCCTAGATTGCGAACTTGACTATTTTATATGATTAAAGTTAGGCAGAGTCGGAGTTATTATTTAACATTCATTGCCTCTACTTACATATGTATAGCCTAGTAAAATGTATGTTTTATCTGTATTTTTTGTTTTTAATAAAAACAATGATCTCTTTGGATTTAAATCTAATTTCTATTACAATTGAAATATATTTTTTTATTTTGTAGATACCTAATTTTTAATTTGTAATATTTTAGAATTTCCGAAAAAATTAAATCACAAGTATCTTTTTCTTTATATCATACCGCCCATTAGTGTGTTTTTTGGAGCAAAAACGATAAATCCAATTAATTCAAATCCGCGCCTGCAAAATCGTGCTCTGGGCTGTTAAAAGCAATAGAAACTGAGAGATCGACAAGGAGGGAAAGCAGGGAGAGAACTCCCTTTCGTCCGGATCGGAAAGGGCGTAGGATCATAAACTGGAGTTTAGTACACTACCAGACGGAGAATACAGCGGAGTTGCAGTCACGTAACTTCGATTCAGAACTTGCAACTCCATCTGTTATAAGACGGCAGCAACAAAAGTTCTGCTCAATTGGTGAGTGGTATCATTTGTCAGCTTTTTCTTGTATATGCTTCCAATTATTTATTTTACACTGAAATAAAGTTTTTTTTTAAGTTTTTAGCATACGTGCAAGAACTGTAACTATATTATATTTTGCATTTTTTTACTTGTTTTATTTTAAGCCTACATTATTATGTAAGTAGTTTATCCTGATTAATTGGTTAATTTATCCAAGAATTTTCTGCGAAAAGTTACCGAAGTAACCAATTTTAGAGATACGTGCGAAGTTTGTAATAATAATTATTCAATTCTGCATATTTTCTCATCAAGTTTGTCAACAATTTTTATAATATTTCGTACAATGTATGGACTCAAATTATACTCGATAAACCTGACATATATTATTTTTATTTATTTTTTTTAAATTTACAAAATATCAAAATATTATATAAATAATAAAATAAATAAAGTATTATACCAATTTGTTAAATTGAAACTGGAACTGGTTTTTATTATACTTTTAGCAGTTTCTGATTTACGACAATGCGATTTCATTTCAAGAAATCGCCTCTCGCCTTCGCCATAATATGTAGGTTTTTGATTTATAATAGGTACTTGGTTTGTTTGTAAGACGTAAATTATTAGTTGGTAATTTTTTGATAACTCTTTTCCGGGTAAACCCACATTTTTTCCGTACATTGAAAGTATAATATTGATTTTATTAAAACCTTACTTACCACAAAAATGTGTACGAAAACAGATACACACTGATAATTTTACGGGGCAGTGAAAATCAATACAAAACACTTTAATCATTATATAGGCCACCTCGAAACTCGTATTTTAACGCTAATAATGCCCGGATCGGAAAAATCAAAGAATTACGCGCAATTTTGCCACGCTGTGATTTTTTAATGACCTTTTAACCTGCGACCTTCAAAAATGGCTTTAGGGTGGGTTCTAAAAGAACGCTTGATTTAATTTTTATTATTCCTAATTCGTAATAAATGGCTAATTAAATCCATAGGACAATAAAAGTTCCTTTTCAATTTAAATCAAACTCTAACTTAATTTGAATTTATAACGTCTGTAATTAGTCCATTGCAGAGCATATGCCATTTACTTTTATATTTCCTTCTCAAACGAGATTTGATAAAATTTGCATAAACTGGACAGATAATTCAATTAAAACTGAAAATCATTTAAATTGGGTGTTATGTAGAAAATGGAATACGGCCCAATTCCGTCTTCCCGTTTTGACGATGTCATCAATCATTTGAGAAAAAGTTTTCCCGACGAACCATTGAATGCATCAGTGGGTCTGAGTCTTCACAATCAGCCGTGTCCGTTGCTGGAAAAATACGATTTACTAACGTTGCATGAAGGCTTGTCCGTTATGGCTCTAGACACAGAAACAGGAGAGGTAAGTAATTTTTTAAAGGCAAAGGTAGGAAGCAAATAACCAACTAGCCTTGTTTTGTTAATAGGAAATTGACATTCTTTAATTTATATTAAACTTAACTGTTTACGAAAGTGTTTCTTAATCGCAACTCAAGTTTGTAATACTAAAGTAATTAAATTTGCCCCACAAGCACCAGAAGTAATTGATTTTCGATTTATATCAGCGCTTATTCCTTACTTGCGATATATTTTCCTGGAAAACGGATTTTTCTAGGCGAACCAAAGAGACAGGAATTTCATTCGGCACGCAATAATCAATTTTCCAATCGCGGTTTTTTTCATTTCGACCGGTTGCTGGGGAACACGGACGTGCCTGCCGCTAATATCGGGCATCCGCATCCGCAGCGAACGGGATCATTAGGATCGGAATGTTCCCGGCCTGGAAGTTCTCTGAGAATATGTCAGAAATTCGGAATTGGAAATTATTGAAAAGGCTCACATACTACCGTGCAGTGGCAGCTGGAGAGCTCGAGCGAGTAATGTAATTCGATCGCTATGAAAAAGCGGGCTTTATCGTCCGGAAGGATATGGAATGTCCTTATAAAAATTAGATAAGTTCCAATATATCCAAAAAATATTTGGTCTATTGTCGTTTAGATTAATATCCATTGCATTCAAACTATAAATTAAACTAATTGAGTTAGCCAGCCGGGTTAATTGAATTTCATTTGCTTGCTTTTATAAAAGGTTTGCAAATAGAAAAAAACGAATTTCCATTTTATCGCTCAGATTTCATCACAAGTCTGCTTAGGAAGCCACTGGCCGATTGCACGGAACACAAAAGCCTCTTTTGTATTTGATCGCGTTTCCAGAGAAACCCTATTATTTATCTCTGGGTTTTTGAAATAAGTGGAAGTAGAAAAAGAAAAAGAAAAAAGAGCCGAGGCATTTTAATTAAAAAATATTGCGAACGTCGCTTTAATGAACGATTTTTTTTAATTTTAATTAACTGCATTTGTGGTAATATTTTCTAGTAATATTTTAGAATGTTCTTAAAATCAAAAATTTTCAAATTTTAGATAGCCGGCGTTGCCTTAAACGGAATTTCCAGACGGGGAGACATAGAACAATCTCTGGAAAACATGAAAACAATCGACAGCGTTCCATACCATCGAATTTTTGGCCTATTGAACGGGGTTAATAAGGAATTAGACCTTTTTACTGCATACAACGTCGATAAAATATTTGACCTCAGAATACTCTCTGTTGATTCGAAATACAGGGGCAAAGGATTGGCGAAGGAATTATTTTCGAGAAGTGAAATTATTGCTGAAGAACACGGATTTAAGGTAAAATTTATCAAAAGTCAGCACATAGATACTATGTATTTTGTTTAATTATTTTCAGTTAATGAAGGTGGATGCGACCAGCTTGTTTACGCAAAAGATCTGCGAAGCATTTGGATTGAAGGTGATAAAAACTGTTCGTTACGGGGACTATAAAGATGAGAACGGTAAGAAGATTTATCCAACGGAATCTCCACACGACTACTACAAAGTGATGGTAAAACAATTACCGTCTAGAAAAGATAACGACTGAAGTACAAGAATTTGAGAACACAGACGTATTTTTGTTTAAAAATCTCTAGGTATTTACACTCATTTTCTAATTATGAACCAAAAATTTTGTGGCATCTATTTTAACAAAAAATATTTTTGATAAGTTGATGTTAACAAAGCAGATTTTACTAATATTTGAAGAATTATTTATTACCATAAATTATTAACAAAAAATCTAAAAACCTATTTATTGTCCAGAGGGAAATTGATTTAATTTCTATTTTATTCAGGACTCATAAAATGTTAATACTGCCACTGCCATGCAGAATTAAACATTTTTATAAAGGATATTTATATGCGGTTTATAAAATTATAAAACTATGAATTAAGTACCTAATCGAGATGATTGCCAATCGAAGAATTTAATTTTTTAACGATTTTACTCAGTTCTTGATTACCTAAAAATTGTTTGCTCAATACAGATTTTGTTAATACATTGCTCAATATATGCAACCTTATTTTAACATTGTAATTAAAATAATAGGAGTACATTTTCCGTCACGGGAAATAATTTGAAATGCAACTTTAAAGAGAAATAGCAAAGTATCTAATATTTGTACTTGTTTATTCATTCATTTTATTCAAGCATTGTTAGATTTCCAAAAATTTTTTATTTCAAATTTAGCCTGCTGTTAATTATTTTTTTAAATATTTATCATTTGTTATAGAAATCGATATCTTTAGAAAACGTGCACAAAACGTAGCTTTGCATATCCAAGATTATTTATTTAGTTTTAACAATATTAATTTATTATACACTTTATTGATAAGTACTGAATACATTCATGCATGTACGAATACATGAGAATGAATAATGTTCAAAGGCAATCTTAGTCGGGCTAATTGTGATATGTATTAATAAATTATTTTCTATTTTTATACTGGTTTCATTTATTAAAAAAATTCAATTCTACAATACTAACTCAAATTTAGGGGAGTAAATAAAGAATTAAGGGAGCATTTTAATTTTTGTGTATCCTAGAAAATTAAATGGAATAGAAATGAAATGAAAATGGGGATGCAAGTATGTATTTAATTTTAACTATAGTACGTAGACAATTTTACATTCATATTACACATAATTTGCAGGTATAATTACAAATATTGTTCAAAAATACGTAACACATAGTAGTTTTCAGTTATTATACTGTTTTAAATGAGTTTTTGTATTTATTTGATATAAGTATATACGGTATTACCATTTTGATTTATTATTTACGATTTAATTTTGACAATTAATATTCAACCATTATCGTAACAAAATATACATTAATTTAAAACAATTTTTATTAATTTCTTAAAAAAATATCGCTAAAATATCGCTTATGATAGCACATGAAAGTAATATTTCAAAATACCCAAGTTGAAAATGCTGTTGTAGACAAATTTGAATCAGTTGAAGCTAAAACACGAATTCGAATGAAAAAATAATCAACTTGTTTCAATTAATGCTTAAATTTTTACGACCGAAGTAAAATTTCAAAATGTATTTACCAGAACCTGTTTGCCCATTATTTGACGTTATTTTCGAATTGACTTCTTTTTCCCCACAGTCCTTTTAAATTTACCCATGCCGGTTCACGTTTACCCCAGCCACCTAAAAATAAGACCAGTTAGAGACATTTTTTATAATTTTATACATAAAAAATGTGGAGTTACAAGTATTCGAATGATAGGTATAATAAGTATTTATTGGCATGTGTGTGTGCACAAGTGTGTGTGAAGATAAGAAAAATGAGCTTCCACCTTTACTCTCTTCTTCAACTAAAGGGTCATTTGAACTAATAGAAACTAAAAGGAATTGTTACCCCGAAAGCTCTCCCATTTGTTGCGTTTTCCCCATCCATCGGAAAATTTAGACCACTTTGATCTTTTCTCTTCTTCGTTAAAGTCAAAATCAGGTTCAATTGGTATGCTTTGGTGATCGTTTCTCTCTAACAACGAAGCAATTTCTTGCATCGAATAATCGTCGTTATCGGGTGCAAATCTCTTACCCCAGCCTCCCTAAAAAATAATACGTACCATTAGATCAATCCCACGTCAATTGACTATGTTTCATTGTAACTAATAAATATTTTATTTACCTGGAAACTCTTCCAAGCTCGTTTTTGGACTACCGGTGGAGATGAATAGACATTTTGTTCCAGCCAAGAAGGATCGCTGCGTTTTACTCCCCATCCACCATGCAGGTTGCTCCAGCCTCTTTTACCCCACATATTGAGGTTTTTATTCCAGTTTCTTTTCGACATATCGGCGTCCACCTAAAATAAATATTTTTGTGGTCATAAAAAAATTATGTATGATGTATTTCCAATCAAAAACTGCAAACTCAATCACCTTTTAAGATGTCATTTACATTATTGTCAGCTTTTAAAATAAACGAATGGATTAGGCACATTCGCAATTATTCAACTGTAAGCGCAGAACAAATATTCGGATTGTGTTTTAATTAACTAAACACAAATTGGAATTAATTGTGGGCGTCCCTAGTTTTTCTTTTCGGTTTTAATATAAATGCAAATTTATCTAATTCATTTCTGTGCTTATGCTGATTAACAACGGCTTGTCCAAACGTATTTTGTTTAACTCAGAGGCTGCAATCTCAATAAAAAATTATAAATTTGTTCTCGTTTTTCTAGTCTACTAAATACTGTAATAAAGAGTTTAATAAGTTTTAATTAACATAAGCAATAATCCTTTATTTTACTTTGAAACTGGGATACTACGACAATATACTATTTACATATGAAACTATGTAAGTTTTCACTTTAAATATTTAACAAAATAGCACATAACAACATACGCATGCTGTTTTCTCAAACTTCTACGTTTGCGTTGGCGCAAGTTTTAAATTATTAAAACTGGGAATTCAAAAGCTTTACTTTTTTATTCTATTTTTAATGCTCTCGAAGGAGATTTAAATAGTTTTATCTGGAGGATTATAGTAATCCCAAACACGACATCTGCCCATATCCCTAGGGAATAAACGCAAATCCATACTTACTTGTAGATTGTCATCGTCCGCTTCCCTCGTCGTTTCTTCGATAGATGTCGCAACTACTAGCAGAGTTTCTTGCAGGAAAAATGCCAATAGCGTGGTCAGAAGGAGTTTGCTGGAGGACAGAGGTCTTGCATATCGCATTATTGCTGAAAAAAAATCAAAATTTTGAGTTTTAGTATTCTAGATTTGTCTGATAAAAATTATTATCCATCTAATTAAAACATTTATATCCTTTTTGTAAAATTAGTATATTGCGATTTAGTATATTACTCGAATATAGGGGTTTGTAATCCTTATGTTTGTGACCTGAATATTAAACTGATTGTGAGGCAGGAAGTATTTTGTAAAATAAAGCTTAAAAGACTTTTATGATCTCGATCCGACATGACGCTGGAGAAAGGAAGTCGAGCTTTACAACTCGATTAACATTACATTTTCATTGTGAAAATTCAAAATTAAAAACGGCGCGGAGCCCCCATTGTGAGACAAACATTCGACAAGATTTATGTCGAATGTACTGTGTAAAAATAAAATCTGAAAACACGGCGTTCCATCTACAGTAAATGAACATCAATGTGCTATTACACTTTTCGTTAAAGAAAAAACCGGCATTGCAGGGCTTTCCCTGTTTACAGGATTTTCCGCTTTGTTGGAAGCCTCGATCCCCTAATAGACTAACACTTTATTCTCTTTTCCCTGTTAAGAGATTTTTTTGGAATCCCTTTTTTTGTTTGCGACATTACCACCTAACATTATTGGAATATACTCAAATCATTTTATTGAAAACAAAACTCTTCGAATACGTAAATTTATTGTTGAAATAAAAATTTCACTTTGTCCAGTTTCTCATTAAAATTTAATTAATTTGTATTTGGTTTTATTTTCTCGTTTAAATGTTGACAAATTTTAATTGAAAGAGAAAAGTGTTCATTTCAAAAAAGGAATTTTAATTTTATTTATCTGACTACTCGCACGTTTGTTAATAAATTACTATTTGATTAATTTATTTAATCACAGAATTCATTTCGGCGCTTGGAATTTCTTTTAGGACTGGATGTTTTAAATTGATGGTATTGTACCATATTGAGCTAGTGTAAATTTAATTGCAACATATTTGGGGTTAGTTCTAATTTTTTAATTTTATCCGAATTAGTGAAAAAACTTGAGAAAAAGGAATGCGTAAAATTTTCGTAGGCTTCGGTGTACCTTATACCAATTCTCTAATTAATTTAAATCGCTGGAGAATGAAAAAGCAAATATATTTTGAAAAATGAATTGTTTTGTTGGCTTACGGCGCGAAAACCAATTCAATAAGTTCAAGCTGTTGACGTTTGATTACTTTTTTGTATATCCAATTTTCTCCAATTGCTTCTTATTTTCCAAAGTTATGAATACTGTATAATACGGAGCATTAGGTAGCCGCAAACTTTGTCGAATAAAGTCAAACTATTGCATTGGTTGGAAACGTTTCTAAGACTGGCAAGTATATTGATTTGATCCTTCCTTTTTCAATAATTTATAGCACATTCATAAAGTTTTATCAAGCTTTTGATTTTTTAAGTAATTAATTGCCCGCTTAATTGAAACACTGTAGATTTCGTTTTTTACTATAAATTACTTAGAATTTTAATTGATAGATTTATTCGTTGTATTTCCTCAATTATTGTATTACTCTAAATTATGCAATTGCCTAATGTGTTCAATAAATCCTATTTTACCTATTTTTTTAGACTAAAAAATTGGTTCATTTAAAAATCTAATTTTTTTAAACTCTCTTACGTACGACATTCTCCTTTGAATATTTCAATAGTTAAGAACTCAAATAAAAACTGCAGATCCGAAGAAAAGCTCGAATCGCGAGAGTTTCCAATGCAAAAACTGCAAAAGAGCAGAGAATAAAATTAAATGCAAAACATTTAAAGAACATTCAGTTTTCTAAAGAGCTTTTATTCTTAATGAATCAATTGTTTTCCAACGCAAAGTGAACAGCAGATTTATAAGTAATTAAAAAACGATTTAGAAAAATATTTTGCTCTTTTAAAATAACAATCACAAGTTGAGTTAATGCTAGTAGGAGTATAACCTTTTCTAATTTTCTGATAATTTCAGTTTTTGTTATAGAATTATTATTATTTCTTTTACATTTTATTTTCTTAAATAACCTACAATTTATATCGAACTCTTGATTCCATCGCTTAGTCATTTTAACTCACAGCCAAACATCAACATTCTGTAATAACGATTATTCAAGTTTCTAACCATGCAATTTCAGACGCGGGCGAATTCTAAATTTCCAACCTAATGAAATCTGGAGATGGAGAGGCATTTAAAAAAATAATTTAAAACACACTTTGCGGAATTTAATGGAGTCTTGAATATTTTTACGGACTATTACCACTAGACGGAGTCGAGGAGTATTTAAATTAATCACCATGTTGATCATTATTACTTCTGCATAGATTTATCAAATTGTTGAAATGAGAATTTTTCCAGTCATCATTTAGTCATTAAACCCAGTGCTGTAACCGATTTGAATATTTTTATATTATGTGTATAATTATTAGGTGCAATTTTTTGATTGGTGAAATTTTATGTTGTTAAGTAAAAAATAATAGGTACTATAAAAAGTGTCTTATCAGCTTAAGCCTAATTCAACAATTAAGAGGATTTTATGAGCTTATGTACTCTAAAATATATGAGGTATGTCTCTATTACTTTCTTGAATTTATTGAGTATAATTGTTCAAAATACTTTTAAAATAAAAATAGTAAAAGATAATGATAATGCAGAGAAGAAAAATAGTGAAATTCTTATATCTATAATTTACCAAAAACTTTAAAACCTTCGGTGCATGAATATTACATTACACATTTTTATTGTCGCGATAATATTACACTTTTTTATTTTCGGAGAGCGCGGAAACGCGTTTTTATAGCGTCTCCTAAAAGATGCGACAGTAAGCATCTGATGGAGTGATGGAGAAGAATATAAGGAACTAAATGTGATTTTACAAATTTGTTGGTTTCCTGGTTTATTAGTCCTCTCTAAATGATATTTCCCAATTTTTTTAACCCCTCTAGTTAAATTATTAGACACTACTACCAGAACTCTAAAAACACATACATATTTGAAAATCAAATTGCTTTTGACATTTTAGCTATTTTAAGATACGATTTACCCCCCACCAAAGAAAAACTCAACAATACTCGTTAGTTGAATTTTTTAAGTATTCTTAGTATCGAGATGTGACCTTTTCATGCACCGCTTAGAGCATAATAATTTTTATATTAGTATACAGAAAGGATATACAAAGAAGTCGCAAACTATTATTAAAAGTTGGACAATGATGCTTGTTTCATACAAAGCGGATATTCCTTTCTATTTTCCAAACAACCATCATATTAAAGGAAGAAAAACAAACTGAACCTACCTAATAAAAAAATTTTAATATTTTGAATACATTATTCAAGTTATAAAATTGTCTACGCTATACGATAATTAGCTATAGTTGTAAAATATTCCTATCCTACATCAACATCCTATACATAGATTGTTCAAAGTACCTACTTAAATGACCATAAAGACGCAACTACAGAGCTTAATTAGCTTTTAAAAATTGCCTCAATTATTTCCAGTTCCCGATAAAGTAAGCAAAAAGGGAAAAATATATATGGCACTTTTTTACTTTAATCTAAACACTCCATAAACCTCACTTCATGTCCACCGATTTTTTAAAAGTGATTTAGGACTGTAACGAATTAATGATCTATAAGGAGAGAAAAGATTAATTATTTTCCATGAAAATATTTGCTAACGCTGTTCGTTCATAAATTTAAAATGTTAAAATTTCGTAAAATATACACTAAACTCGAGATTTTTACAGCTTCGAAGTACCTACGTTTTGATAAATTGAACTTATTTGAGTGAAATTATTTTTTCGATAAAAAATTCAAATTGCTTTTGAGAGATTTATAGGACCGCATTGTTATAATCCTCCACTCGAAACAGAGGTGATATAGCGAAATGTTCTATAAGAGGGTACATTGTATAAAGATTACTATACAAATTTTTTGGACATAGATATATTTTTACGCAGTATACATGCCTACATAAAATTTGGAATTGTCAAGGAAAAATAATACTCTGTAGGCATTCGAATAATTAGGCAAATAATAGTTCAAAATTATTAGTTTACCTATCGTACCTGCTAGTCTAACTATGTTTCTATTGTTATACAATACCAATTAGGTAAACTCAACTGATTAATAAAGTATAACTATAGGGATTTTTCAATAAGCAAACTTCCCAAATTTTCATGGCCAACATGTGGGATTGTGAATGGTGAATGATATGAACCAGGATGTAATGTAGAAGAAAACAAGTTAATGGAAAATGATTTTTAGAAGGATTGTTGCTTTAAGAATTTTGTTGTTGAGATAAGACCAAATTATTCCTTTAATATTTGAAAGGAGCGAAACTGACAGTAAAATTTTATAGCCTTGCTACAGATTAAAAATCAACTGATATTAACATTTTATTGGTCGTTTTATTACCTAATTTACTGTACGCTGTATCCAACAGAATGTAGAGCAACGATATTATTTAACAAAATACTGCAGTAGATTTTTTGGAAATGTCCAAATCGTTAATTGAAATAAATTGATGCAGAATCCAAACTGCCTATTCAATTTAAGGGACAGATTTTTTGTAAGATGTTCAGAGCCCTACACATTTTCAAGAAAGCAGACAAAATATTATACTTTCTGCTTAGAACCAGATGACACTTTTTATAAGTATCTTAATAAAAATTGTTGACAACTTCTCAACTTTGTTTTCAATACGAATAAATCGCCGGCTTGTCGTCAGCTTAACTTTACAGCTTAAAAATGCAACGAGAATAACAGAACGTTAACGTTTCGTCTTGTAGCGCCTGAGGGAGCAATTTTAAAACCGCGTAATAAATCCTGGAAACTACTTGGAGTGAACTGAGCTGTCGTTGATAAGTTCTTAAAGTGAGAAATTAATTAACTCTGGACACTATTAATTCTAGGCAGATACAGGCTACGAATTGCCGCTTCAAAGCTGCAAAGCTTTTCTTTTCCCTTTTAGCGCGAATAATTGAATACAACTTTCATTAATCTAAACA